ATCTCTCAGGTCGTACAGTCCCAAGATCCTGCTACTACTGCTAGTACCACTACTGCTACCGATACTGCCACTAAAGGTAGTTATCTCTCTGCTGCTCGCTCTGGAGCTAAACGCCCTGATCCTGTTCGTACAGCCAAACGCCGTCTTGCTGCTGGCCGTCTCTTCCAATCTGCTGCTGTTAAGGGCCAACAGGGATACCAATATGTCTACCTTGGTAGATCTGGTAAGATCCAGCGCTCTGAGGTTCGTGCTACCCTCCGTAAGGTTGGTGTTGATACTGGTCGTGTTCTCGACATTTGTTTCCCTGCTTCTGGTGTTATTGGAGTTCTGGTCCATATCCAATATGTCGACACTTTTCTTGCTTACATGCACAAGTGCGAAGCTGAGCTCATCGAGAATTTTGAGCCTCTGGATCCCAAGCACATTGCTGATCCTCAATATGCAAACCTTGCTATTGCGGATCGAGAACAACTGATCTACGAGTTTACAAACACTCGTGCTCTGCAAACTCTTTCCTTCCTTCGTCCTCTCAATGTCAGTGGTGTTGGAAAATACTTTGTCTCTGCTGGATGGATTTCCCAAGAGGAACTTGATACAGCTGTTTCCGAAGCCATGGGCCGCCTTGCTGAAAAAGAACCCAAGAAGGCTCAATTCTTGCTCAAGCGTAGAAAAGCTTCTGACAGCAATGACTCTGCTATGGAACTCTAATGAGCTCTATAATACATCAGAGTCATATCAACAACAACCCCGTCCACTCCTTTCCTGTCTCTCTTTCCCTTTGGAATGCCAATGGTCTCCGTCAATCAGTTGTGCACGATGTCCTCTCACATGTATTGGATACGCATGTTCTCCTTGTCACTGAAACTTGGCTTCTATCTGGTTCTTTCCCTTCCGACTGGTCTCAATTCCATCTATATGGCACAAAAGTACCTGGCGCTTTTGGCCGTGGTTCTGGTGGTGTTACAGCCTTTGTCTCTCCTTCCTGTCCTTTCTCTGTCTCTCAACTCCCGTCTTACAATCCTCACACTCTGTCCCTTAAGGTTGGCACCCTTACGGTTCATTGTGTGTATCTGCCTCCACCCTTATCCTCGGATAAGGTGCTCTCGCTCCTTCGCTCGTTACCTATAACTAGTGATACAATCCTTTGTGGTGATTTCAATGCTCGCTTTGGATCTCTACTAGGTGATACTACTGCTAATCCCCGTGGTAACTCTCTACTACCATGGATTGAGGAGGCTTCGTTGTCGATCCTCAATGAGTCTCTAGCTTATGGTACACCCACCTTTACAACATTTCGGCGACAACAAGAGGTACACAGCATCATTGATCTGTTCCTTACCAACATTGGCGAGACGGCTATGTTGAATTCTCAACTGGTGGTTGACTCTGATCTGTCCCTTGGTTCTGATCATCGGCTGATGATACTTACTTTCGAGTATGTGCCCCCTCCCGATGATACTCTTGGTTCTGGTAACTCTGGTGGTTTGGCCCCTAGACGGCAATGGAAGCTCTCGAAATTGAGGAAAAAGCGGCCTTTGGGCTTGCTTCGTGAATCCTTTCGATCTTCTGTTGCTCCTTTGGTTGATTCTCTCTCTGGTTTGGTCTCTGCTCCTGATGGAGTTCGTCCTGATATTGATGCACTCAATGATTCTCTGAATTGTTGTTTGTATGAATCTCTTGACGGGTCAATTGGTGTGAAATCTGGTCGCCCTGGTCACTGGAAAAAGTACTGGACACAAGAAATTGAAGATGCAGCTCGTGAAAGAGATGCCTCATATAGTCGATGGCGATGGGCAAGTGGCTTTGCCAAAGTTGAAACATGGGGTATATATCAAACTGCTCTTAGACGTTTTCGCTCTCTGATACAGGCTGCCAAAAGAAAGTCGTGGAACACATTCTGCTCTAATCTGGAAAAGGATTTCTCTAAAGCTACTGCTGCTATCAAACGCATAAAGCGAAACAAAGAATCCTCTGCTACTTATAGCCATCCAGATGGTCCAGCTGCTTCAGTAACAGCAATGGCATCACATCTTGCATCTGTATACAATGGTACACTCCTTAACTCTGCTTCTCGTCCTGTTGCTCCTGAACCGAATGTATCGGATCTACCCTACAATGATCCCTCTGTTACAAATCTGTTTGATGCTGATACTATTGTCTCTCTGATTAAGCGATTGCCAAATGGAAAAGCTCCTGGTCCTGATCATCTGAAAGCTGAAATGCTGAAGGCTCTAGCATCTGACATTGCACCCGTATTGTCTCTGCTATTTACGCTTTGCTCTCAATGGTCGTACACTCCTGTATTGTGGCGTCATGCTCAGGTCTTTCCCATTTACAAGAAAGGTGATGTATCTGATCCTGCAAACTTTCGTCCAATTTCGCTCACTTCGGTGATGCGTAAATTGTTTGAATTTTCATTGATGCCTGCTCTTGATGAACATTCGCCTGCACTTGATGTTGCTCAAGGTGGTTTTCGTCCACAACGTAGTCCTCTGGATCAAGCCCTCTGTTTACATGACTTGATGCATGACTACTTCCTCACTCATCACCACTATCCTGTTGTAGCCTTTCTGGACATCAAATCTGCATACGATACAGTGGATCGCAACGTTATTTGGGATGCTCTTGCTCATTCTTCACTACCTCGTCCAATCCTTAGTTTATTGATCAATATGTTCGATGATGTACTAGTCTCTGTACTGATTGCAAACCACAACTCTGACCCTTTTTCGCCTGCTACTGGTGTACTCCAAGGTTCAGTGCTCAGTCCGCACTTGTACTCTCTGTACATCAACTCTCTGCCTGCTGTTCTTCGTGCTGCTGTCAACCGTGGTACTATGGTATCTCCACCCGGAATGCATCCTGTTCATATCAATAGTTTACTCTTTGCTGATGATGTGGCCATATTTGGCTCTCGTACTGATGTGCAAACCATGTTGGATGTCGCTTCAGATCACTCGTTCTCTCTTGGCTACAGATGGAAACCATCAAAATGCGCTGTACTTTGTGCTCCTACTGCCTCTACTCGTCATCCATTGTCTCTATACGGTGAACCTCTTCCTGTGGTAGAGGAATTCACGTATCTTGGTATGCCGTTTAGATATAAAGGTCTGTATGCCCCTGGGATTCTCAATCTGCGTGCTTCTGGTGCTATCAAGACAATAGCATTATTGAATTCGGTTGGTGTCAATCGAAATGGTTTTTCTCTGTTGCTTTGTGCTCGTTTGTATAAAAGCTTTATTCGACCCAAGCTGGAATACGGCTTAGCTATATCTCATCTCTCTTTCCGTGACTTCAAGGCTCTTGATGCTCTGCAAAATCGATTGGTTGGTATGTTTGTTGGTAGTACGTGGTACAATGTTGCCAAACATTTGACCTGTATTCCCAGCATGAAGCATCGATATAATGTCCTGGCAACACGTTATGCTCTTCGTGCTGATACTCTCCCTGATGATTGCTTGTTGGTTCTGCTTCGTCGTGGATTACTGTACACTCGTCTAGACAGATTTATTTGTCAAAACCCGTTGTATCTGACACTACCTGATCCGCCGCCATTCACCACTGCTGGTCTTACTGAAGTCTTTGATTCGTATTGGCAAGATCAAGTAGATCATCAACTTGCTGCTGCTGCTGTTTCTGGTACCCAGACCCTCCTCCGTGCTTGTCGTCGTTCTGTATCTCGTCCAGATCCCATTTTGTACCTACCAATTGGTCGATCTGCTCGAAGTCGCCTTGTTCGCTGGCGTCTTGGACGTTTCACAAACATGCGTGAAGAGTGTCCGTGCGTGATGGGTGATTTTATATCTCGAAATCACTTTCTGACATGCCGTGCTCTGGATCGAACACTTCTCGATGCTCTGCCTGTGGCTCCTCCTGGTATTCATCGTATAGACTATGCCCTTAATTGCTTACCTGTGAAAGCCTCTGATGGTCCTCCATCTTATTGGTCTGCTTTGCTTGCTCTGCTTCATGCCATTGATTGTTTAGTGCATCCGCTGGCTGTCATCCCTGCTGATCTTGATTCAGGGTTGTTATGGTTCTCTGCTAGATAGTCTCTTCATTGATGAACGTTTGTTGTTTTGTTTTCTCGGTGCGATGCCACGGTGGTAAGTAATTATCAAAGTTCCCATCCGTTGGTCATTCCTCCAGATCAAATCAACAATACCAGTATTCATGCCGTTCCTTTGCCACTACCACACTTTCCTTTTTCCCTTTTTCTTAGTTAGTGTCCCCTTAAGGGTTTTTTGTACCTGCTACTCTTTTGTTTCTAGAATTCTAGGCTAATGCTCCCATCGAGTGCCCATTGAATTCATGTATATAATAAAAATCAACGTTAAACTGAGCTACATCCCCGATCCATGTTAAACTGGACCAAAATAATAAACATATCTAATGTACAAAATTTTGTACCCTACGCGCACCCATTTCCCTTTTTTGGTATATTCTTTGCCTTTTTTAGTAACCAGTCGAATGTGATTATATAAAAATTGAGCTTTCGTGAGCGACACATGATAATGTTAGAGCATTGTTTCATTATGAGCTTACCGATTCAAACAACAGTTTCATGTAACCTACATCATGAACGTGTTTCTGAAACAGTCTATCAAGCTGCTATATTTAAGCTTGTTATTTAGTTACAAGTTATTGCCATTTTTAAACAGAAACGCTTTCTTTTTTACAAGATGACCACATCATCGAATCAAATGATTATGATAATCATGAAAATGATGATAGCGATATCAACTGCTTTCACATTATTGTAGCTAATCTCCATGGTTCTCCAGCAGCCTGTGTTAGAGATGTCTTCACATCGATTGGCATCAAACTGAGTAAAAAGATATACGATTGCTAGCGATCAATTTGACATGTTCCGTGAAGGAAGTAGCACTGTGGTCGTGACCGTTACACGAAATGAAGAGAAAAAAAGTGTATTTATGAGCAACATTCAAACAGATACACTTGGTCTTTTCTCATTTGTATTAAACAACACAGATATCAATATGCCTAACTGGACCAAAATCCTAAATCACCCTTTATTCAATATGGGGTTCTTCTTGTTTGTCCGTCAAGTCACCAAGAACATGGATCTCGATAACTCGAGTTACATTGGGGCCATTCGTGGCCTTTATTTAGGCTCTCAGCTTTTAGTTATCGTGCTATCATTCTATCTCATGTCTGTCATCCGTAAAAAAAATGGTAATTAGGGCTACTGCATCAGTTTCTACCATGGCATCTCATTGACCCTGTAATATGTTGCATAGATACAACTCCCTTACGTTACGTTGAACCAGGAGCTCAAAACTGGGATGGTTCCGAGACAGCTGACACATTGATCAATACCACGAATATGGGTAAATATCTGACACCAATACAGTACTACGAACCACAGACTGATTGACTCGTAAGATTATGACATTGCTGATGTCAAGAAGCAATTAAAGCAAGGTTTTACAAGTATTGCCATCGTCGCATTCCTTCATCTCAAATTTGGCTACGTTCAGCCTCTGCTTATCCAAAGCATCATGGGGTTCAAGACGTTTTTTATGACCAAGGAAGCTAGAATTCATCTCTTTAATGGAAAAACTTCCAGTGGTGAACTTCGTCGTCCTTTCCGTATCGAGGGCCCATTCAATATGGTCAGTGAGAAACGTCAACCTAGAACTGATAAGGGTTCAATCAAGAAGGCAGAGAAAGCTCTTAAAGCTCAATAGATATCTGCATCCATACTTCAAATACACACTTCTTTATTGTACTATTTTGCAGCCTTCTTTTTACGATTAAATGTGTTTCCTTCGTCCATACGCTTTCTCGACCTTTTTCCACTCATGTCATCTGCCAACATATAAATTGTCAGGCACCTCGCTACCACAACTCTCTAAAATGGCCTTACCTCGAAGTTGCGAATTAGGTGAATCAATCGCCCCAGTTGCATTCATCTTGTCACTTTCTGGTGTATCGATGATGTGTCGTGCCTGAGTCACTTTGATGGATGCTGTTTCGATAGCTCTATCCATCCAATGTCTAAATACTTGTGTCTCTTGAGCCCTCAGGTTGCTTTTAGCTGTATTCGATGTGCTCGCTGTGTTGGTGCTAGCACTCTTGGCTGTAAGTGGTGATTTCTCTGATGAAGAGGCTGGTTTTTTGTTTGTATCTGCAGATGTCTTCCAACTGTAACCCTTTGCCGGATGAAAGTCCATCATGCTCTGTGTCTCCTTGAATGCGCTGTTGACATGGAATAGACTTGTCAACTAATTGATAGGCGTGAATAACAGGCATACGATGAAAGGAGTCGACCATCTATTACCAATCGATTCGCAATCACCGAGTAAATGGTGGGCGATTGATAGACATTAGCTCCCATAATGTAATACGTTGCAATTGGATTCACATCATCAGGAGCAGGCCCACGTCTGTATCTTTTTTGAATGATCCATACCGGAGGTTGGTCATGGACCACTGCAAACTCGATGCCTGTCATTTTACTATCAAAGAGATGATAATCAATATTGCAGGCCTATGCAAATGCTGGAATTTTGTATGTACCGAAGTGCTTCAACCGTAGCTTCATACGGTTGTCTGAGATCGTTGTATTGCGTTTGCATGGACAATACTTGGTTGTTGCAGTGTCTGTCCCAAAATGGAGACAGAGCAAAGTAATCTAGCACCATTTGTTGATTTTGGAAACCTCCCACTTTCTTGTTTGAATTATTAGAAGGACATTCTATCAGCCCGATCGTATTTCCAATACCTCTAGCCAGTTTGTGTCTCTCCATTCCACACTGGTCAAGTCCTCAGTCGCTGTTACTCGTTGCATATTGGTATATTTTGTTTTGAAAGAGTGTAAAGAGTCGTAGATGTAATTGCCATTCAAGAATACGCGATGTTATTTACCTGAATTTCAAGTGACGTGCGAAATCACTTTATGGAGCGTTACAGCCAGCATTTGGCGCAAAGGTGTGCGATTCAATGCAGTTTCGAAGTTTGCACAAGGAAGCAAACTTTTGATATTGATCAAAGTGTATGTCCATTCAAGGAACATGGGAAATTCATGCCTAAAAGATCCGTCTGCACATTCAAATCATTCGAGGATGAACAATGATGTCAAGACTCTGATGTACGTTTCCCCACATTTACGCTGTTGCAAGCAGACTGCTGAGGCTTTCAATTGCGCAGATATTCAGTAGATGCCATTTTTATTCTACGTAATTTGATATCTCTATGAGATGGCCATCCAAATCATAAAGATCAACCGACAGCAATTGGCCCTGAGCGCCTGTTCTCTTGACCGGCGCTTCTACTGCTAGTTCGCAGGAGTGTTGTTTCCAATGCTGCAAGAAAGCTTCCACTGGTTGCTTACTGATAAGACAAAAGTCGGCTGTCCCTTCCAAAGCAGGTTTCTTGCAAACAGGGAATACCTCAATGTTTTTTTTTTGGTGCAAGTTGATCTTTTGCTGGCCGAATAACAAGTGCGATGCGGTCTTGAGTTGGAGCAGATAGTGTTTTTGAATCGTTGAATAGCCATCCCTCTGTCATCCGCAAGAAATGAGATTCGATTGCCCAACAGGCTTAGCGAGAGATTTACTTAGAACATGGTATGATACCACGCAGCAGACTTTTCGATGTCACTGACTGCCACTACGATGTGATCAATGGACGCAATTGTTGGTTTAAACATATTTACTAGTGAAGGTAGAAAAGAAAAAGCGAATGAACTCTATGTATATATTTTAAATGGCAGAACCTAGTTTGGCTCTCATTCTAAGCTTGTAGGATTGATAAAACACGAGAGCCAAATAGGCAGCAACGTAGTCCTTGATCATGTACATGATACCTTGGTTAAAAAACCCCTTGATGAGCTGAGCTTGCATTCCCTTATAGAGACCAAGCACACCATCCTTCTGAATAACATGTTTCAATGTTTCAAGCATGCCCTTTTGCTTTCCGTCCTTGTTTCCAATCATTTTTGTGCGCAAAAAGATGAATGGATATGTGATCATGGTAGCAACACTCTTTGACAAGGCAGAGAATAGAAAGACCTCAAGGCCTGTCAAACTTGATTTCTTTTGTGCACGCATATAAAGAGCCTTCACCTTCTCAAACACAAAGTAGGTAATCGATGGATTTGACACCAGCACAATGGAGGCACGATAGCCTGCTCACTCTTGGTTATTTTCTCATGTATACGATATCATATGCGATAGAGACGTTTACCTGTCCAAAAACCTGTTACTCCCTTCTCCTTTAAGATCTCCAGCGCCGTTTTCTTGAATCCCTTTTCGTTGTGTCCAGCAGTTTGAAGACGGGTTGTGACATTGGATACAGGCGTAGTGAAGAATCTTGAGATCAAGGCAGCTTCAGCGCCCAGAAACAGCTCTTGAGCGACATTCAATTGAGCCGATGATTTACCCATATTTGTGTTCATCTTTTCTTGGATATTTCTCAGTGCAGTGTAGCAGTAAAAGTAGATGAAGCTGGATAACACAGTTGCTAACGTATCAGAGTCCAATCCAGCGTACAAGCCTTTCAATCCTCCCTCCTTCAAGTAAATGTCCTTGATGGTTTCTAAAATGCCCTGCTTTTTATCATCATCTCCCTTTAATTGAAGTCGAGTCGTGGATCTATACCGTACTAGCACTATTAGGCTTCGAATGCATGAGAATCACAAACACACACACCGCCCCACTTACATGTCTAATGGATAGATGAACAGGTTGGCAATAGTGGATCCGACAGCGCCTGAAATAGCATGTCCTAATGGCGGTAGCTTGTAGTCCTCGAAAGGCAAGATATCAATTTCTTTTTGCGCCATGATAGTTTGATGAAAAAGGAGAAAGAAGAGGGAAAATTTTTCATTTGGATGAAGAAAGCATATTATATAATAAATAATCACATGCTGAGTGTTGAGGAATATGAGAACAAAGCATGGTGTAACCAGAAGAGAAACTGAAATCACTACTTCATCATGCAATCATAAAGCATAAATTCGCCATCATTTTGGTGTAGGAGCAAATTGTCAAACCGGAACATGTGTCCTCGTAGTTATCCAATGTCTGTTATGCCATGCAATCTCGTATGGAGTGTATACATGCTTGTCTCTTGAGCATCTGCTGCTTTCGACATTGGACATTATCCACAGCTGGATCCATGATGAATTGAAGCATCCAGCAGCTTCAACAGACCCAATGCCAACATCCAGCCCTTTTTCAGAGCCGTTTCTACTTGATTCCTGCCAGCCGCACTCACCAACATCCTACACACATTTGCCCTGAAACCTGCCATTTGCGACTGAGATGTCCATTATTTCCCTTTCACACTGAGATGACGTGTGTAATACCGGACTCTGCAGCTTAATTCAACTTGACTTTCAGCTACGCGTCACTGAGGTTAACGTAAGTCCTCCTTTGCTTGCCATAAGCTAACACTTTCTTTTCTTCTTGCTTTTCATTAAAAAGAACATATATACAAAACAAATATGGAAAGACTCCAACGTTTATTCGGATCTGCCGCAGCTGGTTTAGGACAGGTTTGTATCCCCACACTGGCAACAAAACCAAGACGACATACGTGGTTGTACTCACCCTTCTTTCGCCATCGTGTTCAATAGGGAATGCAACCCGGCATGGATACTCCTACTGTAGATAATGCTGAAATGGTTTACATTTCGTCTCTTGCTCTCTTAAAGGTATGCTTACCATCTTCATGCCCTGACGCACTTTTTGAACTCACCTTGTTTCTTTGTATAGATGTTGAAGCACGGTACATTGATGTTGATACGTAGCATGACGAGGACAGCATTTTGCTCATACTTTATTCTGTAGGCCGTGCTGGTGTTCCAATGGAAGTGATGGGTTTGATGTTGGGTGAATTTGTTGATGATTATACCGTTCGTGTTATCGATGTGTTTGCCATGCCTCAAAGTGGTACTGGCGTATCAGTTGAAGCTGTTGATCCTGTCTTTCAAACCAAGATGTTGGACATGTTGAAGCAAACTGGAAGGTAAGATAGATGCGATTTATTCTGTGTATATATCATGGATACTCATGATAAAATAGACCTGAAATGGTTGTTGGCTGGTACCATTCCCATCCTGGTTTTGGCTGTTGGTTATCCAGTGTCGATATCAACACACAACAAAGTTTCGAGCAATTGAATCCTCGTGCTGTCGCTGTCGTCGTTGACCCCATTCAATCCGTCAAGGGCAAGGTTGTCATTGACGCCTTCCGTCTCATCAACCCACAAACCGTCATGCTTGGACAAGAACCTCGTCAAACCACCTCCAACATTGGCCACCTAAATAAGCCCTCTATTCAAGCCCTGATTCACGGCTTAAACAGACACTACTACTCAATTGCCATCAACTACCGCAAAAACGAATTAGAGGAAAAGATGCTGCTCAACTTACACAAGAAGGATTGGACAGACGGTTTAACACTGGAGAACTTTACTGAGCACACTGAAGTCAATGAAAAGAGTGTTTCCAACATGTTGACATTAGCAGAATCATACAACAAATCCGTTCAAGAAGAATTGACAATGACACCTGAGCAACTCAAGACAAGGCACGTAGGCAAACAAGATCCTAAGCGTCACTTGGAAGATAAGGTCGAATCTGTTATGGGCAACAATATCGTTATGGCTTTAGGTACTATGATTGATAGTGTCAGTTTTTAAATAAATGTATAATGGATGAGCAGTGCGACATATCAACTGGATGTGGTGGATGACTATTGATACATGTGTGGTATGTAAATCATGTACCAAATGATAGCTAGTAGTGCCAGTATGCAAATACAGCATTGACAGCTGCATTTGAAAAAAGCCAAGCAATATGTGATTTATAGCAGTGTTGGTTTAAATTAAAAAAGAGATAAATGTTTATTGGTGTATTGATATCACAAGGAAAATATTTATAACAGAGAGGGGGATATGATGAGTATATTACTGTTTTGTTGGTGTGGTGAAAATATGTTATGACGGTGAAATTCTTTTGATTTGCATAGTAATTGATATCCTTCTAGTAGTAGATGAAACAATGGATGAAAACAAGAAAAAGTACATTAGACGAAAGATCGAATACTAACAATTAAAAAAAAAAAAAAAAAAAAAAAAAAAAAAAAAAAAAGAATATGTTTTTTTGGGGTGCTCAGGGTGACATGACACGAGATGATTGAATGCAGTTTTTATCTGAATCGAAGGTAAAAGTTGACCTAAAAAGAGTAGTATTAATACATGCACGATGGATCACGTCTAAATGTATACTTACAACAAGTGCAATGACCAATAACAGACACAGGACTGCAGGGCCCCAGATATCATCGTAACGACCATCGACACGGCGGTTGATCATCCAGGCACGCTTCTCAAATCTATAGAGTGCATAGATGGCAATACCAGCAGACAGACCAATAAAGATGCCGCCCACAGTTCTTGAAATAGTGTCACCAAAATTGAGCAGATTCAATGCAACAGTCAGTAACAGTGCACAGAACTGGAGCCAAGCAATGAATGTACGTTCGTTTGCGAAAAAGACCTTGGGCTCTACTCGAACTTTGACCTTGTGCCGTTTGTTGGTAGTCTCAAACTCATCCCCTGTAACGGCTGCACCTAGTTCGAGATCTGCTGACTTGTTGTGCTGATCCTGACTTTTTCGATTATTAAAGAACTTTTGTATTTGAGGAGGGAACGAAGAGATGGCACCTTGCTGGGCATCTTTTGTAGCAGCTGCATTTAGAGGAACAGCTTCATTCTTTCCTGGAGGCACAGGTGGTAGACTACTGTCCATGTGAGTATACTCCTTGTTCTTAAAATCTTCCATTGAGGAAGAGGACCCATTATTGATCGCGGTGCCTGAGCTACTTGACCGTGTAGAGATTTGCTCGCCACCACCGACGACAGCTTGCTGATTTGCTCTTTCCTTTTCTTCAATCATGGCTCTTCTGTATTTGCCGTCAATCAGGGGCTTGAAGCTTCGGGAGCGAGTCAGACCAATGTTTTCATTTCTAGGTTTACGAATATCCACATTGAGTTCAGCCAGCCACCAAGGAAGCAGAGGAAGCCTCTCACGATAGAAATGACATGCACCATGCAGGTACTTTGAGAATCTCGGGACCTCGTGGACAAGATGGCTCTCCACTAGAGAATTCAGCCATGCTGGAGGTTCTTGGCCCAGATGTGTTTGAAGCTTGGTTTCCAGGACAGCGTATGGGAAGCGAAGGATGTCACTCTCCTTCACGTGTGGAAAGGGGTAGTCAATGCCTACATCATTACGACGCCAATTGTAAGTAGGTTGACGACGACTCACTCCGTCTAGATGATCTTCACGAATAAAGGTAAGATCGGTATCAAGCGAGATGCGTACACGTTGGTTATCAGGCAGTTGGAACGCTGTTCGGTTGTAAAACGCTCTCAGCATGGGCTCCAAGCGTTTCTCTCTAAATGATTTCTGCACACCTTGTGCAATGAAATGAGCACTCTCCACAGCAGATGCTTCAGCGCCTGATTTGCGTTGATCGTTGGCAATTTGATCAGCAGTGTATAGGCCCGTCATGAACTGGTTCACTTGATTTTCCTTGATTCTGAATCGATCCTTGACAGAGGCACCGTCCAACCAAGAAGCATGATGTGTTTTGCGCTCAATAAAGACGCTTGATGAGCTCATAGGGCCATACCTAACAGCAACAAGGGATGTGGGTGACATTAGTATAAAAGAAGCTGCCTCCTATTTTTTCATGTCATGTACCATCTAAATCTGATAGCTTCGGCTTCCTCGTCTCTCTGTAAACGGCCAGTGTATAAATCAAAGTTGGAGTTATCAAAGTAAGTGCTTGAAATAGCTGAATCTGAGGGCTCCCATTTCTTGTCCTTGTTAAAGATCAGCACGGGTAAATGCAGCATGATGATGGCCTTGACTTCAGTAATGTTATCAGGGTGGATCCAGTACTTGGCAGTAGCTCTCTCAAAGGCATTTTGGTCACCACCTGACGCACTGTTGCCTGGTGATTGCTTGCCTCTGTTACGACAAATATCATGAAGTGCAGAAATATAGATGATGGCAACATCAAAGCGCTGTTTGTCAAGCGGCTTCTCTCGTAATCGTCCTACAAATTCATGTTTAAGATTCAAGCCAGTCCATTTATCATGCTTTTTCAGGATCTTTTGGATGGCAACGAAATTAACACGAGTAAAGCGAGAGAGATCATTTACATCAAACAGGATTTCTGTTAACGCTTCATCCATGATTCCATAGTTGGCATCAGAGGCCATGCTGGGGTTCTTTTGGAGTGTCTGAATAGTGCGTTCGCAGTACAGAATGCGTGCATCAATTTCTGCTAATTTTGCATTGACAAAATCATACACTTTGGTGAGCTCGTTGTCCAGTAAATTTGTAAAATCACTTTCATCTTTGTCGGTCCATCCATGGTCCAATTGGCGAGATTTGAGCTCTTGCTTGAGTACGTCGTATGCAATGTAAGATAGACGCCATGGCGCAAATACGTTTTGCTGTAGTTCTTGGCCGTATTTCATTTTGACAGAGAATCAGAAAAGAGAGAAAGAGAAAAAGAAAAGGGAATAATCTCTTTCACTCGATATCACGCACAATGAATAGCTATTTATATAGATGATTCTGATGCAGAGAGAAGCAGCATTTAGTCAATGAAATACGTAGTTGGTTGTTAAGGAGATAAGTCAGGGACTATGAGAAACAAACCTTTTCTTTCAACAGGTATTTGCATAATGAATCTCCCGCTTTTCCCTACTATATCTACATTATTGCCACTGGCTTGTCTCTCCTAATAGTGAGAGCGTGTGTGTTTCCAGTAGATTCAGTGGTCGACAACCTCTTTCAGTCTCCTGCTATTGTGTAGCGTTTCGTTCCAAAAGACAAAATGCAAGGAAAAAGATACCATCATATATCACGTATGCCCAATCATTCGTTTCATCAAGCTGACATCGGACATCACGCCTGATTTCCTAATCAAGTTGCTTGGATGAGCGAAAAGAACAACAAATAATACATATATGTGGAAATGAAGAGAGACACATCTCCTAAGGAAAATCCATGTCTTGGACAAATGTGCTCCTTTCCACAGCGTTTGTACTACCCATATCTTGCAAGTGATGCGCTGATGTCTATCCACCCCTATTTCATACATTCAAAAAAAAAACAAATACAAAAGCTGACGCTTTCTGCCAACATCCATTTCGCGAATATCAATTCAATTCATCTTTAAATGTGTGTGCAACGTACATTGTAACGACAACAGAAACAGAAAGGACCTCCTGCATCCAACAAGTGATAAATACATGTAAATAGAACGGCGGATTTAAACGGCAATCCTTTTTAAACAACTGATCCGAGTATTAGTGTCAACCGTATCAAAAAACGCTATAGTCACCAAGATGAATTATCACCAGGTAGAAACAAATTGCTATTTTCAAGTGATGGTACTATGCGAACAAATGCGTAACCTATATATATATATATATATATATATGCCTGCTGTATGTGATACCGTCATCATTATATTATCGATTGCTTCTGGGCTTGGATGATGCTGTTTACACCAGTTGCATGATATTAGTGTGTAGGATCACCATGAAAGATTACAACAACACTAGGACAGAAAAACAAACAAACAAACCATCCCAGCTTTGTAAATTTCGTAGACCTTTATTATTTCAATAGAAGACTCACGGCCAATATTTCATATGGTGGATCACACTATCAATCTAATGCAGCAACTCATCATTATCAAAAAGTTTGATCTATCAAAACGACCCTTGTATCGGGCACCAGTCGAGCGAGGGATTTCCTTGAAAGGGGGGTAAAAACCCCTTTCTGTATTATACAAATGTGGGGCTAGCGCAATTGGAATGATGCTATTTCACTGGTTTCTTTTTGCCCATCTGCCAGCAAAATGTATTAGCATAGTGAGTACAAAAAATTATATTCTCTCATATCTTGCACATGACAAAAGTAATGTAATTAATCCTGAAAAAAATATATAGAATATCAGGAAGCTCAATGCCATATCAAAGCATGACTAGCCGACAGAGTGTTCTTATCTCTGTACCATGACCAAAGGTTGGCCTATCAAGCCTCAAAGTGCATGTTAGACATGATATACGATATCTTGGCAAACGTGTGATTACAGAGCAAGAAAAGCTGCAGTGATCAATATTTATATCAACATAGCATAACGAAGCTCTGGCGAAATACGCCATTGATGCTGATGCGCTGATGCATGCCTGTGGTCAGAATTGCATTATTCAAGAAAAATACCATGACATCAAGTAGGATTTCATTACAGGAAATGATTAGTCTATAGCACGAAATAGTCCATGTATGGCTGTACGCTTCTCTGATGAATTCTTTCCAAAACAAGCTTTGGATAGCTAATAATCTGACACGCCTACCAGTTACTGTCGAATATCCTGCTGTTTTGATGCTCATATGGCTTGCTCATCTCTGGTAGCTACTCTTAATTACAGACGAATGCGTATATGCATTGCGTGATTCCCTGCCGTTGCTTCTTTTTGGTAGAAACCAGCCTACGCGGTGGCAACTCACACTGTTGATCGCGTTTGTTCATGTCATCAAAGCACTGTAAACTTTTTCCAACATCTCGCTCATGTAAACTCCCTAGTTGTCCATTATTGCCTTTCATCACTGTGGATCTGGCTCTTCTCGGGTGATCCACATCTGTATTAATGGAACCAATTCATGCATGGGCAGACAACATACTTGCATTATCTTTTATTACTCAAAGAGTATGCAAAATACAGCAAAAATTCGGATACATTCAAGCAGTAATTTCTCGAATTACAAGCCGTTTTAGACTGCTGGGATAGCGCCAAGCAATTGCTTTCATCTAGCATTTACTTGCAAATACCTTTATTCAACTTTTTTGGGACCAAAGAAACATGGGCAAAAATCGACTCAAAGGCATGAGGGGTACCTCATGGAAAATCATCAAAAATCAAACAATCTCGTTTTTGACCCCAAAAATGAAGACTTTCAATAAGGTATATGTTAAATCAAAATGTCTCTCTTGATCCAAAGCAATCGCTAAAATTGACTTTCTGAGACTTTGATATGTATCATCTCGACAATTCTGCCAAAAACCATATGTCGTTTTTTCAAAAATTGCTCAATAGCCTTATTCAAAAGAGCTAGTATAACTTGCACCGTTGGATGCGCTTCGAAAAGTACTACAAAAATGTACTAGAAACCATGGGGTGATCATTACAGTTTATATAGTCGATTCCCACAGAATAGATCAATCAAGTCGATTTTAACTATTATCTGGCCAATCTAGAAGAATGAGAAATATGCGGACTTTTAACTGGGTTGACTGACAAACGCAATAATGCCTCCCTTATCATGGAGCTAATCAGTGTTTATTTGACCTATGAGAAGAGAGCTGCAAATTAAGAATATTGTAGCTTCTATTGATTATCTTTCTTTGCTTGTGTTTTGGCTTTTAATATCTGAGGACGCTAGTCAGCCTGGCTAACCATCAAAAAGAATCTGTCAGCTTCCTTTTCTTTTGTTGAGGGTTTGGGAGTTTTAGTATCCGTTAATGTATTAGCTCGTAAGAGCATTGAGAGGTACTCTATTACGTATGTCAAGTAGAATAACCTGAGCTTAGGAAGCACTCTGGTACCTGCTTTTCATCAACGCTAAACTCCGATATTTTTTGATCTAGATATCCTTTTATGGTAATCTGCAATGATTCAAATGCCAGCATTGAAATGCGTCTTCCGTTCAAACTAGCATGCTTAGGTTGAATATTTATAATAAGTAGCGCTGACACAGCATATAACCTAGTACTTTTGAAGAGTGAATGACATAAGTGATGGCTGTAGGTTTTGGATTGCAATGACCCCGATTTTCCAAGCAATTCACAGAGAAGAGATCGTCCCTTTTTATGCAAACTATGTATACAATTCTCTCGATCAGACCCTCAACCAAATGTTGATATCAAAATGTCAAATTGCCAAATATATTCGACCAAAAAGCTTAAACATGTAGCAAAGACGCTAATTTACCCCACAATTAATGATTCATCCAATCATTGAGCAAGCGATGCGCTAAAACCCGGGTGCAGTTTTGGTATGTGGTCTTGCTATTGAGCGTGAAATTCGGGCTGTTCAGGAATCTCACGTCTATATACAACAGAAAATGAATATATTTACAAATGTGTATATTTTCTGCTTCTATTCAAAATACATAAATATCGCGATGAATTTTCTCTTCCCCCCTCTCTTCCTAGTTTTTTGTTTCCTTTGCTTTTTCTACTTTATACAATTTTTGTTCCTTACTTTAACAAATGACTCATAGACTGAAAATAGAACAAAGCAATCAATCTATAATACGCAACAAAATGTCCGCCTTTCCAACCGCAAGAAAAGGCATCTCAATTATGTTCAATTCCTCCAGAAAGATGTAACAGTTTCCTGATCTGAAAGTCTCCGACCCAAAAAAAAAAAAGTAACTAGGTGAAGGAGGGGTCATGATGTGATGAAGAGAAGAAAGGTTGGGGTCCATTGACCAACTTTTTAGCAATACACCACCTCTTTTGTAATAGTGATGTTGCTCACGATGATGATACCCAAACAGCAAATTCTTCTTTATCATATGAAAATGTTATTCAACTATACGAAAAAAGTCACAAATGTGGGTGAGTGGCTCTACATACACAGAGGGAATATTTGTGCCTTTACATCTAGCACCAGCCCCTAAAATATATTGTATTCCTCGGAGCAAACTACATGCTAATCGATTTGCCATTACAAATTGCAGTAGTACATTGGGATGGAACGTGAGTTTGAAATTATAAACGTGGGGTAGCTCAAATTGGTAATCATGTATTTCATATCATTAAAGTCTCAAATGTAAACATGGCAAAAAAAACGCTTGATGCTTACTTGAAGGCAAGAATCTGAAACCTACACATCTCAATGCGCGTACTCATCTGAAATTGCCTGTAGTATTCTGGGATCCCACTCAAACATTTATCCCAATATTTCACGTATGATTTTGTGGTTTCACAAATCCCCCCGCCTTTTCTTCTTTATTTTTCATTTCAGCATCACTCGTTTGATATTAAATCTCCCACGTTATCAAAAAGAATTGAGTAAAAATGACTAGAATACCAATGAAGATAATGATGATTCATTTTAAATGATAAATCAAGACACACTCGCTCTTTCTCTTTTATCGAGATTCACAAACTGACTGATTTCCTTCCATTTCTGCATTTGTATAGCCATTTAACGTTCATCATTTTTGCGGGGAAGACGTATGATGAACAGCCTTATCCCGCGGAAGGAAAGAGTGAGGAACTATGGAAACAGCCCAGAATGCGTATACAATTTGGTCCATGTGAAACCTTATGAATCAGCTTCAAAGCAAAATAGCCGTTTTTCAAGCGGAGAAAACCGGGTGTAGGTTTAAGAAGGGTTCAAAGGGCCTCTCGTCCAAAAGGAAAGAAGGGCAAGTTACACTACAGACAAATTTTCCTAATAAAATGAGACATTTTCTTTTATTCTGGCCCTCTTTTTCCTCTCAAGAAATCTTATTTTGTACTTTATATTGTTTGTCCATTTCTGAATGATAATAAATACAACGCCTTTATTATAAAATCCAACAAGAACATTAAACGCTTTCGGCCGGTCTCTCGCTTTCGCTTTCGCTTTCGCTCTCTCGCTCTCTCGCTCCATCACTCTCTGTCTTTTTCTCCTTTACCATTTATTTATTTTCTACTTGTTTTCACCAAACCACAACCACAACCCTAACACCAACCCCAACCACATCTATAAGCTACTACCATGGAATACGATCCTGCCCACAAAACTTCCAGTGTTACCAGCACAAGCAGCAGCACATCCTCTATTTGGGACCCATTGCCCTCTCTCTACACTGGCCGTGCAGATTCAGTCTCTAGTGCTTACGATTTTGATGATTTGCAAGAGCCCGAATCATTCAATGAGCCCAATCTCCACACAATTGCATTGAATGACGAAAACGAACAGCAGCAAAAATCATTCAACGAGTTTCTCAATAATTTCCTCGAAGAAAATCAAATCAAAAAGGTAGACAAAGATAATTTTCCCACACTTTTACATGTTACTCAAACTTCGCATTTAGGAGTTCATTGGTCATCACGAGGTGCCCTCATCCAACAGCCTGTTGAGTCATGGGAATATCAAGTCCAAGAGACCTTATCAGGAAATGGTGGAAGATGATGAAGAAACCAACAAGAAGAACAGAGAGCTTCTTTCAGATGACCAAAAGCGTGCAAACCATATAGCATCTGAACAAAAGAGACGCAACACAATTCGCGGTGGATTCAAGGAGCTGACTGAAATCATTCCTACTCTAAAGAACATCAACAACTCCAAGAGCACTATTCTTTTCAAATCTGTTGACTATATCAAACAGCTTGATAAGCGTAACAAGGCATTAAAAGATAGACTTGTTCAGCTGCAGCAGAGAGTCCAACAAAAGACATTGAAGAAGCACTCCAACCTACCTCCCAGTGCAATTGCGGCCTTGATTGCTCACAAAAACCAACAAAAACAGCTCGAGTTATTGCAAGAGCAATTGCGTGTTCAACAAGCTCTCTTAACCAAGCACAACATTCAGCCTCATCAATCTCTTTACCCCACTACTCATACAGCATCTTCCAACAGTGGCGATTACCATTCCATCTCCATTCCTGCCATGATTGACACGCCCACCACCTCCACGACTACCTCCCCCACCCTCCAGCATGCATCTCTTCCTTTGTCCTCTCAAATTGTAAATAACTCTAATAGCATTTCATTTTCTACTCCTGCTGCTTTGGTCATGCCTTCCGATGAATGGCAACAGCGTCCTCATGTTCATCATCAACATCCTCATCCACATTCAGCTCCCAGTTTCATCATTCCTGCCGATGAAAATTATAATCAAAACCATCTCAGTTTCCGTGAACGCTTACTCAGTTCTGGGAAATTGAATCATTTAAGAAAAATATCCATGTAATTTTATGTCTCGTATTCAATAAAACCTATTCTATCGCATTCTTTTTTACTGTTATTGCGTGTTTACATTGTTACCCATATTATATTTAGCTATTTTGGGCGTTTTTTCATAGATGACTTGGCACTATAGTTGCATTGTATTACCATCATCTTTCTAAAGAAGCAAATCCATGAAGAACTTCATTGGTCGGGGCCATTAGGAATTGTGTATACATTGCGCTTTCTTGTCTCGAAACGCATCAGCCAAGTAAATCAGATGGCATGTGTGTGTGTGTGTGTGTGTATTATATGCCTTCTGTCAATCATATTTCCAATTAAAGCTATATAGATAAGCAAGTACTATTCACATATCAATATACCAAATGATGTAATTTCTATTCATCATAGCTTTAAGGTTTAGTGCATGTTTTCTCGAGACATATGAGACATGACAAATGCTATGTGCAAACACGATAGATAATAACGCTTTGGACAGTTGTTTCCCAAAATTTGCCAATCAGTCTTTATGTGATTAGCAAATTCGTATTAATCATGCGAATTTCATGGTGGATTGGCTTTCCGTCAAAGTTCAATATTTGCCATAATAAACCAATCAAAGCAACCTGAATCTAATTACAAATCGCCAATCAATAAATTGATAGTGTTCGTTGATCTTGTGCAATACCAACTCAACTGTTCCTGTGGTGCAACCTAGGCCAAGCAAAAGTTCGATTGTTAGGTGCACAATACAGTCTAGATCACGAAAATATACCCCACAGATTTTTCGGTGTCTGAGTTGGCATGACGCTGAAACTCTGATTTTGATGGATGCTATGGTATCTAAGTAAAAACATGTACTTGCAAGCACAAAATACATTTGTCAGCTCAATAAATGATCAGCCAAAGCCTTGCTAGTCTTATATTTACTGTTATTCTGAGCGGTTGCCTTAGTTAAGGCATAGCAGTGATAATGTGCAATGTCTCACGAAATAGTAAATGTCACTGGAAGATCTGAGCTATTTAGGAAGCAATAGTGATTTCTTGCATATTTTTCTCAATGGTATCAACGATACTTGATATCTTGTATCATACTACGGAACAAGCTCTTTGCATGGCTCTGCTAGATCAGGTCATTGCTCCTGCAAATTTAGCAGATCCTCTATTGATTATTGTCTCAAGATCGCATAATAATACCTAACTACAAGTGATAATATGAGTATCGTACGATGCACACCATCAACCCTAGTTGACACAATAACATTACAGTTGGAAATATTGCCGGGACCACCTCTTGCTCATCCATGAGTCCATGGTATACTCAATTACAGCAAAATCAGGGCACCCATGAGGGCGTATAGCTCGTGTTACGGGCCGTTTAGATCGTAAGAATGACACAAAACGATTTCTCTCGACTCGTACTTGCTCTATGATGCTTTATCTCAATTTTTTTTTGGGTCAAGAAAAAATCGATGAAACTCTCGATTTTGGACGAGGTATAGCAAGGCAATTTGGATCAAAATCACTTGATCGCATTTTTGCTTTGAAGAGAGCATTTTCCAATATGGTGTTTGTATAGTTAAAATGATGCTGGAGACTCGATGCATCGTGTAGAATTCTAATTTTGAAAGTTACATAGTGGAAAAATTGACTTTTTTGCCAAAATGTGTTTATTAAACTTTTGCAATTTGCACAGTATTCTTGTTGTAAAAGTGTCGCTTGGATGGTACCATCAGTTGCGCCTCGGAAAGAGCTGCTAGTAAGTATAGAGCTGCAAGGCGCGATGATTACGATTTATATAGTCGAATTCCCCAAAAAACGTTTCAATTTTGAAAAAAAGTCGACTTTGAATTAGAAAATTTCCAGCTACGAAAGCATTTTTTTTTTATTCTGTTAAATTACTGCTGCAGTTGTTAGATTCATGAAACAATCGATAGTTACATCAAATCAAAGCAAGAGTCCAAAATAAAAAGCTCTAATCTCAGGGTATGGTTTGTTCGTTTGCGTCTTTTCCTTGGTTCATTCATCATTAAACGCGTTTCAAAATGCAACCATCAATGCAACCCAACAACAGAAGCATGAATGCATTGATTGAACATTCAAGGGTGTGCAAAGTATAGATTATCACGCTGCAAAGACTTATTGAGATAACATATATCTAATTCCATCACTTGGTTACAGTGAAATAGCTCCCTTTGATACGAATACTGCCTGTATATTCCTGCAAATGTCAACATGTGTTTGAAAAAGCGATACGTGTATTTGATCTTTTTCATGAAGCGGGTAATTATATCCACGATTAGTAAAACACTTTTTATTCTTTAGTTATCATCATTACGAGAAATGAAAAAGTTAACGCCAATCAATTCAAGATTATGTTGGTTAGCGAAGGCTTTGAAATCCCAGTTGTTGCTCTCTTTAGCTAAAGTACCGAAGTCTGCTTGAGTTCTGGGTTGCTTGTAAAGCAAAAAGATGTAACGATGATCGCGAGTCTTGGGTGGAGGAGCAGGACCATTATAAGGCGCCAAGGCATTACCTTTACTGAAATCACCAGAAGCTATCATAGAGGATACACACTGTCAGCTTCTCCAACTCTCACCGCGTCTCTACTCACAGCTTACCAGGAATGTTTGTAATAACCCAATGACGATAAGGACCCCACTTGGGATCTTCCTTAGTAGGAGCATCAGGATCAACCTACACACACACACACACATTGGATTGAGTACGCCATTATGCAAAAACAACGTGCTAATATTCAAATCTTACCACTAAAAGAGTATATTCTGCAGTTTCATCAGGAGCAATAAATGTCACTTTGGGAGTATCAGCGGATTCTGAAGGCTTAATAAAGTTACCCAAAGCAACATCTTCACCGTTAGCGTAAGTGGCACTGACCAGAGTAGAAGGAGTGAAATCCTCGGGGACAACTAGAGAGTATTGTCGTGATTAATCTCGAGTAAAAAGGGACCCCGTCCATCAAAAAAAAAAAAAAAAAAAAAAAAACTTACTATTGGGAGTAATTCCAGCTTTCTTTAAAGAGACGTTCAAGTTCATATCCATAGTAACAAGAGGCATTTTAGAGATGGTGTTGTATTTGTTCAGTTGAAAAAGAAGAGGAAAAAGAGAAAAAGAGAATCTCAAAGCAAGCAGGCATCATTATATCATCATTTTTTTATCAAAACCCGATTAAGGATGGTGGGATACAATGATGAACTCGGTGAAACACTACAACATGAAGGCAGGAGAGAAGCTCCTTCTACTCTCGCACTGCAAGTGACGTGGTTCGCACTTAACAAACACTGATAGCACATCTTTAATTTCTCCCTGTTTCCCTCGCTTCTTATATATAGAGCCTTTTTTTTTTCTTCCAGTATATATATATATATATATATAAAATTTGAAAAATGTCTGCACCTACACAAACAACCAATACTACAGCAGTAAATGCTAATGCTTCCAATGACAGAAGACCTGTACCAGTGAAGCTTGTATTGCTAGGTAAATGAAATGAGTGAATGCTCTAGACTTGGCATCAGCAAGTAACCTTATCATCAACCATTCTTACAGGTGAATCGGCTGTTGGTAAATCCAGTCTTGTTGTACGTTTCGTCAATCGTGAATACGCAGAAAACAGAGAACCCACCATTGGCGGTGAGTATTGAGATGATAATGCACACAACTGCATCAACTAAGATCCTTCTAGCCGCCTTCTTGACACAAAAGTGCACAGTCGATGATCGCACAGTGAAATATGAGATTTGGGATACTGCAGGACAAGAGAGATTTCATTCATTAGCACCCATGTATTATAGAAATGCTCAAGCAGCCATTGTCATGTACGATATCACAAAATCTGTAGGTATTGCCTTGCTGAAAATGTGTTTCATTCATGCTAAAACATTTATCCTCTTCTCAATATATAGTCTACTTTGGATAAAGCAAAAGGCTGGGTCAAGGAATTACAGCGCCAAGCAAACTCACAAATTGTGATTGCCCTCGTCGGCAATAAGCTTGATTTAGTAGAGGGAGGCAATGAGCAACAAGACGATGATGAGCAAGACGACAACAGCACTAGCAGACAAGTAACTTATGAAGAGGCATCTGCTTATGCATCTGAAGCTGGTCTCTTATTTTTCGAGACCAGTGCTAGAACCGCTGCAAATGTGGATGAAGTATTCACAGAGATTGGTGAGATGCAGTATAGCTAATCTCATTGTTCACATGATCTAACCTCTATCCTTTATACAGCCAAAAATATCCCTCACGATTATCTTGCAAACAATAGAAATGGATCACGAGTTGCTGGAGGAAATGGCAATAATGCAAGACTTGACCTTTTGCGTGGAGCTGGTGCCAATGGACAAAATTCTAGTGGATGTGCCTGTTAAGTTGTGTAAATTATCCCCTTAATCTCTTCTTTGTTACATGATTCGTAGTAGTAGTAGTAGTAGTAGTAGTAGTAGTAGTAGTAGCAGTGGTAGTAGTAGTAGTAGTAGTAGTATATAAAGTTATTTTCTTTAAAAATGAAACAACATGCACATCTGGTATTTAGTTAAGTAACCAGGAGTTTATAGTGTCGAATAGTTAATTTCAAATTATAAGAGAATAACATCTATCCATGTTGCGTGTAGTCAATACGCATGTTGAATGACTTTCATGTTGGTATGTTCAATCATGCATTTATTTTTAGTAATCAGATAGCAGTGTGTATAGGAAACTGAAAGAGGGTTCACGGGTTCAATTGGCGTGTCGATGGCATGGTGAAATTGAGCTTTATGAAGCTATGGATCGATCCCTACACAAATTACTGGTAAGCAGCCTCATCTATCCAGTAACTTTATCCATGCGAGCATACTATATGCATCTCCTATATTTTTGACATTAAAAGGTTTTAGTAATTTCAATGTCGACCATCAAAAGGTTAGTCTTTTTTTTTTCCCACAAATCATGTATACTATATGGCTACAGATCTCTCATTGTACCTCTCTCCTATGATGCGTCTCTCTATCTGCAGCTGTTTCATGTTGTCTCTTTGGTGTATTTAACACATGAATTGGCTATTACGACATCAAATGAGAACACCATAAGAAGCTGATCAGGTATTAAAATTAACTTATTAATATATTTCAAGCTAGACGAGGGTAAAATCCCAAAAAACACACACTCTTAGGAGTCAACACAGCTATCAAAGTAAAGAGGGGTGAATCTTACGTTTCATCAAAGAGAAAGGGGAGATCATACTGGTAATAACTCACATGAAGAGGCTATATAAACATTGACATGCCATGGAAATATCATTTTACTTTCTTCTTCTCTTTTATATCTTTCTATACAACGATAGCCCACCCCCCATTCCTTTCTTTTTCCTTTAACAAGAGCTATTGATAACAAATACTATGCATTCATACAATAATACCAATCATACCAATTCTTCTTCTCCTGCCAATGCCACCAACAAGAAATCCAATTCAGCCAATGCAAGTGGTGATACAAATACAATGACTCGTATGCATCCTTCAATGAAGAGACCCAGAGCGCCTATTGCTTGTTATCGTTGTCATCATAAAAAGGTACATTTGAGAAGCATCGAGTACCTCTGCAACATACTAACTCAACCTGAATTCAGGTCCGTTGCGACGGGGAGCATCCCAATTGTACTCGTTGCCTAACAACCGGTGTTTTATGTGCCTATCCAAGCTCTCGTCGATCTCGCAACACCCAACCCACCAACGTCGACCCATTCATTGATAACCTGTCTCAATTGGAAGCAAGAATCAGAAGAATCGAAGACGACCTTGAATCACAGCGTGCTCTCGTACGAACTGTTTGTGCGAACGATCCTCTGATAGGAGGAGGAGGAGGAGGAGGAGATCTCACTGCTAAACACAACAATGCTACACTCACATCTCGTATGCTTAAAACGGAAAAAGATCTCCAAGAATCTCGCTCCATCGTTGCTCAACTGAGATTAAGAGGCGAGCAAAGGGCTGCAAGAGGTAGAAGGGCTGCTGCTGCTGCTGCCGCTGCATCCGTTGCTTCTTCAACAACACCCGGTCCTGACAAGAATAATGGTTCTTCTGAGAAATTACAAAAGAGTAACAATGAAGCCGTCAATGGTACCGGCGGCAAGCAGAGAGCTAATCATAGCAGTAAATTGAAATCGAATAGTATGAAAAAGGAGAAGTCCTATACACCGACATCAGCTATTAATACGAGCACTGCCATCAGTACTTCTGCTGCTACTGCTACTGCTTTCAGCAACATGAACTATACGACGGCCATGACATCTCCTCCATTCTACTTTACTTCAGCGTCGACTACTTCACCTACTGACTTTATCAATCCATCGCCCACTTACTACTTTCCTTCATACACGACTGATTTGACAGGCTCCATGTGCTCCAATAACACTACTACCAATGGATCTTCGCATCCTCTTCGACACCAACAACAGCAGCAACAGTTCAACTTTCAAGATTGGCCTCTTTTGAATGCTTTGCCGCCTACTTCTGCCGCTCATACCACCTCCTCATCTACAACAATCAATGATTTTGTTGATCCCATGATCATTGCAGCAGCTGAGGCACATCAAAATGGTATAGCTCCACCTCTGTTGAGTGTATCAAGCTACATGGTGGATGAGGGCACCTCGATCATGGCAGCGAGAGCACGGTCATTGTCACACTTACCTACTGCAGCCCCCGCAGCCACAGATACCAACATGCTGATTCCAGGCCTTCAACCTTCGTCCTCCTCCACCTCTACGTCTTCCAATTCCTCATTTGGATTCAATGCAAATCAGTCCTTGTACGAGAACTACAGCCAATTTATGGATAGCAACGACATGATGTTGATTGATGGTGTTGGTGCTGGATCTGCACAAACTGCTAGCTTAAGATAAATTTATTCATTCATTTAGTAATTCATCATATATTATACATAGCATCCTTTTACTACTCCAAAATACCAGCCCTAAACCCCTTCCTCTCTTTTCCTCATTATATTCTCTTTTATCTATCATTACATATCTAACTGTCGTTTTATCTCTTCTTCTTCTTCTTCTTCTTCTCGTTATATATTTACCTATTTAACTAAATAAAAAAAAAACCCCCCCCTTACATAATCTTGTTGTTAGTTTACTTTGCACATGCGTTTAGTCATCTCGGTATAAACATCATTATTAAAGTAGTTTTATTTCAAATGCAATGTATGAATTAGAAGGGAGGATTTTTCTCTCTCTCTCTCTCTCTCTCTCTCTCTCTCTCTCTCTATGCAATGTACTAAAGTAGAAGAGCCGAAAAGTTTATACATCAGGCTCGAGTCGACGAACAATGTGCCACATCAAATCCCTGTTTGTCCAGTAGGAGAAGTGAGCCGTAAGACCACTGACGTACTCGTTCTTTTGCAAGAACCCCATAAAGCGTTCTGGTCTCAGTACATAATCAATTCTATTGCTACAGCCAGTACTAGCATGGGACACTGCTCGACTCGATTTCGTAATGGTAGTGTTTAAAACAAGGTGATCATCCTGAGTGTAGCTTTTTCGTCTCCTTTTCTTCTCGGGTGTCTGATTTCCTTCTTCCAGCACAAATGAGTTACGCTTCTTTTGATCATAGTTGCTACTGCCAGTCATCATAGCGTCTGCTTGTGCGTAGATGAATGGATCAGCATCCATCGTGTTAATGGGTGTTGTGATGCTTTCATCTTCAAATTCATCATCTCCATATTCTGTACTGCAATCCAGCGAAAGCTTTGGCGTGGAGGTGGCGGAAATGGAAGCATCCCGATCTTGTTGTTGCTGCTGTTTGGAAGGGGAGAAGGAAAAGGGGTTGCTTCTATTAGCACCAGAAGAGAAATAACGTTTAAGGGTTGAGAACAAGCTGCTCACGTTATTGCCACCAAGGATTTGCTGCAACTCCATGTTGTTATTTCTGTAAAGACATTCTTGTTGACGACGATCCCCCTTGGTGGCAGCACTGTCCTCTATCAATACAGCAGTCTTGTCCCTGTAGTCAATATGGAGCATGGGCTCAAACCGATAAGCCAATGGGTCAAAGGGGTGGAATATATTTTCAAATACAATGCTTGGATCAGGATGGTATAATTTGGGGTCTTGGTTTCTGACTGTCAAGAAGGCGCTCAGGGGGCTCCCCAGGTTGAATAAGTAATCAGGTTTGAAATGCAAGGCAGGAAAGTCAAGATCCAGTTTTGAGTGCTGCTGAATATCTTTCTTTGTAGTGCCAGGCCTTGCTTGATTTGAGAGTATATCCCATGTAATGATGCCACCTAACCTGTAATCAATGTATGTGAGTATGCATAAATTAATTTTCATTATACTGCTAAACAACTTACGAGTAAGCTAAAATGACCACCTTGCCGCTGAACCCTGGATTAGTCTTTATAAATTGATTGTAGGCTGCATTAAAGGTGTTTGTAACATGAGTAATGATGCTTTGACCTCGCTCTTTGGAGAGATAAAAGAAGGCATCTGCAAGATAGTCGTTATTGACCATGCGCATGGAAGGGATGGACCGCAAAGTGATATCATCCATAGCCATGTCAGTCTCTTCATGAATGTGCTTGTGCCACTCCACAGGGACATACTGGACATTGATCTGTCTATGAGGCGCGTTTTCTTCCACAACGTGATTTGTTGTATCAAACAGGCCTTGCACTATATAGACGAATCATAAAAGTGAATTCCTGCGCGCGCACTCTATAAAACCACTTACAGTGCTTTTGAAAGAATCCAAACTTTTCTGTTTGCTGTTTAGTGTGAACTGCATTAGTCAACTATGATATAGCATTCTGAGGCGAGTTGAATAATACCTGACCAATGCCCTGTGAGGGAAAAATGAAAAGCCTGTTAATCATTGATCCATGAAGAGCAAAGCTTGTGGTAACACAAACAACGGCAAGACCAGCCCACTTACATGAATGACAAATGCAACATGATCAACTGGACCATCCACTTCTGGAGACTTTAGCTTTTGACATGCATTATTTGTTTTTGTTGCCGTTACAGCGGGCGTAATATTAAACTGTTTGCGAGACAAGAATTGATAGTTGAATTGAAACAACATTGATGAAAAATAAAGAGAAAAAGAAAGAGGGATTGATTAACAGTTGCCTTGATTTATATGTATCCATGGCAACACTATCTCCTTAATTGCCTGCGAATGTTGGCCACCTTATGCTCTATCTTGTTGTATATAGGTCTTTTTCTCTTCCCCTATTCTGCATTCTATATAAATAGGTTTCAAGATATATTGCAGCACATGAAAGGGGCAATCCCCAATCAGAGGATGCAAACGTAACGTAGAATGAACAAAGGTCGGAGTACTCCGGGTAACATCATCATGAATAATGAAGCTTTAGTGTGTAGCAGTATGGCTCCATGTTGCAAGGTACAGTCATCTGTTGCGAAGGGGAACTTGGGATAGTATTGTACCTCGTACTTTTTTTTTTTTTTTTTTTTTTTTTCCCCGGCCGTCTATAGCAAGAAGTTTTCCCCTGTGTGGATATCTATCAATTTGCTTGTATACATGTTGGCATGTGAAATGATGAATTTAATAACAATCTACGCCGCCTATTGAATTCGTGGGAAATTTGGTTTGTCTGTTACAGTTTTGGAGGATCTTCTTGTCATGATACCACTCAACAAAAACTAGACATCCAGAGATAAGAAAGAGGAGATTAGGATTATATCATATAAACGTAAATCGTAATATTAAACCAACAGCTTTTAGCTTGTAAAAAAAGGCACCTAAATGCCATGTCTATAGGATGCTAAATCAACTGAGTTCATGTAACCCTACCCCGCCCGAAAGAGGTATGTGCCATGGAACATCCACCCCGCATTTTAATGCGAAAACATTTAAATAGCATTGATCCTCCACAAATCCTTTTTTCTTGCTTTTCTTTCTTGTATTTATTTTACATATATATATATATATATATATACACAACACACACACATATACAACATGGTTTCTGACAAATTTGACGCAATTAAAGTTGGCACTGGCGAGGATTTAGTCACTTTGACACGTTGGGTTATCGCTCAACAACAAGTAAGTTGCCTTACCCCTTTGTTTATCTGAAGAGGCGATTGACCGCCCCAAAACTCAATAGGAAGCACCTGAGGCTACTGGTGATCTCACTCTACTCTTGACCGCCATTCAATTTGGCTGTAAATTTGTTGCCTCCAAGGTAAAGCAGGCTGGTTTGGTTAACCTGTAAGTGTACTTTTGATGTCTGCGTGTGTGTGTGTTTATGTGATCCCAGACTTATGATTTGTTTCGTTTTAGTTTGGGTTTAACTGGTACAGCCAATGTTCAAGGTGAGGATGTCAAGAAGCTTGATGTGCTTGCCAATGACATCTTCCGTAACGCATTGATTGCCTCTGGTAAAGCCTGTTTGTTGGTCTCTGAAGAAGATGAAAATGCCATGATCATTGAGAATCCCGATCAACGTGGCAAATACGTTGTTACTTTTGATCCCTTGGATGGTTCCTCCAACATTGATTGTGGTGTTTCTATTGGTACAATCTTTGGTATTTTCAAAGTGGTAAATACAACGAGTGTGAGGAGGCTTGAGAGCAAGAGATGTTAATACCATGTACATAGAAAGATGAAAGCAACCCCAATATTAGCGATTGTATCCGTAGTGGCCGTGAATTGATTGCTGCAGGTTACTGTATGTATGGCTCTTATTGTGAGATGATCCTGGTAAGTTGATATTCTAATATGGTGTGTGTTTCATGTCGCTGATGAATCATATACAATAGTCTGTTGGCAACGGTGTAAACGGCTTCACTTTGGATCCCTCTATCGGTGAATTCATCATGACACATCCCAAGGTACGTAAAATAAATATTTTTCTTGTTATGGAGGCCTCTTATTTCTCGGGTTGTTTCGGACTAGCAAACATCTCATACTCCTTTTTCAACACCATAGATCTCTTTGCCTCCTCGTGGTAAGATTTATTCCATCAACGAGGGTAACTACAAATACTTTGATGAACCCAGCAAGAAGTACGTCGATCAAGTCAAGCAAAAATACAGCGCTCGTTATGTTGGTTCCATGGTATCCGATATCCACCGAACATTGTTGTATGGTAAGTTACACACAAGCATCAAAAAACATGCGAAAGCACAAGCTAACTCTTCCATGTAGGTGGTATCTTTGGTTACCCTGCTGACTCAAAGTCAAAGAAAGGAAAGCTTAGAATCTTGTATGAAGTATTCCCCATGGCCTTCTTGATTGAACAAGCTGGTGGTAAGGCGACAACTGGTACTATGAACTGTTTGGATTTGGTACCTGAACACATTCACGATCGCTCTGGTATTTGGCTCGGTTCCAAGGAGGATGTTGAGGATTTGGAAGCTTGCTATAAGGCTTAGATTTGTAAAATATGATTTCAATATTGTAGTAATAATAAAATATGATTCCTTTCGTCATGCTGTATTTCATTCAGGTACATTTGGTGTGCATACCATAGTACAGTGCCAAATTTGATTATCAATTCTAAGCACTAGTGTGTTTCAGACTAATATTATGCGTATTTAGAGAAGTTTTTTTTTCTATTCATGTAGAAGCACATAGGGCGCAGGGCAAATACCTTGCTTCAAGATGTACAAGCGTTATATTAGTTTGGAAGATAGGACAAAACGAATGAGCATTGAGGCTCTTCTGTTAGCGTTTCTGTAAACTCCAGAACAGACATTTTACAAAGGTAACATCTCACATTATGCAACGTACTACGTCAAAGAGAATTGCGAGGGATCGAGCCAAAGCGCGTTAATCATTTAGCTATAGTCCCAGTTATTGCATTGATGCTAATGTAATCATATATAGAGCCATATACAACCACGAAAATAAATCAAGTCATAAAGATGTAAAAGCCGTAATCTATTTTTGGCAATAACCCATCATTACCTGTGCATACTAAGTTTGTACAGAATCGAATGGCGCATTGCGTGGAACCACGCTTGACAAGTATGGTACAAGAAGTTGTCTTCAGACAAGCCTGTTTTTCAGTATCTCACCCACTAGCCGATCCATCTCGCTACGTTCGATGTCGGCGTCGCCCTGTGGGCTCTCGCCAAAGACATTTTAAATCAGATATAATAAAATATTGGTATATCAAGTAGACTTTAAACAACCAATTAATAGTAAAAAAAAAAAAAAGGGTTATACCAGAGTCAGGAGAGCAAGTTATTTATTCGCTGATGTTGCTCTTGAGATGACAGCATAAAGCTGGTCATAAGTAAACACAGGACTTGCGTAAGATCTATAGCGAATTTTTTTGAGATATTGTCATTTTAAAAGACACACTTATAAGGAAAAACTCCCAAGAAAAAGAAATTATTCGAGCCAAGCAATTGTAATTTTAACTCCATGATCCCTATTTGATCAGCATCGCAACCATCATTGTTATCATCATTGTCATTATCAGAAAAGCATTTGGGCCATCCAGCACCAGCGCCACCCGCTGCTAAATCAATTGAAACTCAGTTAATTTTTTCTGTTCGAGATTGGACAGATATTGTCTTTTTTCGACTTCTTTAATCTGTTTTGCCATATTCGACTATATAAACTGTGATGATCACCCTACGCTTCCTAATACATCCTTGAAGTACTTTTCAAGGCGCTTCCAATGGTTCTAATTGTAATAGTTGCTTTAAATAAAATTGCTGAGTAATTCGCTAAAATATGAGATGAGGTTTTTAGCGAAAATAGCCATATGTTGCATATGAAAACCTCATAAAAGTGGTTTCAGAGGTTGCTTTGCATCGAGAGAAACATTTTGATTTGATATATACCATAGTGAAAGTCTTTGTTTTCAAGGCAAAAAATGCGATCGTTTGATTTTCGATGAAAACCGTGAGGTATCCTTCATGCTTTTTGGTCGATTTTTGGCCATGTTCTTTGGGTCCCAAAAAAGTTAAGCAAAGGTGTCAGAAAGTAACTACCAGATGAGAGCGATTGTTTGGCGCTATTCTGGCGGCCTAAAACGGCTTCCAACGCGAGAAAACATAGCTCAAAGACACCCAAATTTTGCTGTATTGGGCAGACTTTTGACTACAAGGGAGTAATGCCAGTATGTTGCTTGTCCGTATAGGAAGTATCTACGTTTTTTTTTTGGATGTGGAACATCACACAAGAGTCAGATCCACAGATAATATGAAGGGTTGAAATGAAAGTAACAGTATTTTTGATAAAGATGAGCAAGGGCAATCGGTAGCGCGAGCCGCCATTGCGCAGGCTGGTTCTCACCGAAGAGAAGCGAAGGTAGAAATCCGTCCAAAGCATAAACACGCTCGTATATACTAAGAGATACTTCCTTTTTTCATTCGAGTCAACTGTATCATCAAAAACAAAGTTACATTGCATACGTAACAGCGAATTGTTTGAGGTTGGCTGCTTTCATCAAAGGGAGTGAGCTGATAAAAATACTTGTCAGAGAGTGTTTCTTTATGGCATTGAGTCTGTCTGCAGTACTTTAATCAAGTTTTGGACACCAAGCCAGCACTACAATAACTGTCAAGGCCATGACTTACGACGCTGTCGAAGAAACTAGCACATGCTTTTTCTCTCGTGTGCTGTCAGCTTGTTTGCTACCGCACAACTCTAGAGGTTTTTTAATACATCTTTTACTGATGATGCTTCTTACGGAGATTGGTCTTCTCCGTGTTTTACTCTCCTTTGGTGAGGAAAATTCACCGTGTTCTTTCGATATAGATTGTAAAGAAAAGCGAAAAAAGAGAACATAAGGAAAAGAATGGACCAAGATCGCATTTTATTATAGTAGCGGGCATGTATTCTCACTTGCAATGATCTGTACTTTACGTTTGATAAATTCTATGCAACAACATTCAAAGACTCCTGTATTTTGTAAGCCGTCCAACACTGTCTTCGTGCATTACTTGCTATGAGGAGAAACGTGTAATACACAATAAGAGGTAGAAATCATTCTTCGAGGTACCATTGAACGGTTTTTTCCTACTTTCGACCATGCCATAGATCAGCAACTAAAGCACCAGTATTGTAGAGACGCTCGAGCATATACGGAATCAAACAACCTATGCTGATTTTAACCAACATTGGATCGAGTACTATCTGCATGAAGGCTGTGGCATACATTAAAGCCTCTTATTAAAATGCCGGCTGGCACAACAGTGATTATAAGGCACTAGTAGTCGCTTTAAATATTTTTTTCTCATTTTCAAGATTACACATACGTAGACAAGACAATGCAAAAGACTGGCCTACTCTTTAAGCATTGCTTAGAAGTCCCTGCATTCAATTCTATAAAACGTCTTCATTCAATACCGTCGATAAACAATTATATCAAACGACAATACGTAACAACAACAAATACAATACAAAATGCCAACAAAGCTTCTGCAACGACAACGACACAAAAGGCAGGCCCCCCCTTGAACGCATCTCGAAGAGTATTGGCATTACCAACAAAAGTAACTGAAATGAAATTGCGTTGTAAGTGCTATTGAGGTATGGATTTGTTATTTAATGACTGAATATGTTCGAGCATAGGCACAGAGTTCGATCAAAACGGTGCTGTCAAAACAACAGCAGGAGAATTTCTCAAATCAGACTTTTGTCAGCATCACTCACTGCTTCCTCGTGATTTACGAACAATTGATACCTACTCTGTTTATCAAAAACCCACCATACTTGTTCGACCAGAAGCAATTTTAGTGAATATAGCGCATTTGAAGGCATTATTGAAGAGTGATATGGTGGTGCTCTTTGATACTTACGGTTCAACGGACAGTTACAATCAGAGCATCTTTATATACGATTTACAAGAGAGATTGAGGTCGCAAAAGGATGGATTACCGTTTGAATTCAGGTAAAATGGAGACATGGGATTGAAGAGTAGGGACTGATGATGAAACCGTAGAGCTCTGGAAGCAATTTTAATATCAGTGACATCTTCACTACAGTCAGAGCTGGATATATTAGAAAGCCCTGTGAATAAGTTGCTGGGAGATTTAGAGGATTTAGCAGATATAGAGGAATCCATGAATGGTGATAAACTGAGGGACTTATTACAGTATTCCAAGAAGCTATCTAAATTTGAGCAAGATGCTCTGTCCATTCGAGACGCATTAGAGGAAGTTCTAGACAATGGTAACATTACACAATACCTGGAACGGCGAACAAGCATGGCTAATAGTATATGACATAGATGACGATTTGGCTGCCATGTATTTGTCAGACAAAAGAGCAGGAAAATACCGGGCACCCGAGGATCACGAAGAAGTAGAATTACTATTAGAGGCTTATTACAAACAAACAGAAGAAATTGCAGCAAAGGCATCGACCTTGAGACAACACATGCGTTCTACCGAAGAAATTGTGCAACTTATTCTGGATGTGTCACGAAATTCATTAATGTGGTATGATATTCGACTGACAATAATCACACTATCGGCCACTGTCGTAAGCGGCTATGGTGCACTCTTTGGCATGAATTTACGAAATTACTTTGAAAATGACCCCTATGCATTTGGCCTCGTTTCCGGTCTTGCCCTCATGTCTGGCCTGGGAGCATTTGCCATTGCATTGAGAAAACTTAGAACACTGGCCAAAATCAAACCTTAAAAAATGATTATCTATCCCCTTACCATTGAAAACGAGAATTCCAATAGATTTTTTTTTTTTTCATACAAATTTTATCAGCTCATTTCACGTTTCAGTGTTGAAATGTAATTTTATTATTTTCAGTGCAAATGATGGAATTTAGTTCGCCATTACATAGGTAAGAGTAGTATAATAGATAGATGGTAATTGGAATGAGAGATTAGACAGTGGCGTTACGAACAACCAATACAGGGCAAGGACATTCCTTGAGACATGTGTCGGAAACAGAGCCCAAAAAGACACTCTTTACAGCACCCAAACCACGCGAGCCCACAATCAATAAATCTACCTTATGAGCTTCGGTAAAGCGAGGAACAAGTGTCTTGGCTTCGCCCCAGAGGATATGTACTTCGCTGGAGATATTTAATTGCTGGAGACTGAGAGACATGGCTTCAAGACGTTGACGAGCAGTTTGACCATGAGGCAGGTTTTCTGTTTCCTTGATGGCTTCATTTACCCTGGATACAGTAGTAGACAGCATGGGCAAATCTTCAGACTTGGGAGCAGCAGTTTCCTTCTTACCAAAGAGACCAGTACCACTGGTCTTGTCATCTCTCTTGACAGCAGACAACAAGATGATGTGATCATTCTCAGGACGGATAATGTTCTTGACAGACCAGTCAAAGAGTCTTTGGGCATCTTCACTGCCATCATAGGCAATAGCAACACGGCGTTTTTCAGTAATTGAGACAGACATTTTAGTATAGTGAGGAATAACAAAAGAAGAGCAAGATGGGTGGATGAGTGAAACCAGTTTATATAGCATCGAGGCAAAACTTTATGCATCAAAAGCAACGGTGGAGTTATATTCTCACCGACGCAGGTAGCTGACTGGGGCTGGTTCATGTTGATGAAACTTGTAAATCTCAAAAAAGAAATTTCCTGGAGAAAGACGGATCTTCTAGGCTACTATGTTTGCATGAAATTGCAATAGCTTGTATATGATTGTTAGGAAATAATCATCCAAGTTACAATTGAAATATATTTCCTAGTGTTAAATTCTTGAGCATGCATTCTTTTTGTTGCATTTCTCCTCTTGATCCTCTTCTTTCAACAATCTGTGATATATGGTGCAGTTCAAATTTCAGTTGTTCAGATTCGACGGCATTTGCCAGACAGTGGCATTAACGTTGTGTCCATTAATGGGAAAATTCGATGGAATTGAACCAATCTGTTATTCACGAAATGTCGAAATGGCAGGATTATTTGTATTCCAACCTGGTAAAAGAGACATGCGATGCAATATGGCATTGGCGAACTAAACATGTAACACAGCGACTCTCATGATGAATATCGTTGCTCTCTGTATGACCAGTATCATGATCTACCATGTAAAAACAAAGTACACAGCAGTAGGTAAATTAAAAAAGATCCAGCATCAATCACAACGCTCGAAAACTCATAGTACGATTAGGCAGAAAGGAGATTGCCATGTTCTTTCAGTTGTATTTAGTGACCATATTCTTGGAAATGTTATTGGTTACCAACATCATCCCGACCGCCTCTATTCTGTATCCTGTATGATCTCTCTCCTCATCTCATCTTTTAGCGTGACACTAAATACCTATTTAATTTAGTTTTTTACGGCTGCACATTTAGGATTAATTAGTGCATCATTCTGGTGCTTGCTTCTGAATGGTTTTGTTGGATTTCAATTTGCAGAAGATGGTACGCCGATCAGTTTATGGGTTAGTATTTTGGTTAGTGGGGGAGTTGAATATTTCACGTTGGATACACACAGGGACAAGGGTGGTGTGAGAAACAAGCGACTGAAAAAAGTCATCAGATTCTAACAAACATAGCATAGTCGATTCGAATCAGTACGTTTTTGGTATTTCTTGTGGTTGGATTTGTTGCCATGGCAACATTTAATAATTTCGGCCCATTCAGTTACACATCGCCTGGAGCGCTATGGATTATTTACTTTATTGTAAACGGATCCATGTTTCTTATTTATACAATTTCCCAGATCATTTTGGTCACGTATACATTGGATGATAGATGGCCTTTGGGAGATATTGCGTTTGGCGTCTTGTTTTTCGTGTCAGGTTTGGTCGTCATGTTTATTTTCTCAGTTGCACTTTGTGAACAGGTTAAACACTATTTGGATGGGCTCTTCCTTGGTAGCATGTGTAACCTGTTGGCTGTGATGATGGTGTATAAATACTGGGATTCCATCACCAAGGAAGACCTGGAGTTCTCTATCGATTCAAAGCACCAAACGTGGGAGATCCAGGCATTACTGAAAGATGAAGAGAATAAAATTGCAAGCAAATTTTAGTTTTGTTAGATCTCTAAATGTAACCTGCTTTTTTTATGCTTCCACACTTGTCCAATAAGACGCTATTTGTCACACCACTTTCTATTCCTTGATTTGACACAAACAAAATCATATAAAAGCCTTTTGGTTTTACATCTCCCTTTTGTTTCTTCTTTTATTCCTTTTCAAAAATATATATTTCTTTTTTTGATCTACCATATAAAAATGACACTTATCATTCGTCAAATCCGGGCACTTATCTCTGAAGCACCTCTGCGTCAAAAGAAGCCTGAAAACAAGCGATCCAATGCTACTCAAGAACGAAGAAAATCTCTGACAGTGAAAATCAGCAAAGAGCCACCTGCCATCGTCTATTTTGAGCGAGACAAGCTGGAAGATTCCTTTGAGTGCATCTTTGATCCGCAAGTTCATCATGACGACGAAAAAGACCACCCAGATCTGTTTACTGAAAAATGCAAGAAGAAGGATTTGAAGCCTTGGCAAAAGCCTCCTTACTGCTCACAAAATAGCACCAGCACATTCATGAGTCGCTTCAAATCAACATTTATTAAGAATAGCATAAACACAACAGCAGCAGCACCGCTTGTTATGCACCAGTCTAATCACTCGGCAGAGCAAGTTGCTTAATCACATCACATATTACTTTTTTTTTTTTTTTTTTTTTAATCATCTTCATTATATATCCCTCCCACATCTATACTACTATCTCTAAATGTAAATAATATGCAAACTCAAAATAAAATGCTGTAAATATTTTCTTGATCCTATAAATTGAATTTTACTGTAATCAGTCAGATGGTAGGTGTTTGTCCTTCATTTCCCATAGTGTGTTACATTACACTGATTGGTTTCAATGGCACCCTTATGCAGAATCATTACAGGCTTGGGTCATCCTGTCTTGATCCACTGCCATTCAGGACTGGTTTTTCTTCGAGAATTGATTGTTTGTTGTACCCCTTTATTCGGTGGAAGAGAGAACAATCATTTCTACTTTGCTTGCATCAATTTGATTTCAAGCGACATTCATCCTTGGATTGACTGGTGCTGTTATAGCTGCAAAAAGTCTAATCTATTAGCGCTACTCCCCTGAACTAAACCTTTGAATTTAGACACCTGATACCCCCCCCCACTTCTCCCTCAACCACCATTGAATCGAGTGTTACTGCAGACTTGAAATTACAATGATGGCTACATTAACTGAACACGAACAAAAGCAGGAGCAAGAAAATATACCTCCATCAAATTCACTTACTCCTGACAGCTCTAGTGAAGAAGAGTTTCACGATTGTCGTAGTGGAGATGAACCTTTGACACCCATACCCACAAAGAGCACATTTGTAGACGATAAAGTGAAAGATGACGCGTTAACGGCGCTGACTCCATTACAAGATCAATCCTATATTACAACCATGATAGACAACAAGCCACCTACAATGACAATAGAGAAGGGTGCTAAATGGTGTCAAAGATGTGGTACATTGGAGACGCCTAGATGGAGAGTGGGTCCAGCTGGTCAATCAACGTAAGAAGAAGGGGGATTGCATGTTTAGTATCAGGGAATGTGTCGTCTAATGCTGGTATGTTGTTAGATTATGCAATGCCTGTCATTTAAGATGGAAAGTGCTGGGCAGACCTAAAGATGGTTATAGCTCGACCGTGTATCCACCGCCTTACTACAATCCTAGTAACGCTCACAAAAGAACTAAATCACAACGTACAAAGAAGCAAACGAAGAAGCCCAGAATCAAGGAGTCAACGAGCTCAAGCACCATCACAAAGACGACAACTAAGCCAATCCCTGTGCCCAAAGTCATCAATGAAGCTGTGGAAGATCAAGAAAATGTGAATCCAGCTGTGGTGTCAGCAGAGAGAGGACCTTGTACCGACTGTGGCACTATGAATACTCCCTTATGGCGACGAGGACCTTCAGGCCATAAGACGTAAGTAGCTTTGAGAGTGAGAGGTATGTAAATTCATCTTGTTGTTCTTAGGTTGTGTAATGCTTGTGGATTGAAATGGGCGAAAACTTCAACTGATGTGACCAGAAAGAAAGTGATATCTGCGAAACCAACAACTGGGAAGACTACAATTGCGAAAACCATGATTTCAGAGACCACGACTGTAGAGACAACAATTGTAGAAACAGCAGCTAAGAAACCAACAAGTACGTCTAGAAAGACAACATCATCAAAGAAAGCAATAGACATGAGCCTGCTTCACAACAAGAAAGAGTACATTATACATGGCCTCTACTACGATAAAACTAGAGTGCAATCACAGCCATTCTCCATTCCACTTCCAATGCATTTAGGCGAATTTCTTATCAACAAGGAAAGTGAATTTGAGCTACCACCCGACATTCATCAGGAACGAGAATTGGGATTGATTAGCGGACTGATGAGTAACAGAAAGCCCTTCTTTACACGCATTAGAGCAAACATCTTTGTGGAGAGAAAGCCATACCGAGCCGAGGAAGACATTATATGCCAGTGTGTTCGTCCAGCTGAAGGAGAAATGGGTTGCGGCGAGGATTGCATCAACCGAATGCTCTTCTACGAATGTAATCCAAACTGCTGTCCATGTGGAGATCAATGCTCAAACCGACGATTTCAACGCAAAGAGCAGACCAAAGAATTGCAAGTGTTTCAAACAAAGGATCGAGGCTGGGGCTTGCGTACGTTGGTCGACATCAAGAAAGGTGATCTCGTTATTGAGTATCGCGGTGAGATCATCTCTCATGAACTGTGCGAGGAACGAATGTGCACTACCTATGTCAATGAAAAGAACTTTTACTTTTTAGAGTACTGCAATGGCGAAGTGATTGATGCCTGTACAAAAGGAACAGAAGCCAGATTCATCAACCATAGTTGTGAGCCAAATTGCCATATTGAGAAATGGTAAGACACAGCATGTCGAGTCATATCAAACATGACATCTCACACTTGCAAATAGGTCTCGAGGAGGCGAATCGCATTTTGGCGTTTTTGCATCTCAAGATATCGAGGCTAAATCAGAACTGTTCTATGACTACAACTTTTCGACCTTTAACAACTCGGTAGAAAGTGAGCAGGTGTGTCATTGTGGAAGTGAGCACTGTAGAGGAACTATTGGCAGAAAGATCCCTCGTAGTGCTCGCTAACAAGGAGAGCCAGCTCATGCTACTTATCATCAAATCACTATCTATTAATTCCACTTCCAATTAAAGAGGGGCCCAACACCTACCGTCAAAAATAAATCAAATCAATGAATCCTTATCAGCCCCTACATTTCTTTGAATGCGATGATCTTTAGCCAATCGTGTGCGAATTTTGATAGTGCTTGACGACAAGACTTGGTGATGAATGTATAGGAATGTCATACTAGATCAATGAATGAAGCCTACTAGCATATTTTTGATCTGGATGTGTGGACAGACACGGCGGCTCTATGCACTGCTAATGTGACGTCAATTAAGAGAGAGAGAGAGAGAGAGAGAGAGAGAGAAGCTGTTAAATTCACGTCTTGAAAGAAGATTCGCATCCATCAATTTTTTTTTCATTGTCAAGCTCTTCTAATCAAACAATCATACAATATAATGTCATTCGAAGATAACGATAATAGCGGTTCTGATCACGATTTTGGAGATCTCTTTGGCTCTGAGGACGAAGCATCTGATATCGATGATGGACGTTCTCAATCTTCAGTGGAGCAACAGAATTCACCAGTACAGACAACCACAGCAACAGCCACAAAAGCGTCTAATGATCTTGATAACCTATTTGGAAGTGATGATGAATCAGCGTCTGACGATGAGCCTGAGAAAAGACAAACATTGAAACAGAGAAGGTAACTACAACATCAGTCTGTGTTGAGCAACGGAAAGTTAACCATTCAACAGAGCTCGCACACCGCAATCATCTGAAGATGAGCGAGATGCTGGACGCAAGAGCCCTACAGGCTACGATGATGATATGGAAGAAGAGGAAGATAATCAATACGGCAGCCAGTCAAATAGGAAGCAACGCGTGGAAGTTTCATTGGAGATGCCTCAATTACCAGTACCCTATAGCGATAACAATAAGGTACTTGTTGGACAACTGGGTCAGCTTTACTATTAGACAGTCAGCTAATTTGAAACGCAATTAGTATTACCTTGCCAAACTACCTCGATTTTTGGACATTGAAGTGAATCCATTCGTGCCAGACGAGTTCGAAGTGCAAATCGAGGAAGGATTAACAGAGGCGCAAGAACAAGAATCTATACGTGAACAAATTGAAAACACAATTCGATGGAGAAGAGTACTAGAGGGTGGCTACGAGGTATTTTCAGGCTGCATTAGGGCAAATCAGTACATTGTGCCTTATTTATTTTTTATCGCAGACCATGCAATCAAACGCACATTTAGTGGAATGGGAGGATGGCAGAGTATCAATGATGCTGGGCGACGAATGCTTCGATGTGGGCAGTAAACCAGTCGGCAACCAAGAGCATGCGTATCTATTGGCACATCAAACAGGATCCGGCGCACTCGAAAGTCAAACCGAATTCACTGACCACATGACATTCAGACCAAGTGGTCTCAAAAGTGATACGCATCGCCATCTTACTGCACAAATTGCTGATAAACAAGTCAAGAAGAACAGAACCAAGATGTTCTTTACTGAAAAGGATCCCGAGCTCATGAAGCAAGAATTAGAATCACAAGAAAATGAACGTTTGAAAGCACAAAAGAAATTGGAACTTCAACGTAGAAAGGCAGACATGCGTTACGGTGATGTGAGCTCACGTCGCAATAACGATTTTGGCGATTATGATGTTGCTGATTATTCATCGCACCACGTTGGAGGCAGTGGCGGTGGTGCTCAAGACCGCTATGAAGATGACTTTGTTGTGGATGATGACGAATACGATGAAGAAGAAGAGAGATCAAGAGAAAACAGATTATCGCAAGCTAAAAGCTCAGGCATGGATAGATACAAACGGGCTCGCTATAGCGATGAAGAGGAGGAAGAAGAGGAAGAAGATGAGGACTATGGAAATGACGATGACGATGAAGAGGAAGTTGTGGTTAGAAGACACAAGCGTAATCGTATCTTGAGCGATGAAGATTAAATATTGAATAAAGACTGAACTTGTAAATTATCATTGGCACGTAAAGTGCAGCTGTGTGTATACCTTGGCCTTTTCTGATTTGGTTTGATTTGGGGTTGAGAGTGAGCAGCTACTACCATCGGCTTATGCATACAGTGCAAATCATTGGATTTTGATTAAAAATCTGTAGAAATATGTGCAAATTTCGACGTAAATCTATACAAGTTGGTAGAAATTTTTTTTGTTGAATGGCCTAGGTTCTCAACAACACTGTCCGTGTGCAAGCGCCTTATAACATCAAGTATATCTCAAGTAACGTCTTGCGAAATGTCTCCGTCTCATCAAAAAATCGCATAAATCGATGCACTGATTGGTGTATATCTCTGTGTTTCCATGGTTGCCAATGCTCAAAATGATACCAAACGATATCTTTCGACCAGGAGATACTTTATATACACTTTTCTCGCATTTGAAAAATCTTCAATATGCTTGTCATTTTTGATGAGGTATATACCTCATGAATTTTGTCCATTTTTAAACGATCGCAATTTTTCCCCAATTATAGGGATTTTTGCTATGTTAAATATAGGTGCAAAATCATTGCAGAAGCTCACTCTTTGTCACGAAACGTTCTAGTTGTGTGTTGCATAGTCATAAAATTGAGCTTTCCCTCAAAAACTGTATTTTTAATTTTCCAAGATAACACAATTTTATAAGAAAAACAATGTCAAAAATAGTATCATTCGATAGCGCGTTCAAAATAACATATCTTTTAATAGAGCTAGCAATCAATGTAGCTGTAAATTTCTAGAGAAATTCACTAGATTCTATCAAAATGTCATGTTGGGACACCTCGTTGACAGTTGGAAGGAGAAAGGTATTCAAACTCCGTCAAAAGTCTTTGTTCTGATTGATGTTTTGAAGGCTTACAACAAAATGCATAAAATAGTAGGCAGAGTCCACAAATAATTATGTAAAAAGCTTCTACAATATATCAAGTAGAGCTTCCATACCCGTTTTTTAAAGGCTGTATGTGAAACGTTGACAATAAAATGATTCATTCTAGTCAAATGTGCTGCTAGTTTTGAACGCTACACATTTCAAGGTTGTCAAGATGAAAATACGACAAACAAGTGCATCAAATGTATAAATAAACTCTGCCTTGGATTCAACTATATCAAATACCTTATAAATGTATTCGCTGTGCGCTTTATATGATTTTCCATTATATATATATAAAAAAAAAAGAGAGATCGCATTGATCAGTAAATAGTGCGGATCAAGCAAACCTTTCTTGAGCAAGAGTTGATCTTGCTTTTTTCATTCTCTCAATCAAGTGAGAACCTCACTAAATGGACATGGAAAACAGCAGTTTATGGAACCGATGGCTTTTAATCGGTGCAAGTGAGTAAACTAGCCTTTGAGTCTTGGATCAGTATTTTTTTTTATCCCCTTGATACTATCATTTGATCCTCATTGTTCCAGTTGGATAAAAATGGCTCAATGTCGATATATTTCTTGTTTACCCTCTTTCATTCACTTGTTTTGACAATTATATTCAGAAAAAAATGGGAAACATTGGTAAGTACTTGATTTTGCTGCTTATTTCACAACGCCATGAATGAAATCAGAATACTCAATGATCTTACTTCCACTTGCTTCCATAGTTAACAAATGTACGTCTAGATCAATTACTTTGCCAGACTCTGGTATGACAGACTATTTCGAAGACTTTGGCGATGACAGTTCTGATACACACCAGAAGGTATACAAGCATACAATCAATTTGCTTCAAACACAAGGATTTACTGACAACAATTTCAAAATTGGAAAGCAATTGCTCAAGAAACAACTGATAAATTATATGAAACATCTGATGGAACGAAAAGAACAGCTGAGTGAATTAGAAGAATCTTTTTTGCTGTAAGTTCCCAAGTTGTAGAATAGCTAAATCAACAGTGTTTTTTTTGCCTAGTAACACTTTTCCTCGTGTTTTCACCAGAGTTCTGCAGTCTTCTATTATCAACATTCTTGGAAAAAAGCAATGCGAATCGTATCAACACCATGGGTCATTTAACGGCACTGATCTGAAAATAATGAGATCCATCTGTAAAATTACTCACTTTGATGTCGACAAGTATTGTGAGATCAATCATCTCATTGAGCCTTTAAAGTTGGTATGTATTTGCGGTTCAGTGTTGAATATCGCTAACGCATGGCTTGCAGGCTTTTACAGCTGGCTCATTACCAAAAGTGCTGGCGACTATCGAGAGTATGAAGCAACACAATGATGAACAAGGCCAGCTACTTAGCACGATCGGTTACAAACTGTTGGATATACTGGAGTATCTGTAAGGTGAAGGGTCTGGAGCTTACTCGATAATACGTCTGACGCTTTTTTCTTTTCCATTAGCACGATGGTTTGCATGAATAAAGAAAAAAACGCCAAAACCGTATTCGTTCACTGGATGAACATATTCGATATACTCTTCCGTGGAACAAACGTGAAAATATCAAAGTGAGTGTAAACAAACAGATGGCGTATGTTTAGTAGCTTATGGATGTAATTAGTCGCAAATCGAGATTCTCAAAACAGCCACTTCCAGAAAAAATACCAGCTATCAAGCGCCAGAACAAAAGACGCGACAGATCTGATGCTGCTACAACAAATGACAGCATCTTATTCCAATGCCTTTGCCATAACAGCCTCAGTCAGCAAGAGCCTGTAGAGATATCCGCCTGCAATATTTCGTACAAAGTGAGTGAAGACAGTGAAGAACAGCATGCAGAGAAAGAGGCTATTTTTCAAAACGACTCCATCTTGATCAATAAGGCTATTCTGGACAAGTTAAAGAACGATTATCCTGACATTGATGAGAGTACATGGAAAGACGTGTATCCTTTGGGAATTCATTTATCCGGTATGTATACATCCAGCTGATAGTCTTGCTACTTTTATCATTAATCACGCCGTTTAGAGTTTGATGGCTATATTTACTCGATTCGTCCATACAAAGGTGTTTATGTAGCATCGCTGGCCTGCGAAAATACCTTGTTTATACCCAAAACCATTGAAGAGTTTGAAATCTTTTTATATAAAAGCCGTGTCCTGGAGATACTGTGTAATCTCAAGGTTGGTATGCAAATCATGTAAGAGTATTGCAAACAATTTTTGATTCAATTTTTCATACAATAGAGACAATATATCCATGTTGCCAAAATCATACGGCAAGCGTCTGTCAATAAGTATGTATGGTCAAAGTCATAACTCTATTCGTATTTGCACTCTGCGTTGTTCAATGTCAATTGTTCATTAGTCAACAGAAATTCTTGATCCAATCATGCCCAACAATCGTTAATAAAAACTTCATTTGCGAATCCCCCCCCCCCTTGCTTCTTACTACAATAACCATCATTGGAATCAATTAAAGCAGCTTTTTGTTACACACGCTTCCAAGCACATTAGTCATGCTGTGGCCAGATAAGGCAACAAATATCATTGTGTGTGTGTGTGTGTGTGTGTGTGTGTGTGTGTGTGCATCAATACATCCAAGACTGCAGACCAATATTGACAGTGTCTCTATATATAAACAACTCAATCTCTTTAGAACAAGGAGACAAGTTTTTTTGCTTTTATTTTTAATAATATATACAATTTTTCAGTTAAAACAATTGATTCAGTAAGCTTGGATCAGCCACTGAACTAGAGGGGTTGGTAAAATCGTCCACGCCGGCATTGACGTTACCATATTTTGCGATCAGATCTATGACACTGCCACCCACATGGTTTGCGTTCTCATCATCCAACATAAACAGGGCGCTGTCCTTGTTGTTGTCAGGGTGGAAGAGTCCATCTGTGGTTCCAGCGTTTGTTGCAGCACCCATCAAAAAGGCTTGTTGGTAAAGTTCGCTGAGAGTGATCAATGCTTCAGGACTGGGAGTGTTTTGGTATGATGAGCCGTTGCTTTCATCGCTACTATTATTGCCGTTGCTCAAGAGTTGATCTGGCATCAATATGTCTTTGGATGAGTCCACTGGTGGGAATGATGCTAGTATAAAGTCCTCAAACATGTTGGTTGTCGTTGGAAAGACAGGGCTGTTGGCAGCAGTAGAGACATCATGCATGGTAGTGGTTGTGGTGGTATCTTCTTCGCATGACGCCATCATGTCGTTATCTTCTTCAGGTGGTGGTGAAAAGCAAAAATCGTGGAAATCAAGGGTTACTGTGGTGCCAGAGTAGCAAGATTGTCCCGTGGTAGAATCACGGCGCTTGTGTGGTGATGATATAGCGCCCGCCAGTCCAAGTTCTTGTAGTTCTTTTTGTTGATCTGCCAATGCCTGTGCGGTTAAAGGAATGGTTTGTTTGTTGTTATTTGCCAATGTGTCTGTATTTGATTCTTGTTTGATAATGATCTCTTCCTGGGGTATTTCCGTATCTTCAGATGTCGCTGGAGGTGGAGATGTCGCTGTATTTGAAGTGGCAGGAGGAGGAGGTGGTGGTGGTGGTGGAACATAGGGCGCAGGAGCGATGCGAGATGCGTACTTGCGAGGCCGTAAGTTGGGCGTGAATTGGTTGCGATAGGTGTCCAAGGCCTTTTGTAACAAGTTCTTCTTATTAGCAAGCTGACGAGGATTCAACCAGGCTAATTTCCAACCGATTTCGTTACATTTAGCCTCATCTAATCGACGTTGCGATACAGAGGGCGTCTCAGATGTGATATGCATTGCTCTAGGGAATACGCAATTATTCTTACGAAACGCAATATCAACAGCATCTAACACGACTGATTCAATATTGATACGAATACGGCATTTCGATGTCGATGAAGAGTCCTCAATCAAGATCGTTTTGGGCGCTTTTTCACTGTGCTCATGCTGATTTTTAGCTGTCTTGTTGCTGTGTTCATCGTCCTCAGTAGAGCCGGTTGTCTCACGATGTTTGCGTTTGCGTAAAGTGCCCTTTAAAAGCTTTTCCTGTCTAGCCACTCGACGAGATCGCATACTGGGATATCGGTTGCGATAGGAATCGACTGCACGCTGAATTAGACCTCTTTTGCCAGCAATTTCTTCTAAATTGAGGTAGGCTAATTTCCAACCCAAAACATTGCATTCGGTTTCGTAAGACCATCTGTTGCCACGATAAGTTTCTCTAGGCAAATTGGCTCTTGGATATACCTAGTGCAATTCTCATTAGCATCTGCTTCAGGTCCACAAACATGTTTTGAATATCATACACAATTCTCCTTCTTGAACTTGTCATCCAGTATACTTGTATCCACTTTATCGAGATCTGTTCTGATGCAATATCTGCGCAAGGTTCTATGATGAGAGTAGACAAAGCTAACCCATTCAATACCTTCCTTCAATTCAGTAGTGGGCTCATGGCTAGATAAGAAGGGTGAAGTGGAAGGGGCAGCATTGGATGTGACGGGTGGCTTGGCCGTTGTAGCTTTGGGGTTAGGATGGTTGATGGACTCATTGCGTTGTGGAGGAGGCGTTGGTGGTTTATCTTTGCTCGTCTTGTTAGCTATCGTCAATGGCTGTGTATTTGAGTCTGTCGATTCAGTTTGTGGTAATTGCTGAGCATGATGGAGGTTCTCTTGATTTGAAATTGCTTCAGCAAGCACATTGGCAACCAAGCGTGTGTTCCATGCCTCTTGAGTCGAGTTGCTATCCGCAGTTGTACTAGATGTGCTTTGATGTACTAGAGGTAAAGTGGTGGTGTTAATATGATATGCAAGGATAAGTATGTAAGGGGAGAGGGTGCTGCGTAAGGGTTCTGATAAAGGTACCTTGATGATTTTCATTTGCTGCATCATTTGAAATGTTGCCCATTTTACGCTCTTTGATTTTACTGACTGCCTGCTCAATTATGCTCAATTGCTCATTAGAGAGCGTCTCTAGCAATGACTCTGCCGACTCTGTAGGATGAACGAGATCATGGATACTGAGTTGAAGCTCAGGATTGTGGGGCAATGTTTCATTTATAATGGCGGCATAAGATGATAGGGTCATGATATCATTTTTGATAGTAGTTGTGGTTGTTGTAGTGGTTGTTGTCATATCGTTATTGTTACTATGAGTGGAGTGGGGTGGTGTTTGTTGAACTATCATAAATATAAACTATAGATAAAGAAGAAATAGAAGGAAGAAGTTGGAAGCGCGTTTTTCTTAATGTCCATTTAGTAACCCGTTTACAACTGACTTGTAAATAAGAGACTAATGAGTGTACGGCTTGCGGGGTCTAGCGGTTCCAATTCCTCGCTTCGTCGATATCCTTTTACATTTCATGTGATTCTCGATGTCTATACCTTTCCTAACTGAATATCTGTGATGCTATATAATGAAGGCCGTTTTAAGGTTTGAAAGGTCGAATGCATCATGTACTGAACTGATGAACTCGGGTGATGTTCATTTACATTAAGGAATCACTTGTGTAACTGGAATCGTGTTGGTTTTTTGAAGCACGAAAGAATAGAATCTATTCGTTCAAGAAAATTTTTTAGAGATTGATATTCAAGATCAACATCTGTCATTCTTGCTCATTGAGCAATTCCAAGCAAAGAGAAGCACTACTCCAGCATCTGCTCCTTTCTCTGCTTTAAATGGATGAGGAACGTGCTAATTTTGTACCATTTTCTGTAATCGTAATGTTTACACAAACATACTGTTGCTTGTTCCTTCCAGTAGATCACATTTTGGCGGTAGATTCGGTCCAACAACACCGCACCAATCTAAAGGCCTTTATCTATTTGCTTTGCAATCAGAAAAGTAAAGTTTTGTGTACTTGTCGAGGCACAAATGTCGAATTATTAGAGACGATTGTAGTGCTTGTAAGAGAAAACAAGGTGTAATATAAGTGGAATCATCATCGTCAGTCTGATTACATGTGATTTAGACCCAAGCGGCCGTGTAAAATAAGGTGGGTAAGCGGATATACATATCAATTTAATTTGATTCTCGGTAAAATGGTATAACTACATTATACAAATGCCCGCTGCCATGATACACAAGACATAAAGTTGCATTGGCATGAATAACGTTACAGGTGATACATGAAAATAACGGACAGAAGCCAAGGCCTTCAATTGAATGTACCATCTCGAAAGAAAAGCAGAAGTTTAAGTGCTTCAAACGAACTTTGCCTTGTCAAGGCACTTACGGTATCATAGATGCATCTCGAAAAGGTGTTGTAGACGTTAAACAAGGCATATTTAATTGAATATACCACTAGAATATAATCTCATATGTGCAGCAAGTGTTTGAGATGAAGCTCGGAATATTTTATATTTGACAAACTGAAATCCGCTGCAATTTTTTATTGAAAGCATTTGCATCAAGTGTATGCCCTGATAGTTCTTACATTCGACTAAACAGTGAGCGGATCAGCTTTTGTCATTAAAAACATCAGGCTTCTGTCTGACAACTGGTGGGGCAGCAGCCTCTATGAATTTGGCATCATTGCCCTCTACAATGGATGGCTTCATCAACGTGGTAGACTCATCCACTGGCTTTGGTGTCGTGTCGCCAGAAACAGTGGTGCTTTGTTTGGCGACATTATCATCATCGTATTCATTGGGAATGTGTTTTTCAAGCGCAATGGAGGGCGATGAACGTATTTTGAATCCATGAACGGCTGCCTGTTCGTCAACTACAAAATAATGCTCATTTTCAACCATAATCTGACCGTTGGCATCACCTCCATTGTTATAAAAGCGTTCTACTTGATCCCAATCGACAGACAGCTCATCCATTTTTTTCTTGTCTGCTCTCTTCTTGCGTATATAAAAGAAGATGGCTGCCGCAATGACACCTAGGCCCTAGATATGTAGACGCATTCAGTGTTTTTTTTTAATAAAGGCACTACAATAAGCACTTACAATAATCACACAAGCAAAAGTAATACCAGCAACAGCACCAGTGCTCAAAGAGCTGCTACTATTAGTAGCACTTTCAGCGGTAATGGTGCCATTGCTACTTGTTACAGGCTTTATTTCCTCAATGTAGGGAAATGTGTCAGGGAAATAGAGGTTGTTTACATCGTTCACACTCATGACAAGAATATCATCCAGAGGATTGTTGTAAACGGCTAAACCAAACATGATGAACAATGTAGTATTGACCAATACAGCTATTAGAAAGTAAGCATAAAGTGTCGGTTCGTGCAAGTTCAGTTACCGTACCTGAATGTGCAAAACGGGGGGCAGATGCTGCCCCTACAGTATTAATATTTTGACGAGTCCACCTGTATGTATCCAAGTTAAGAGTATAACAAAAATCAATGAAAGCTAAGCATGCGTTTAAGAATTATTGAATGATCAGACAAACGAAAGACGTAGTGCGCATACCGACGGTCTGTCCTGTGCTTGTTCCACCAAAGAGTAAAATATCATTCGAGTTGGGCACTATTACCATTGCACAGCGTTATTTGGATGACATTTTGAATTACCAACCTAATTCAACTTACACAATGTAGCAGTAGGGAACATGCGAGGAGATGGGTCAGGCCCACCCAGCCTCGGAGAAGACCAAGAGGCACTCGAGGTATCAAAAACATTGGCACTTTTGTAATCTTGTTTGTTTTCCTTGGTATAATCAGGGCTTGTGTAATAAAAGCCTCCCAAATAATAAATAAGACCAGTTTTAGGGTTGAATGTAACAGTTTGAGCAGAGTAGAGCATAGCTGGTATATTCGTTTGTGGTGATCTGGGTAACCATTGATTGCCGTCATAGTTAAAGTTGACAATGGATGAATATCCCTCATGCATGACGGTTTGGTTTGAGCTGTCAATTTGAATCGGCGTAGTAGTGTTTTTGATGGGATATCTATACAGGATTCAATTGTTTGGTCAGTCATGAGTTATCTTATTGTTGCTTATAGAGACACCTTACTCTGTAACACCTCCATAGAGAGCAATCGTGTTTTCGATAGGAGCTAGGTTGACGGCTGCAGCGTTGTAACTGTATTACACATGCCCCGGAGGAAAAAAAAAAGGAATGAGTTGAGTGTATCACCAGGGATAGAGATATTTACATTTGTCGTATAGAACTAGTGTTGGCATCAGCATATGTGCTCAATGTCTGCCATGTATTAGTATTTCGATTATAAACAATGGTTTGATTTGTGATTATGGTGCCATTATACGTATAGCCACCAGTAATAAACAAGGAGTTGTTATTGTAGACGGCAGAATTGGCACGTCTTCTACCTTCAAGAACATATCTTGTGTTGGTGTGGTTGATCAAGTTCCAGGTTTTAGCAAGGTTAATCATACTTTTATTGTTAGAGAGATTGGTCAATGGAAGACTGTAGATATTAGTGTCCATGGCGTTACCCATCAGTAAACCACCATAACAGTAAATGGAATCTCCCAAAAGACCACATTCTAAATTTGTACAGAGAAATTTGTGTGAGATCAGATGGAAACCTTTTATGATCTGATTTTTATATTACCCGATTCTGATCTCTTCTGTAGCTGCATTGCTTGCAAAATATCCAAATTGGCGATAAATGTTGTTACGACGGCTGCTAAAGCAGCTGTGAGGCATTTCATTTGTTTACAACGTGGAGGAAAAAAGAAGAAATGGGAAAGGGAGCTCAGCAATACAATATCAAATGCTTTTTTGTATTCAAGAAGGACGTGGGCTGAGTGAGGTGCTACCTATTGAACTTCTTTGTAACCATCAACTCGTTGGATTTAGAAATCCACTCAAATCTTAATTTGTTGTAGAATTACTGCAAAAGTCTGTTGATCTCTATAAAATGCAAGTAGATAGTTACACACTTTAACAAAAAGATTTTCCGTAATTACCTTGTTTGACCTATGAAGCAAAGATTTGGTTATTAGAAATTCTCAAACTTAAAGGAGTAATGATCCTCGCGCAACGTGCTTCCGTAACTCGACTCGGTCTTCCAGCGATGCACTATTCTGTATCGTAACCTGGGGCAGAATTTTTGTCAGTCCTGCTGATTTATACTGAAATCTCGCATTCTGACCTCCCATTATCAATCAGAATCTTCTGCAAACGACCTATAACTCTGGAACTGACTTTTCAACAGTGCCCCATGACTGTATCAATAAAAGCAATTTATATATGAGCAGATCCATTGACTCTTACTACTCAATATATGCAAAATCACAGCTAAATCTGGGTGCATTTGAGCCGTGTTTTCTCGTGTTTAAAGCCGTTTTAGACTGCCCGATTAGCATTGGACAATTGCTCTCGACCAGCAGTTACTTCCTGACTCCTTTGCTCAACTTTTTGGAGATCAAAAAAACAAGGCCAAAAATCAACCAAAAAGCATGAGGTACCCCTCATGGTTTTCATCAAAAATCAAACGATCACGTTTTTCACCTTGATAATGAATACTTTTACTATGATATATACTACATCAAAATGTTTCTCTCAATCCAAAGCAACTTCTGAAGCCACTTTTATGAAGCCTTTAGATACAAAACCTCGGCATTTTGGTCAAAAGCCTCATTTTATATTCTCTGAAAATGCTCAGTTAGCTTATTCAGAACATCAGTTAAAAACAACACCATCAGAAGCGCCTTAAAAAGTACTCCAAAAAGCTCTAGGAAGTATAGGGTATTTATCGCAATTTACATGGTCGAATTCTGAAAAGTAAGTGGATCAAGTCGAAATTTGTCAAAATTTTTCTATTTCGGGTCAAGAAGAAGCAATCGGAGATATAATTAATTTTGGCCGGCAGAATCAAAGCTATGCTTATCTTGAAGGTAATTGATGCTATCGGAAGCTCATAAGAAGGGCATTGCGCATCCAAAAGTCTTATAATCTAGCATTGATACTTTTTACTTCTGATGCGGAAGTTTCTATATGGTAGCTTTTATTGTTGAAAACGCTTCCCTCTTTGCATTGATAACTTGATTCAATTGTTCAAAATTATCACAGCCCTGCAAGTGGGTAAAGCGAGGCAGAAGCTGCTTGTAGATTATGATCTCGAGTAGATTCATTATTCGAGATAAATGATAGAAGCAGTGTAATACTTGAGGCCGCTTCCAATTGCCCTTTGAAAGATAGAATGGAGTTTGAGATGATAAACACCTCTATGCGCCTCTGATCTTGACTCCCTGTCTGACGATCCCTCTTCCAAATTGCTTCATCTTGACATTCAAGCATTTGATATATTACATATAACGTTCAATGTCAATGTAAATCTCTTTCTCTCCTTCAGTAATGCCGTATTATACGCAGTTTTATGCATCCTCAGCTTTTTCTCTGTTAAAAGACCATTTTGCAATGTTCTGATGTTCTGATGATAAGATCCAATTTGTCTGCAAATACAATGCAATCAAGCAATTTCCCGAGAGTAGCTTAAGCTGCGAGATGTGGCCTTGGTAAATCTCTCTGTATGTAGATGTCAAATGTTATTTTTTTATTTTATTTTTTTTTTTTTTTGTATGGATGGCATTCACTCTTAAAGGTGATCTAATGTCAACATGACACACCATACCAATGTAGTGCATCCAGAATCTCAAAAAGGCTTGACGAGGGTGGTCACGAATTTTTTTCTTTCTTGTGTCATGAACAGGATGGCTGCGTCTTTGTAAATTGTACCTTTTACCTTCATTGTTCATCTAACATGTCTGCTATGGAAATTGATCAACATGCTCCCAATGGAACACTTTCCACTGACGAGCCTGTGGTAACTGGCATTATCTATCCACCTCCCGATATCAGAAGTAGGATTGAACTCTTTATGAATGAGAATGTATTTGTAACCATCTCTATAGAAATGATTGATAAAGCTGCAGCCAATCTTGCCACCAAAGGACCAGAATTGGAAAACCACATTCGAGAGACCAACAAAGATGGCCGCTTCAACTTTTTAAATCCAAATGATCCTTATTATGCTTATTATCGATTCAAATATCAAGAAGTAAAGGACGGCAAGGGTAGGCATATCCATAATGCTTGAAACCGATAAACACGTAAAAACTAAATTACTTTGTATGATTCAACAGCACCTCAGGTAAATGCCAATGCTCAAGATCGAGTGCAAGAGCCTGTCAAATTACAGCCCGTCAGCCTTGCACCCAAAGAGCCTGAACCATTCGAATTCTCTGCCACCATGCCTTCAATGTCTGCCCAAGATTTGTGAGTACTGTTTAGAGAAAGGCGATGACACACATACTCATTTCTTTACCAGGGATATTATGAAATTAACAGCACAATTTGCAGCCCGTAATGGTCGTGCCTTCATCAGTCAACTTGGTCAACGTGAATCCAGAAACTACCAATTCGACTTTTTGCGTCCATCGCACAGCTTGTTTCCGTATTTCACTGAACTCGTTAAACAGTACACCAAAGTATTTTTACCGCCTAGGGATTTGCAAGAGAAACTGCAAGCAAACAAAGACAACAAATACCACATTCTGGAACGAGTCAAGGAACGAGTTGAATGGGTGGCATGGCAAGAAGCTGAAAAGAAAAAGAAGAATGACGAGGACGAGAAAGAAAGACGTAAGCTGGTGAATTAAGGACACATATTCCAGTTCATGTTACTAACTTGAACGTGTAGTTGCGTATGCTAGCATCGATTGGCACGATTTTGTCATTGTCGAGACTGTAGAATTCACAGACGCAGATGAACAGGCTGAACTGCCACCACCCATGAGCTTGTCAGAACTGGAAAGCATGTCATTAGCTCAAAAACGACTTGCCGCCATGCCTACAGAAGCATTATCACAACAACAAACACCTGCAGAGCCGGAAGATGTGGATATGGATGAATCAGATGACGAAGTAAGCGGCCAACCTGCCGTTCAGCCTATGGCGATGCCCAAGTTGCCAGATACATCAGCACCTATCAAAATTCGTACAGACTACAAGCCCAAATTGTACGGCACTACACCCAGCAAGGGCGCTGTGCCTACCGAGCTTTGTCCTCGTTGCGGTGAAGCTATTCCTGTTGCAGAAATGGCTGAACATATGCGTATTGAATTGCTCGATCCCAAGTGGAAGGAACAAAAGATGGCCATGGAAGCCAAGCAGAGAGACAGTAATTTGTTGCAAGAGGGTAACGATGTGGCCAAGATCTTGAAGAACATTTCTGGCCTGCGTCCCGATATTTTTGGATCTGATGAAGTGGATGCCAACAAGCGTATCCGAGAGCAAGAGGAGGAGGCCAAGAGAAAGGACAGAGTGATCTGGGATGGCCATACAGCTACTATGGGATTGGCTAATCAAAGAGCTCAAAAGACCAGCATCGAAGATCAAATTGCCAATATGCATAAAAAGGTTACTGGCGATGTCAACATTGGCCCTCAAATTCCAGGACAACAGCAGCAGCCAGAATACACGCCATTGCCGCCACCCACAGCATTCTCTGCACCTCAATATTACACACCCGATCAGCAACAAGCATTTGCAAATCAAGTGCCCGGTGTCATGTACAACAATGCACTCCCTCTTCATTCTCCTCCACCACCACCCGTCATGATGCCACAACCACCCATCACACCTGCCGTACGCAAAATGGACGAATCGGATTCAGCAGCTGAAAAGAAGCCTCGCTTAGAAGAGCCTGAATGGCAAGCACCACCTGATGTAAGTTTTTGTCTGTCTGTCTGTCTGTCTGTCTGTCTGACCAGCTTTGATGACTAACGTCTATTATTGTACAGCTCTCCTTTTCCATTAACATTCAAACACCCACCATGCCTGATAAACCAGAATGGAATTTGAACGGAAGCACAATTTCCGTGCCTGGATTATTACCAAATACGCTCATCTCCACAGTAAAAGATCGTATTGCATCTCAACTGGGCATGCCAGCTGGTAAACAAAAGCTCTCCAACGCCAACACAGTACTCAACAACTCCAAGACTCTGAGCTTTTATGGCATTAGCGAGGGACACAGCCTGGTTTTAGAAGTTAGAAAAAGATAAATGTGCAAATTACAAATAAAAGCTTATGCTGTGAGAATGTAAATCCAACGCTGGTATAATATCCCATTTGCTGTTGGGAGTTCTTTATCCAGCTTCTTGACTAAATCGTATTCCCACGGCATTTCAATTAACCTGAGCCAGCTATAAGCTATTTAATATGCTTGACTCATCTCTTTTACTTTCATCTCACTCTCTTTCTTGTTCTTGTTCAACTTGAGAAAAAAAATGGTTGCCAACAACAACATCCCTACTAAATTCCCCAATCTCAAGCCTAGAGGCCCTGGCGGTGAAGCCCTGTTGGCTGCTGAAAGAGCAAAGACTTCATTCGATGTCAATGCGCTCTCCAAGTATATGTACAGCCAAGAATGGCTTGAAAAGATGAACAATGTTTTGCAAATCATTGAAAATGAGCCTGCGTTCGACAAGACCAGCCGCTACTATCAAAGTCGCCCTGACAAGATTTCCACTGGTCTTTGGAAGGATAAGCGTATGGCTGAATTGGCAATGTAAGTAAGAGTGAGAGATGCGATGTGGGATCTGTGGATTGACACACACACACATATATATATATTGATAGTGAGCACAACTGGGACGACCAAGACTCTCAAATAGCCAATTTCCTCTATGATCAATCGACTCCAGTAAGTTCCATGACAAACAAAATAAAACAAAAATGACATTTGTGTGTAACAGTGTATATTTATGTTTACCTAATCTGATTCTTATTAGTTCTCCCTTCACTATGGCATGTTCATCCCCACGTTGAAATCTCAAACCACCGATGAACAAAAGAAGCTTTTCCTCGAGCGCGCATTAAAGCACGAAATCATTGGCTGTTATGCTCAAACTGAAGTAAGTACGCTCCTCTACTAGACACAGGGGGTATATCCATACTGACTATTCTATGACAGTTGGGTCATGGCTCCAATGTCCAAGGTCTTGAAACCACGGCCACCTACATCCCAGAAACCAACGAATTTGAAATCCACTCTCCCACACTCACTGCTGCTAAATGGTGGATTGGTGGTCTTGGTAAGGCTGCCAACCACGCTATTGTCATGGCTCGTTTGATCACAGACGGTAAAGATTTGGGCCCTCATCCTTTCTGTGTCCAAATTCGTAGCTTGGAAGATCACACTCCTCTTCCCGGAATCACTGTAGGTGATATTGGGCCCAAGTTTGGTTTCAATGCTGTTGATAACGGCTTCATCATGTTTGATCACTACCGTGTGCCCCATATTGCCTTTTTGGCAAAGTACTCTCAAGTCAAGCCTGGCACCGGTGAATACAGCAAGCCTCCTAACGCTAAGCTCTCTTACGGCACCATGGTCTTTGTCCGTGCCAACATCGTCATGGGTGTCAGATATGCTCTTGCCAAGGCTACTACCATTGCCGTTCGCTACTCCACCATCCGTCAACAATTTGTCGATGCCGCTAATCCTAAAAAGTGGGACAACAAGGTCATTGAGACACCTGTGCTGGACTACACCATGCAACAATACCGCTTGTTGCCAATCATTGCCTCTGCTTACGCTTGTTTCTTCACTGGCCGTGAAATGTACCGTCTTTATGAACTGAACCAACAAGAAATGCAAAAGGGCAACTTTGGCCTTTTGGCTGATCTTCATGCCAGTTCTTCTGGTCTCAAGAGTTTGACGACTACCATGGCTTTGGAGTCCTTGGAAGACTGTAGACGTGCTTGCGGTGGTCATGGCTACAGCATGTTCTCTGGCTTGGGCCAATTCTACCAAGACTATCTCCCCAACGTCACTTGGGAGGGTGACAACTACATTCTCACTCAACAAACCGCTCGTTATTTGCTCAAGACATTCCGTAATGTGCTTGCTGGAAAGGCCGAACCTTCTGAGCACAACCAAACCATCAACTACTTGACTCAATACCTTCAGAACCCCAAGGCCAGGTGCCCTGCTTCCAGCTCTGAGGAGTTCCTCAATGCTGAATTGATCTTGTCTGCCTTTGGTTTCCGTGCTGCTTACGGTATCGCCAAGGTTGCTGAGCAGCTTGATCGCCACGGCCGCTCTTGGAACAGCATGTTAGTTGAAATCCGCAACATCTCCAAGGCTCATTGTCAATTCATGTTGGTCCGCAACTTCCTTGTTACCCTTCAAAATGACGCTGAACTTGCCAAGCCCGAGAACAAATCCTTGCTCGCCATCTTGAAGACCATGTCTTTCCTCTTTGCTCTTCACACCATAGAGAAGGAGCTCTCTGAATTCCTGTTGTCTGGCTACTTGTCTCCTGAGCAAAGTGCTATGTTGAAGGAGCAAATCCTTTCTTTGCTTGACAAGGTTCGTCCTGAGGCTGTGGGTCTTGTTGATGCCTTTGCTTTGCCTGATTACTACCTTCACTCTGCTTTGGGTCGCTATGATGGTCGTGTCTATGAATCAATGACCAAGATGGCTGAGGCTGAGCCTTTGAACCATACTCGTGTTGTTGCTGGTTATGAGGAATTTATCAAGCCATTTGTCCATAAAGGAAAGAATTTGGCTATTGCCAAGGATGAAGCTTCTTCAAAGCTTTAGATTATATTATAAATTCTTGTATAATAGTAGATAGAAATATACTTTATCCCCTCCCCTCCTCCTCTTTTCCTAGTAATTTTACATTATAAAACTTTCCGTTCAATTCAGGAAAAAATCAGAGCTACCATATCAATCTATCAATATCTAAGAGAGTGGACCACATGTCTTTATTTTAGATTAGAGATTTCATTACGCATGCTTTCATTCGTTTATCGTTCTTGCTCTATATATACAAAGTTTGATCTCCAGCAGCTCAAGTCTTTGAAGGACTCTGCTTAACTATAGTCTCTCTCCGAGGACAAGAATACCAAATGCTTAACTTGGTTCAATGCTGACGAGCGAGCTTGCCAAGTAAGGTTGTCCCCATCTTGTAAACTACTGCATGCTACAGTTACAAGGCGTCTTTACTATGCTTCAATAAAGAAAAGGCTCTTTGATGGTTCCAGGGCTCTTCAAGAACGTTACGTAAACAATGAAAAGATGAGTGACATGAAATGGAAATGTATGTCTACTGGCTTGCCTGGAATTTTGACCCATGATGGTCGAGCTAGCGTCCCTGGTCGGCAAGATGACACTTATCTACAAGACCAAAGACGATGTCAGGGTGCTCAACGGAACTCCTTTTTGGCTGCTTAAAGTCAAGAAAAATGGCATCAATCAAGACCAAAGATATCTCGACTTCATGTGCTCCCAACAAGCTCTGGCTCACTCGTAATATTAATTACTAAAGTTGTATGTCACTGCCCTTGATACGATTTAAAATCGCTAATATGTGCTCATAAAAGCTCATCTTTCTCCTCTCATGTCGGTTATTTGCGAGCATAATGCCTGACATCTGCCAACCATCATCATTTCTAATATATATAAAAAACGTCGGGATGGCCAATCAGAGATCAGAGACGTAAAAAACTTAAAGCACTGAGTACCGTACAAGGTTCAAAAAAACCACTGGTGAAGCTGGCACTGGGGAGGGAGACTTGGTATCTAATTCAACATTTGGTAACGTTGACCTATAAGGGGGTTTTACTTCAGCGAAACGAAGGTGCAAAACCATAGTATTCAAGCGGCAAATTTAGGTTTTCATTTCCATTTTTAATAGACTTATCAACAACATAACGCATCAGAATTTGCATGAATTAGCTTTACCAAATCAATATTCGTTCTATCTGAACTAGAAATCGCACAGGCCGCAGAAATGCCCTTCCTCCAGAAGATTTCAGCTACTAAGGATGCGCTTCATGCCGTGTAAATAAAAGCTATAAAGCAAAACATAACCAGATTTGACAGCTTTCAAGCCTTCATATCTTGACATGTAGATCTTTCTGAGCCATCGGAATGACGCCAAACAATTGTACTTGAATAGCAGTAACTTCCTGACACCTTTGCTCAACTTTTTAGGGACCAAAAAAAAAATGGCCAAAAATCGACCAAAAAGCATGAGGTACCCCTCATGGCTTTCATCGAAAATCAAACGATCGCGTTTTTCACCTTGAAAATGAAGACTTTTACTATGGTATATCTTGAATCAAAATTTTCCTCTTGATTCAAAGCAACTTCTGAAACCACTTTTATGAGGTTTTTATATGCAAAATTTTGACATTTTGGCCTAAAACCTCATTTCATATTTTCTTGAACTGCTCAGTAAGTTCAGTCAAAACATCTATTTTACTTGGCACCATTGGAAGCGTCTTGGAAAGTACTCAAAGAATGTATTAGGAAGCATCGGATGATTATCACAATTTATATAGTCGAACATCACAGAATTGTTCTGTCAAGTCGAAAATAGACGCAATCTGTCCAATCTTCAATAGAAAAAGATAAACTGAATTTGAATTGATTTTGGCGGCGGCGCTGCTACTGGCTTACCCAAATGCCTTTCTGATGATGTTAATGACGATTGTGATGCTGATTAAATGGGGACAATGAAGTTGAATGAACAGTTGTTTGGCTTGAAGACTTTTTTGGGGAGTTTTGCCTCATAAAGGCGCCTTTTGCAATGACAATATCTCAAAAAAAGCGCTGTAGATCTTACACAAGTCCTGTATTTGCGCATAACCAGCATTATGCGCCATCTTAAGAGCATCAGCAGCAGCAAATGGTATAACAATTCTACTATCAGAATATGGAGATTGTGGTGTATAAATGCCGCATAAAACTTGAATTCTCTTTTACAACGTCTCAATAATAGGCTTTGTTTTAATTTCAGTGTATAAGCAAAAAGATGCTGAGGGAGATATCTCCTCTCCTCCTCCTCCTCCTCCTCCTGGCTTTTATATAACCTTTTACTAATAATTGATTGTTTAAAATTTACTTGATATATCAAAATTTTATTGTATCTGATATAAGATGTCTTTGGCGAGAGTCTGCAGGGCGACATCGTCATCGAGTGTAGTGCGATTGATCGGCTAGTCTATTATATACTGAATATCAAACGAACGCACAGCTTAGCTTACAGAGCTCTGGCGCAATTAAATATTTGCTTCACAGGCAGATACTTGGTGTCAGTTGTGGAGCAGTGGTAAAGCAAGTGTACGCTTTTCCAATATTTCAATGCAGCGTTAGCGGATGTATTTGTACTTATTGAATTACACAATGCTTTGTTTACTTTTTATACAACTTTTTATTGATCAAGCTTGTGTACCTTGTCTTCAGGACATGATAGGTAACATTTGAATAATGTAAAAATAACTGTTGTCTAATATGCGGCGGTATATCTCTTCATCTGTCAAACAGTTATTGGCAACATTATTTAAGGCACCCCAAACTTGTTCTAGATCTGATATATTGATGCCTGACCTGTAAAACCACTTGAAGTATTCCTTCATGAAAGCTGTAGCCATTCTCAGTATGTATTTCTCTTCACTCCACCCTTTCTCGTTCCTTTACACTCTTTGTTTGCGTAGCATCAACACTGTCTAAAACCATTTCTTAGTTGTCATATTTTTGTGTCTTGACAGCTCATATTTATAACCAAATCTATAAAGCGCTACTCTTGTTACAGTATGTATTGATCTGGTCAATCGATGTACCATTACAAATGCTCACATTTTTCTTGTCTAGTTATTTTTTTTTGTCAAATGTCTAGTGTGCGAACAAAAGTAGAGCAAAAAGATCCGTTTACTGGCACTCAAACCAGTCATCCCCCCAAAGAAGAGTCGTTGCTAAAGGGAAGAAAAGAGAATATGAAGCTGTAACATCCGCAAGTGCTACGTCCACATCAAGTTATCAGTCTGTTGTCAAAAGGCCCAAGACATTCGGTGTCTCGCCGCAGCGATTGATGGATAGCTTTTTTCAAGCAATGAGGGAAATCATCGAAAACAAAGCAAGGCCCATCATTGACAAGCCTAGTATATTGGATGTACTCAAGAAAGTATTACTCTCGGTGAAGAGGCTCCCCCTAGGTGTCATTACTACTGCTGAAAAGATCTGTCAATGTGCCAGAGATGAGTTGAAAAATCATCTTGAACACCATGGTACTAAGCAAAACTTTCAGTACTTTCAAGAGTACGTCAAGGATCATTTCGATGCTATTGTGGTATCTTTATAGCCTCAGGCCTCTACGCCTACATTCACTGGTGAAAGTGCATCCATCCCAGCTACACCGGTTATTGCTCCTTCTGACTCTGTAGCGTTTCTTCGCCGCGACCACTCTGGCTTGGACATGGCATCCGACATGTCTTCTGTGTCTGGCGCCCCTTCATATGCAGCAATGTCTTCAATCTCGCATATATATCCATGGTTGAAGCTCCCCCCAGACAATGTAGGATACCGCACTTATACCGTGTCTTTCAAGAGCCTTTTACGAGAGGGTGTGCCTTCCGATCTTGTCGAGTCATTTTTGCAGAAGCTAAATAATGCATTGCATGATGTATCTGACTATGTTATGGACTTGCAATTGATGATATACACATTGATGCTCTCAATGAAGTCCTCGCAGCTCGTAGCTCATAGTGGTAATATTCAGCTGAAGAAAGCTCGTGGTTTCCAAATACAAGGCATCCTCCCAGCAGGCTACAATATGAAAACTAATGTCATTACCTCTGCTCCTCCATTACTCTAATGCCTTGCAGTCTACGGCTTTTTGCAACGGTATCAAGGAATCTTTTCCAGAGCAGACACATTGATTACCTGCATACTGCTTTGTTTGGCCAAAGAGGTACCAAGATCTCGCATACTACATTTGCTGCTCTGTCATCCACCAATGCGCCAATGCTCGATGCTATCGCAAGAGATACGCCTCAACCTGCTAGTGAACTCATGATGGTGGCTCGAGGTTTGTACAAAACAAATCTCGAAAACATGTGGGCAAGTAATAAAATATTTAACAAATCACTGAACAAGCTACTGGAGATTCTTCTTCGCGCGCATCTCGCCCCAAAACGAGAGTCGCATTACTGGGAACTTCAACAAACCAAAGCAAAGAAGCAACCCAAGCAAGTTGTCAAGTCTGACATTTGCTCACAACCTTACCATTCTGCCTGGTCTTACCTCTGTCCGTATTTTGGGCACCAAACCAAGTCCCAACAAGTCAGTTTCCAATGCGAAGAAACCTCTAGATATTGATTGGGATACCATGAGAGAGCTTCAAACCAGAACTAATCAAGCATTGAGGAAGGACATTGACCAACTGGAAACCGATACCAAGGCTGTGTCTGATGAGCTGAAGGCTGCAAACAAGGACCACAAGAAGGAGCAGTATTCTACAAGGATCAAGGACTTGAAGAATCAACGGCACACTGATCGTAGCAAACGCCAAGGAATCAAAGAGCTGAAGGCTCAAAGACATCCCTCTTGTATCAAATTACGAGCCTCCTCCTTCTGACCAACATCTCGATTCAATGGTGTTTTCGGGTACTGATAACGGGCTGGCTGTAATGACAGAAACTATTGGCGTGAATCTGAACAAATACAAATATCACTTGTCACTGCATAATAGATTCTCTCCTCTCACCCATCTCGATGCTGATGAAGGCAATTTGTCTGATAGCACTGGTACCGCTGCTGGTAACGATGGCAATGGCGTTGATCAAGTTATTACGAACGATGCTATTGACAAGGATGAAATTCGTGATGGCAGTGTTAAATGCGATGGAGATCCCAATGGTGATGATGGCGACGCCGGCGCTACTGCTAATGATCGTGGTCAGACAACAACATTTGAGCCTCTGTCAGAGTCATACAAGATGCGTGCTGAAGGTATCGACTTTGGTTCTGGCCAATTCATGAGGCGAAAGATCACTTTGAAAGACAAGAAAACAACAGAAGAAGGAAAGAGAGTTCAAGAGATTGAGCAACAATTGCCGAGATCCAGTGTGTTCAGAGCCAAAGAGGTAGAGGATGTCATATCAAATCTTGATGCACACAGAAGCAATGGCCAAGCATTGCGAGCGTTCTATCATTCAAAGAAGCAGAATACTCTCTCTAACAAGACTGAGCACATTGACAGGCGTTTCCGTTCTCGTTTCGCTTCGCGTGAAAGATCCTTTTGTGCTGGTGTTCGTCCCCAAACGTCACTTGTAATGTTCATTGGAGATCGTGGTCTTTGTGTCGACTCTCGTTTGAAGGGTCATTTGAAGTATGGTAGAAGATGGAAGCCTCGCTTACATTCATCTGTCGCCACTGTGCATACTACCAACGAACACAAGACATCCCAGACGTGCACGTACTGCTTTGGGCCCACCTCTCATCCCACACAAACCACCAAAGCAAAGGATGGTAAGACCAAGATAAGGTCCATTCATGGTGCATTCCTGTGCTTAAATCCTGCCTGTGTGTCCGTTCTCAATCACAGAGCCATTCAAGGTAGAGACAAGACATCTGCTTTGGCCATCGCTGTCTCTGGGCTTTCCACACTCTTATTCAGGCAGCCATTGCCTGTATTCAACCCCAAAACCCAGTCAATCCAACACTGGCACTACCTCCAAGATCACCTCTTTCTGCAACAGAAACGAGAAACGGGACGGCAGCGGTGCTGCATTAGCGGACGCTTGAGTCTTCAAGGTAATAATGTGCTCAATCTGGCACTGCTTTACTAATTTGTCATTTATTATACTCGCAAGATTCAAATTTTCAGTCGGTTATGCTAATGTTGAAAGTAGCAGTGGTGCAAATGTTTACTGAATATTGTTGCAGTGACTCTGTGAATTCTCATGCTGTGGTGATACAAAGATGATCCTGAACCCCATCCATATTCACCGTGATTTGATCTTACAAAAATGAAAAGTTACATATTTGGCATGCATGTTGAAATCTTACAGCATGAAAATCCGTTTCTTTAGAATACTGCTTGTCGACATGTAATATTTCCCCAGTTGTCAAACTGGCCATGTAGTTTCCATATGTTGGTCAACCACAAGAGTTGCTTATAATGTTGAACAAACTTGATTTCTCACTTGTTACATGTGAAAAATTCACTCTTTTTGCATTCTTCCCCATCATGCAAAAAAAAAAAAAAAAAAAAAAAAAAAAAAAAAAAAAAAAACTCACGTATAAATAAAGTATAACTTGGAAGCTAAAATAAAATTTCTTCTTCTTTTTTCTTGTATTCAACTGTATATACATTATGGCTTCACAGCAACCACCTCAACTCGTTTCTAATTTGCTGCTCCCTGAGCTTGAGCGCCAATTGAAGGAAGATCAAAATCTTTGGCCCAATGTAAAAGGTCTCTTTATTGTCACAGTGACAAAGAAGAAGAAGGCTGCTGCCACATGGTAACTATTAACTTGCAGCATGAATTTTTCTCTTGCACTCGTAATAACCCTCTGACTTTATAGGTATCTGCTACTCCAAGGTATACATAGGCTCCATGCAGCAGAAACTAACTGAATCAATGTACATTTGACCAGTGTTCTAACACATTTGTGATACTGTAGGCAAAGATGTGATGCCATTGATCACTGCCTCTGAGGAAGATGCGCGCGTAGGTGTCAAGGGCAAAATCAGAACTGTAAAAGTTCAAGTCGATGATGCAGATCTTTTGAATTTCATCACTGGAGGGTAAGTTGAACAGTTGTTCTATCAATTTCTCTATTCATCTAGTTGCATTTTACAGTATGACTGGTGTCAAGGCCTACATGACCGGAAAGATCAAGGTAAAGGGCGATCTCCTGTTGGCACAAAGATTGGAAGAGGTTTTTGAAAAGCTTGGTGGAAGAGAGGTATGTATTCATCTTGGAGAAGTGCAGGGTAGGATCAATACTCACCCAGTTTACTTATATAGAGAGCCATTGATTTCATCAAGAACAACGAACAAGCTTTAGCAATGACAAACAAATCGAAGTTGTAATCGACGTTATATATTACAATAAATATCTGACAGATTTTTCAGGATTCTATTTGTGCAATACTTGATTTATGCGGTTTGTGTGTAGCATGACACTAGTAACATAATGAAAGGCGATATTGCCCGCCACTTGCTTTACGTCATTTAGAAAGCCCAGGTACAGCCGAGCATGCTCTATGGAATTGCTCTATCATACCAGTAACGTTAAACATCAAACCATAGCACTGTTCACCACTGTCTACTATAGTTTGAAGTCAAGCGTATTCTGCTAAAAGTCGTGTATACAAAATTCTAACTTTCTTATAAAGTTGGCTCGTTAGTTTTAGCAATTGAAGGCTGTATATGGTGGGGTTTATTACACGCGCTCTAATCAACAACTTTTAACTATAGATCTGGCTCTTTGTGATGCTCCAGATCTGTCCCAAATAATGCGTATACGGGCAGACAGCATACTTGCTTTACCTCTTACCATTTAAAAATACAGTGTCTCCAGTGCCAAATGGCGCTTTTGAACTTCTCAATTGGCGTCTTTGATAAAACCCAATTTGCGCTTTCAACTATATACCAATCTGCGCATTCGACTAGCCCAAATTGCACATTTTGTAGTCTCAATTTGCGCTTTTGACAATTTCAATTTACGTATTGAATAGACAAGCAAAAGTCAAACAAAGACTCTTTTCTCTTATTTCTCTCATCACATTCGCAGTAATAACGAGTTTTTATAATGAAGATGGTAGCGAAGCTATGGATTGGGATGAAGGAAGACGACAATCCATACAGAACAGAATCTCTTACTTCGTTGGATCAATGGCGTGCATGCCGGCTGATATTTGAACCAACCATTGATGATCCGGAGAAAGTAAATGCTATAGCAGAATTGGGAAAACTTATAACATCTATTGGGATGAGCAGCAATTGAAAGGTTCAAAGGTTCAAAGAGCAACGTGTTTTCAAAAGCGCCATGGGGGGAGGGCACTGTATATAATATATGTAAGATTCGCATATAATAAAATAAAAACATTGTATAATGTATAAAGATAAACACTAGATGTGTTACGTTATTTCCCACTGAGTTGTGTTAGAATGTATATAGGCATGTACACAACTTGAACCGTTTGATTTAAAAATATTTGTATTGCTCGAAATCCTTTGTGATATTCATGTTATTTGTCACATATTATTTACATCATTTGTGCTATTTATATCAATGATATCACATCCTACACACGACTTTTTTTGCTTCTTTCGACTTGCTTCATTTGACGAGAAGGTGGTGGGCATTGAAGGCAACGAGGGTCTCTCTAAACAGGTATCAAGCCAAGAAAAATCATCGCTTTTATCTGCTTGGGGGGGGGGTATTCACAACAACATTTAGCACAACTTTCATAATCTCGCAGCAAACCCAAGAAGACAAGATGGCGGGCAATACCGTCGAACCAAATTTTTCTACTTTGCTGCTGATCTCGATCTTTTTGCCACGGAAAACACGAGAAACATAGGCAGTAGGTCTATCTAATTCGACCATGGTACATGACAATCCGGAATGTAAAATACCAACTGTACGGATTGCAGTTGATCGGTTATCATAGTCAATCGCTTTGAGCAATACATCCATCATGTCTTTGAGCATTCTAGGCAATTTAATAAATCCTTCCTGCATGAACTTGGTGCCATAATCTTCTTCAATTCTGGGTTTTGCCTCACTACCACCAAACTCCAATGGTAAGTTGTGGCCATTATCATACTGCCGGAACACAAGATCACATTTATGACCGTAGGCCAGACGAGGCATGTTGTTGATTGCCGTTGGGGTGCGGTTTTGATTCATTCTTCTTTTGCTACCAAGGCTAGCGCTTTCACCTGTTGCAGCTTCGATCCCTTTGACCTTGTCGAAACAGGACTCTATCATTGACCAAATATGAGATTGATACCAGGCTTCAGTGTAATAACGATCCATATTTCCGAATTGATATTCCCTGACTAACGAATGTACCACGTGGTTGACCCAATCTTCATCTGCATTTATATCTTTGTCGTAATTAGCACGAAATTGATGGTTCGTGCCTAATGCAGTACGAATCTTTTGTGAGGAGTCAAGATTATAACTGTTTAAAAAGGGTTTGAATTCTTTTGTCGGGAATGGCATTGGTATTCCACACCTTTCTTTCCCCTTTTCTACGACATTTTTGGTCAAACGGGGTGATTCCCTAGTTTTGTGCGGTAGTGGCGCACATTATGGTCTCTCCCATCTCGATAGTTGACAGAGTACATAGTCGCTATGTTTTTCCCTTACCAAGGTTTTTTCAACATAGAAGAATAACGTCAGGAGTAGCCAGGGTATGTGATTTATCACATATACCGAGTCTCTTCTGCTCTCAACTGTGGATGATGGGTTTCACTGACGTGAACGTTTGCTTTGTTGTTGGTGTGGTTCTGATTGCTCTCTCTCTTGCTTGCGGCTTCGGTCGAGTATCTTTGTTCTCTCGTGATAACCATCTGATCAAGTGCTGACAGTACTATCCTTAGTCAAATATCTCCTGGGCTCTTCTCATGAGAACACACTCTTTGCCCCAGTAACAATTCAAATTAGTAGTCATGCCCTTCTTGTCCCTCTTGTGCATACACTTATAGACTAGTCGTTTTAGGTAGAATAGTCTTTTGGTAGCATGTTAATAACATTATAAATACGAGTGGTAGCCTGCCTTCCTCCATACAAAAAATAAATAATTTTTTTTGGTATTCCTTGATTCTTCGAGTTCTTCTGGTGTACTGCGCATAATTTTCGTCGTACGGGTCCATAATCAGCGATTTGCTAGGATGATCTGCAGAACATTGAATCCCAAATACGAATAATTCGTTGTCTACGCACTTCCCGGTAGAGAGAAACCATTTTTTAGAGTTATCCAATTTCTTGAACATTGCTTCAAATTCTGCATTGTGCTCTTCAGCATCTGGACTACTTTGGATATGAGATTCTGGGTCTTGAGATTCTGGGTCTTGAGATTCCAGCATTGCAATTTCATTCTCGACTTCCTTATTTTTCATCGTCTGCTTAAGAAAGCTCTTGTTCACCATAAATTTTTTTCGAGCTATTAAATAAAAATGCTGTTTGACAAGTATGGTGTTCAGGGTCTAGATATTGAGTCTCTATTAATATGGGCAACATCATAAATATATTAGGGTATCCTCACCTTTTCCGGGTTATGTCGCGCATTTCTAGTCCAAAGTATACAGTCTCTATGAACGTCTGTTTTCTTGAGCTTCAGCTGCGCAATATTATTCAACGCAACACGTAAGGACGAAACGCATGATGACCAGTCTTCACATTGAGAGTGTTTAGCAAAGCCTAGTACTGGAAAAGGTATGCCATGTTTATAATTTGAGAGAACCCACTCGGTATTAGAATCATTTATGTTACCAGAAAGATTCGAATGTTAAATACAACCAATGCTGATTAGATTGAACGTAATGAAGTCAAGTGTCAATTAAAAGAAAGTAAAGTGAGGTATTGTGTAAAATACATAATAATTTTGCTATCCGAAGTACACGTCCCTTTCCATTCCTTTCTTTTCAATTTTACCGTTAGGATGAAGATTTACTATTATAGCATTATAAACCTACAGTATGTAGCATTCATTCAGTGGGTATACCACCTACCATATGCCTAGTGAAAAGGTTGTGTTCCACTTTTTATTCTCATTGCTATTGCGATAAGACAATCAAGAGGGTGACAAAAGTACTATCAGGCTACATATATTACTGATCCTACTTTATTTTAGTATTTGATAGTACGATTTAAACGAAGATGGGCATACAATCGACTGTTCAGGACATGACGTCCTAGATATGCTTTCAGGCATATTAAATAAAGGCTGGAAACGGTCTTTCTTGGATGGCTCCAGGAAGTGATCACTTCATTTTGACAGTGCCTTTTATACAGGGTGAAGAGGTTTAAGACACTTCTCCAACACTACCTGTTTGTATATATAAGGCAGATTGTATTCTTAATTTCATGTAATGAAGCTCCAGAGGATCACTAGATAACTAGCACAATGTGACACACCCATTTTAGAGTATCTCTCCTAGCCCAATTGCCTTCAGAAGAATACTACATAGCCATGCCTATTTACAAGAATAATTCGATTTGATCATTCATGAAGGCGTTTCGCTTTACCGAATCCACGGTTGCGCATTTGTGAGTACCTTTTTACCTGCTATTCTCAACTGTACTAATTGGTAATTGTAATAGTCTTGATGATATCCAAAGCCCACGCAATCCATTGTTCTTCAAGAGTCTGGAGCGAACTGCGGCTATTGATTCAGTCAACAAGTTGGTTTTTAGCTGTAAATGATATTATTTCTTTTAAATGATATGTTCCTCTCAATCAAATCTGGATTGCACTAGTATGTTAAATTAGGATATAGGGTTGGATCTATTACGACGGCTGCTATTAAATGAGACGGGATTGGCTCTGTTGTAAATGAAGAAATGGGTCATTGCTGGATTTTCTGGTGGTATGATCTAGCGTAGTCAACATTTTATGCATTACGTTTGTTACCCAATTTGGGGATTGCGGCGAAACCGAACTGGAATGTCATGTCACTCACAAGCACTACAATGGGTGCTCTGAAGTCCATGTGTCAATAGTCTGACCAATAACATGCTGCTTGGTGGCTTTATTTGCTACTTACATTGCTGTCAAGTTGAAACAAATACTCAGTGGCAGTTCTTTTGATTTCCGAGTGCATTTGTCAGCTGGATTATTCATCTATTGACGTTCTGGAGAGTGCTTTAGGCACCACATCCAATTAGTAATATGCTACTTGAGCCAGTATATAAAGCAAAGCATTTGGTTGTGAATATCTCTATTTCAACCATACAAACATAACAACATTATCATAAACATGTCTCAAACTTACGTCGTCACCGGTGCCTCTCGTGGTCTAGGTCTTGAATTCGTTCATCAATTAGCTGCCAAGGGAAACACTGTCTTTGCTTGTGCTCGTAATCCCGATAGCGCTACAGGCCTCCAAAAGTTGGTCGACAACAAGCATGTCTTTGCCATCAAACTTGATGTCGACAGTCATGAATCGATCAAAGTGAGCATAATGTGGTGGAATTGAAATGTGTCCATATCTAACATCTACCTATTTGTAGGCTGCTGCTGAAGAGATCTCGAAAAAGACACCTGAAGGTATTGATGTCTTGATCAACAATGCCGGTATTGATGGTGAAGCGCCTGGTACCGCTGTTGAAACTTTGTACGTTATTCATGTGTATGCTACATCGACTTGTATTAATGTCTTTTGCATACATAGATTGGAAAGCGATTTAGCCACCATTTTCCACACCAATGTCATTGGTGTTTCTAATGTTACAAAGGAGTTTTTGCCATTGCTTCAAAAGCGTGGTAAAGACCATGTCAAGAAGATTGTCAACATTTCGTCTCTTCTTGGATCCATTACGCTCGCTAATCAAACCTCTCCTGCTGGTAGTCGTCCCGCTTACAACATATCTAAGGCTGCCTTGAATATGTACGTCAGGATGCTGGCCACTAACCTCGCCAAGGATAATTTCATCGTGTATTCCAGTCATCCTGGTTGGGTTGCTACTGATTTAGGAGGTCAATCTGCTCCTGTTCAAGCCGTTGACTCTATCAGAGGTCAATTGGCTAAGCTCGAGAGTGTAACAGCCAAGGATAATGGTGGATTCTTTGATTTTGAAGGAAAGACTCTTCCTTGGTAAAGTCTTTCAGCATTACTTATTTGAATAAATTGAATGATTTTTTTTAGCACTGTTGCCTGCATCATATCAAATGCTGTTTCTTTTTTTTCAGGGCGATCGGATCGAATTCATTGTCATGATTCGATATGGTTGCTCCAGATAGCCATTTCTATTCAATACTGATAACAAAATTCCCGAAAAATATTGATACACAACTGCATCATATGCAGTTTGAATGTGCACATGTGCGTATACAAACATTACCGCGCAAGAAAGAACTTGGTTTGCATCTAGTTTCAGCTTTTTCTAAACGATCGCAACAACATTAAAGCAAAGCAAGGTAAAATACCTACAGATCATCATCAGACTAAAATCTAACTTGCTTCCATAAACTGCATGGAAACTAAGTGTTCATTCGGCATTGATCTCGATGTTATATCTGTTAAAACAACAAACATCACATGTGTGTTTTCTAAGCAATTTGCATCGAATTGAACGAGTTTCAATTGCACATTTAGGGTTCGATATCCGAAGAATATAGAGTCTCTACTCTGAAATGCAATATGGACTTTTATATCTATAGAGATCAAGGAGAAGCAATGGCTAAAGCATCCACTTCTCCTTTTTTTTTTCTCCAATCTACGTGGCAGTTTAGACTAAGTCAGCTATCCAACCCTTTGAGTAAATCTGCAACAACCTTCAAAATAAACACAATGAACTTTGGAGTTTCAAAATATATATATATATATAAAAAAAAGGGTTTTCAGAAGTTTGGTTTTGTGTTCAAAAAAGCTTTTTTCTTCTTTTTTTTCGATTTGAATCCTCTTCTTTTATATACACATTACTAGACAGATTGTTTTTTTTTACAAGGGATCATATAGATAGCCACCATGGATAGCGATTTATTTGCCAAATTATTTGGTTATTTTAGTATAGGTTGTTGGATTGTAGTGTTCACTCCGTAGGTTGTTCATCCCAGAGTGTGTACATTTGTGTCAATTTATTCTGTTATAGCCAATTGTATGAAAATTATACAAGAAAGAACACAGATGGTGTATCAATACAATTCTTGTCATTCTGGATTCTAGGAGACATTCTGAATCTATTTGGCATCATACTCGAAAATTTACTATTTACCATGGTATGAGGTTTTTTTTTTTTTTTTTTTTTTTTTTTTTTTTCGATCAAATCATTACAACTCATGACTCATCATTCATTTTTTTTTTACACAGCTCTTGCTAGCTCTCTACTACTTGTTTGCGGATTGTTTATTGATGGGACAAGTCATTTACTACCGCACTGTGTATCCTCAGCGCCATATTGAGGAGGTTGTTGTAAATGATTATGGAGCAGGAGGTTCAAATCTTGTCATACCTCAGCATCATCATCATAGACGCTCTTCCATCTCCTCTTCATCCTCTACTAGCAGCAGCAGTTCAAGCTCAAGTCCTTCCAATGCTAGCAGTAGTGTCAGTGGTCTCAGCCATCACAATGACTATATCAACGAACACACATCCCTGTTGCCTACCAAGATCAACAGCAAAAGTCGCACATCATCTACCACCATCCAACACCACCAACAATCATCCAGAACTCGCACTATTGTCCGTCTCTTCTTTGCATCGAGTATCGTGTCATGGACTGCACTCATGGTTGGCTCTGCCTTGTTCTTCTTTGGACCTGGCCAACACAAAGTAGACATGAGTCAGTGGCATGTAATTCCTCAAACACTGGGCTGGGGAAGTGCCATCTTGTACTGTGTTAGCCGTATACCCCAAATCATGCAAAACTTTAGAAATGAAAGTGTCGAAGGACTCAGTTTACCCATGTTTGTGTTTAGTGTCGTTGGCAATGTTACTTATTGCGTGGTAAGTCTCGAACTGGCTTAATGTGTAGCTATGTATTAAAGGAGTTTGATGTAGAGCATTGTATTGGAATCTACAGATCCAACATACCTGTTCATTAACCTGCCATGGTTAATTGGAAGCGGGGGTACCTTATTTTTTGATTTCACTGTAAGTAAAAATAGGAATCAAGGAGTTGAAAGTGAGTTGTTCATCATTTGTTGTAATCTAGATTTTCTTTCAATTTTACATGTATCGCCAACGCACAGACCTGGATAGCAAGACTACCATATAAATCTATATATACACACACACACACACACACACACACTGTACAAATAAAAATAAAAAGAGAGAGAGAGATGCCCTTGATTGCACATTCATCCAAGGAGAGAGACAGGAGAGAGTTGCACCATATTTCATGTGTGGATAAAATGACGATGTTTCATCCGATGCATATTTGAGACAAAACAGACATGCAATGGGCGTTTTATAGAGACATCGATCTGCAATAAATAAGCATCAGTTGATCATGCTGATCCTTCTGCTCGCCTGTGCCGTATATAAAGGCTTTCTGTTGGCATCAGGTAGTTTTTCTCACTTTCTTTCTCTCATTATACACGCATACACATCACATCATGAACCAGCAAGTAACTTTACCACCCATCAAACATGTCTTTCAGGGCTTGTTGAGCTCGAAACCAGCAGATTCATTGCACCGTAAGTTGCTGCTTTGTACATGGCACAACACACATACTCATGATTGTATCTACTGTAGAAAAGCACCATTATCGTCGCTCGTCTGCGGGCATGGAGTCTGCAGTGGAAGCAGTTCGATCCTTGCAGCAATTATCATCGGCATCAGCTGATGCACCTTGCTTTCATTGTTCACCTGCTCCTGCTGCTCCTTCCTCCTATTCTTGCTGCACAGCAGCTCATCACCACCATCATCATCAACAACAACCCATCCATACGCAGCTTGCAACATCATTTGCAGGACATCGTCGAACTGTGTCAGCCTCTGTAGAAGCACCGTATTGTCATGTATCCTATCCACTGGCTCCTCCTCCTGCTGCTGCTGCTGCTGCTGCTGCGGGTGCTCTGTCTGATACATGCTCTCCTTATTCACATTATCCACACACCCACTCACATTATCAGCATCGATTCTATGCACCTTACGCTCACGTTCATGCTCATCAGCAGCATCCACCAGCACACTACTTTCCTCGCCGTGCAAGAGCACATACCACATCAGGCTATCCACCTACCATGCTCTATCCTATGCATGCTAATCAGCAAACATCAACAGCGTACAGCACAGCGAATGAGATGCAAACACCATTCTCGCCTCCTTCTTCTGTCTCTTCTTCGTCAGCACCCGCATCAGCAACCACAATGCCAGCTAAAAATAGCTCGAACGTCAACAACCACAGATACCATTGTCATCATTGTAGAAAATCCTTCTCAAGACCTTCCTCGCTCCGTATTCACATTTACTCGCACACAGGAGAAAAGCCATTCAAATGCCACTATCAAGGATGCGGTCGTAGTTTCAGCGTCCACAGCAACATGCGTAGGCATTTAAGAGTGCATTACTACCCTCAACAGCAACAGCAACAGGCAGGCACGAGCGCACACATGAACAGCAGCATGCGGTTACCACTGGTACCATCCTCGAAAAGTGCTAATTACAGTGACGAAGAAGAGGAGGAAGAGGAAGACTGCAAGACAAAGGACAAGGAGGAGCAAAACCATAAACAACACTTAATGTTGATGAGACAACAAACAGACTACCACAACCAACAACAAACAATGTGCTACACTAATGTATGATAAACATGACATGACATGACATTTATATTTATACCACTACCATCTTGGAAAAAAAAAAGAACATATTCTCATTATTCTCATTGTTACTATTATCATTACTACTATATTACTATTGCTGTTCTCGTAAACATTACCTCCATTATCAATTTATCAAATAAAATCTCATTTTACGAAATCAAGGGGTCGTCTGTGTAATGCAATTTCTACACATCCAGTGTGTATAAACACATACACACACATGTATACGCCGCCACACCTGTGCACGCAACATGTCATGAAAATCAATTTATTACATATGAAAGATCTACGCACCCAGACTCACATTTGTACAAATTAAAAATGTGGCAATGATCAACAAGGGAGAGACAAGGAAAGAGACACACAACACAACTGATCATTACACATAAATATTTACCAAACACTAGCATATGTGTGTTGCGAGAAAAGGGGAGAGACGAAACTGGCCACACACACACACTCTCTCTCTCTTTCTTTCTCGCTCTCAATTACGGCATGTCATGGTTGGCATATAAAATGCAATCTAATGAATGATTTTCCTTACCATCATCATGCGTTGCCAAGGTGTGTCACCTAGGTAATTTAGCGATGATCGTCAATATGAGAGAGCACAAAATGCAACATGTCATTTGACTGACATGATATTGTGTAGTTTGCAGGATGGGCGGATCACCTTGTGTCTTGATTTTTATACGTTCCAGTAACCAGAGATAATTAAGCTAGGCAGTGATGCATCATAAAATGGTTTGTTTATTGAAATCAGATAAAAGACTAGTGGAAAACCCGACTTTGAATAGTGAAAGAATGCTTTATATATTTATATAGTTTAGAGAGAGAGACAGTAAGAGAGGTTAATAAAGAAAAGAAAAAAAAAAAAGAAAGAGAGAAAACATGTGTGTAATGATGGCATGGATGAGTGGTTGAACTAACGACGTTTTGATTTAGTTGTAGTAGTAGTAGTAGTAGTAGTATTAGATGTGGCAACAGGTGTGCTTGATTTAGATCTACCACCTTTACTCTTTGGTTGAGGCTACATTAAAACGTTAGATGCATGCCTTCTTTCGCAACCACAACCTCCTTACCTTCTTCTCCTCTGGCTCCTCGAATTCAGCATTTTCCTTTTGAATCAAACTGATCAAGGTATTACAACGTCTAGCAACTTCCTGCGAGGTTCTGGACTTTAAGAACCAATCGAATCTAAAGAGTGGGGATTGCTTGATTTCGCGACGAATATTGTCATAGACATTTTCAGTGCCATAACCATACTTTTCGAGCATCACAACCAAAAATCGATCTTCTTCTTCTGTGTAGTTCTTGCCCTTGGTAGGTTGAGTATAATGAATCTTGAGTTGCTGCAGAGGGACACGATGGCGCTGCACCTTTTCAGTGAGTTGTCCTTGGATTTCAGCTTGCTTTTCTAATTCGCTCTCTCCCTTTTCAATCTTGGAAATGTGTCGTTCGTAGTCAGAAATCTCCTTGTAACGAGACCAGAACACTTTGGAGTACTTTTTAACGTCGTCTAATGTCTTGCCTTCTAATTCAGTAACAATAGATTCTAAATCGTTACGTCCGTACTTGGCACAAGCGTTGATGAAAATGGCGAAATCCTTCTTGCCCCAGTTGGAGAATCCCTGAGCATGCAGATTCTTGCGCTCTTCCTCTTCCTCCTCAGTGAGTGGTTCAGCAGCATCAATCTTCTTTTGCTCCTCTTCTCTTTCCTCTTCCAGTTGTTTGATTTCCTCTTCGGTGGCTCCTTCTTCGGGTGAAATGGGAGGAAGCTTGTAACCCAGTGACTTTCGCAAGTAGAGTGTATCACGCTCGTTCAATTCAGAAATACGAGAGGGGAAGAACTGGAAGTCCTCCACGTTGTATTTCTTGGGACGAGGTGCTTTGGTAGAAGGTGTACGAGCACTGGTACGCAAAGCTTCCTTGTAATAATCATCCACAGCATAATTTGCCTTTCGTTCTCTTTTAGCAGGACCCAACCATGACAAACCAACAGACTCAGCCTTACGCTTATGACTCCAATCTTCACCATCCCACTTGTAAGCACTCTCGGATGAAAAGTTCTTGAGGTCGTCGATTTGGAGGTTGGAGTATTTGCTGTTCAATTCGGCAGTACGTTCCTCACCATGGCGCAAAATCTCATCAATATTATCGTCAGCAGCATCATCGGCAGCGTCGCTGTCCTTGAAGATGTTCTCAGCGCCATGTTGAATCATGGTAAGCAAATCCTCCTTGGAAGCAGCAGCCTTTGCCTTGGCACCAGCAGACATACGGCCCTGTTGAATAACCAATTGATCCAAACGCAACTTTTGAGCAGCACGTTCGAGCACCTTTTCTTCAATGGCATTTTCAGTGACAAATCTAAAGACATAGACTTGCTTGGTTTGACCGATACGATGAGCACGATCCATGGCTTGCAAATCAACTTGGGGGTTCCAATCACTGTCATACAGAATAACTACATCGGCCGTAGTTAAATTGATACCGAGGCCACCAGCACGCGTCGTCAACAAAAAGATGAACTTTTCGCTGCCAGGCTTGTTGTATTCGTCAATAGCGTCAATACGGTCTTCTTGGCTGGTTTGACCATCGATACGACAGTATTGGTATTCCTTCCACCAACAGTAATCTTCCAAAATATCAAGCACACGACTCATCTGACTAAACAAGAGAACACGGGAGCCTTGGGCCTTGCATTTCTTGAGCAATTTATCGAGTACCACCATTTTGCCAGCATTATCCACCAAATGCTGATCTGTAGTGAAGGGAGGTCCAGGCTCAGCGCCGTCGAACAGATAAGGATGATTGCAGCACTTTCTCAATTGCATGACAATGTTGAGCAAACGAGTCTTGCCTTCGCGCTTGTTGAGGCCAACACCGTTGATAGCATCAATATCCTTTTCCAAAATCTTTTGATACCATTGTCTTTGCATAGGAGACATGCGCACATAGACGTTCATTTCCTTCTTGGGCAACAATGATTTCTCCACATCAGACTTGATACGGCGCAACAAGAAAGGTCTCAATACTTTGTGCAGTTGCTCCACCACCTTTTCTTGATCGCCACCTTGCTTCTCGAACCATTCATCAAATACTTCTGACGAACTAAAGACATCGGGAAGTAAAAAGTTGAGCAAGGCCCACAATTCATGCAAGTTGTTCTGGAGTGGTGTACCGGTGATCAACAGTCGATTTCTAGATTCCAAAATACGAACGAGTTGTGAAAGCATGGAGTTTTCGTTTTTGATACGGTGAGCTTCGTCGATAATGATGTATTGCCATTTGACTTTTTTGAATTGTGATTTCTCCATCAAACAGATTTCGTAAGAGGTGATGCAGATTTCAAATTTACCAGGAATGATGCGTTCCTTGATCATTTTGGCCTGAGAAATAACAAAAATTTAGTACAAGCAAAACCTTATTTAACATCTTACTCATCACTACGTACTCTGGTGTCCTTGTCACCGTGAAACACAAAAGCATCGAAATCAGGCACCCACTTGTTGAATTCGTTTAACCAATTGTGCAAAGTGGATTTGGGAACAACAACTAGATGTGGACCCTTAACACCACGCACATGCTTCAAGTAACCCAAGAAGGAGATGGTTTGCAATGTCTTACCCAAACCCTGTGTGGATATTGTGTTAGTCCATCGTCTACGTAAGCTCCAGCACCATCTGTATTACCATCTCATCAGCAAGAATACCATTGATACCGTTCTCAAACAAGGAGATCATCCAGTTCAAGCCTTGAATCTGGTATTCTCTTAGTGTACCTCCTGTGACGTCTACGACGAAGGTAGAGTGTGAGTCTTTTTTTTTTTTTTTTCACATTAGAGGGCATTGTATACACATACAGGCAGGAGATTGCGTGAATACGGTCATGTCTTGCTCATCATCGCCTTGCTCATCCTTCAAGATCTCCTCGTCTTCCTCCTTTTCAGTCTTTCTTCTACGTCTTGATCTACGTGTGACATGTCAATAGTGTGTTCATGGCGCTTGCTACATGTTGATAGAGCTCACCCTTCTCCTTCTCCAACCAGCTTTTGCTCCTCTTTCTCTTTCAAAACTGCCTTCATAGCATCGTCTTTGACTTCAGTCAGGTTCAAGAAATGAGCGAATAGCTCAGTTTGTCCCAAGAGGTATCTATAACGCCTGACACGAGTTTCGTACTATACATGTGTGCGCAATTGGATTAGTTGGCGTTGCTAAGATTCAAAAAAAGCGTAATACAAAACGTACAAGAGAAGGCTCCTTGAATGTACGAAGAGGCGTTGATTCTTTGGATGATGCTACTCTTTGGGAATCCACATCCTAGTTTGATGATAAGTAACCATGTCTCAAATAACGCGATTTCTAATTGCTTACAGAATCTGCTTGTGATGTGTTATCGTCCACAACAGCAGGGTATGCCTGTATCAAAGATGTTAGTATACACATGGAGTGTCTATGACAACGATAGTACGTACAACATCTTGATGAAGGTTGTCTTGTTGATCGACTACCATATCCTACATTGAACATGTCAGCTTGCTGGCTATGGACGCTTCATATCCGCATTTTACCAGTGATTCAGGCATACCAAAAAAAATATTTTTAATGATACAAAATAAAGGAGAAAGCGAAATGCTTCTATGATGTTGAAAGCAATTTGATGCTGGCTTGTCACAGTTGCAAAAGAAAAAAAAACGCGAGACTGTTCTTCATACGAAATGTACCAACATGGAACGTGTAGCGATGCGATCTACAGAGCGAGGCTAGTAGGGTGCGCGCTGAGGTTTGTGCTATGCGTATTTGGAGATATTGGAGCCCAAGGCAACTTTTAGACTAGCATTGGATGGTCTTTGTCGCCATGAAGCTCGTATTTTACTCAACAAAATGTTGAAAGTGAAAGGCATGCCAACTTGCTCTGCTTAAATCAGTTGCTTTATTGAATGAGATAATACTATATACATGGAATGTTGAATAAATAAGAATATGCTATTTTGGATATCATCGGTATCTTTGGGAGGGTTGAATCAGTTGGGATAGTTATCCAGTAATGCCAATTCTTAAACTATTAGCAGGAGTAGAGTTTGCTGTGCTTATTCGGCTAATAGAAGTAGCACGGCTGCTGGCATTGGTATCCAATGTAATGTTGCTAAGATAGGCAGGCGGAATACCATCGCCATCGTATGCAGGCAAGAACTCCTCGTCGTTCTGGTTCCTGGGTTGAGGTCTCAGGAAATGTGGTTTGCAGTTCAAACTTGCCCTGTTTTCTACAATCGCCGAGTATGATTCCAACTGTCTAGGGGCCCTAGTACCAGCAGGCAGGGTACCAAAGATAATGGGCATATCAAACAGCTTCTTCTTGACATGGATAGGGCCATGACGAATCTTAACAGACACCACCAGCTTGTATTCGATTGTAAGATGTGGCGAATAAGTAAGCGTGGCGGGCAAATCCTCTGGGCTTGGCAGGTTGAGCTTCATGGACACAGTGCATGGACATGCAGATGGTAGTTTCGGATGATCGTAATGTGCAATCATGGTGGCCTCATTTCTGGAAAACGTCTTGTAATTGATACTATAGTAACGCTTGATATACACACGGAGCTGAGATATGGGAAAATGTTCATCAGAGAGGTTGTCAGAATGGAACTGAACTGTAACAGGCACAGATTGGTGCTTATCATTGATATTGTATGCAAGGCGAGGTACTGAAACTTGTGCTGTGATATGGTTGGTTAGCCGATGTGATTCTGTAAAGGCATGCAAATTCTTGATAGGGATGGTTTCGATGATCGGTTGGAAACAAATAGGCACCATTTTGGATAAAATGGGCGCAGATTCTCCTGCTTTCCTCACAGAGACGACCATGTTGAAGGCAGTTGCTATCAGATGATGGTGGAAAGTAGGTGGGTAGTTTATAACCGGCATTTGACATACAAATGGGAAGGTATAATCGCCTGCTTCTAATATCGGCCATGCATCTTGTGGTATATTCACAGCAGAAGGTAAGCCCCACAAGACTGTGCGTACTGCAAATAAACGATCATCTGTGGATTTGGATTTTTCCCAGCCCATAGCATCGTAATTGACTCGCTCTAGCGTGTACAGAGTGTCAGTATATAGTTGCTTAGCAACGTCCATGTCAAGTTGCCTAGCAACATATTGACGACAAACATACCTGATGCTTTAAAGACGAGCTTGATGTGATGGATTGGCATAGGGGCTGATACCTTAATCTGTACAATGCCTTCGAATACTGAGCCTGGATGACAGATCACTTGGCCATGTTCATTTGTGTATTGAGGATAAAATAGAATGTTGAAATCAATGTTGGGATGTTTCGTTCCCATTAGCTGAGCCATCATTTGTTTACTGTTGCGAGGACTACGTTTGTCGCAGCCTTCTTCTTTGAATAGTATGGATAACAAAACTTGTAATTGTATTAAAGTTGATGAAGAATTGGTGTTGTTCTCGCCTTGTATTTGCGTGTATATTGCTTTGTTGATGTGTTTGTATACAAGGTGAGAAATAAATAGCAAAGAAAAAGAAGATCTTATCTTGAGGCCATTTGGGCGAAATAAGCAAAGTTTATAAAGCAAATCAAAGTAGCACAAAGTCAACTGGTGATCCTGAAAAGGAAAGTTGCGTACCAATATAGAAATAATTGTCTATTTGAAAGGAGATGTGATGATGAATATTGAGCTCAAAGGGAAAAAAATGTTTACGAAAACTAAGCTAGTGAGTCTTAAAATATCAACATAAACATGCATTCATGAACCCAATGCTACATGGCAATTCGATGTCTCTATATAGCCTATACCAAAGGTACAGTACTCGATCAAATTTAGAGCAGTGTGCGACATGGTAACAAGAGGTCAATGGATAGGTTGGAACATCGTCAAGTGATGATGGTGGTATCAAATCATAGTAAGTAGATAAACTATCTCGTAACCGCATTGGATAGTTATATAGCACTACAAACGGATCTGCATTACCATGCCATATTGCCAATTACAAATAGCTTCATATTCTACTAAAATGTCATCGTGTAACTTTTTGTTCCAGATCTTTAATGTATGAATTAGTTGTCATAGCCAATCATAACTCTTTATTCCCCCCCTCTATCGCTATAATGCTTGTTCATGAGCAATTCCCACAACTAATAACTAGTGCCGTTTGTAACTGCATATCTACACTTCGTTTATAATAAGCTTATTTTTAGCTTCTCAGGAGCCAGGATGTACCGTGTGATATGTTTTCATTTGATTGACTTTCTTCAGAATACAAGCAAACCCCAGAAAAATGGCTGTTACTGTGAAGGTGGATGATCTTTATATCATCATCATTAAGGATTGCTAATCTACACCCAATCATCAAGACCTGCTTCATTTTAACCGGAATTCCGGGAGAAAATGCATTCATACCATGTCTCGAAGGAACAAAGGTAAAAGAAAGAAAAAAAGAAAGAAAAAAAGAATCGCATCATGTAAACATCTACATTTGACAGCTCCATTCTTTTGTAGAAAATCTCCTTTTGGTTATCATCATTTCCCCTTTCAAGTTGCACATATAGTTCTACATTTGAACAATGCGGTTAATGTCGTCCCGGATTACAGTTTGTATACAAACGTAGTTTACACCACGTTTAGTGCTGTACGTGTCTATGCAGATGACTCATCTTGTTTATACACATCTATTTATGTATCTCCAGTCGCTCGGAAATGTCATTTATGAAAGAAACCACTGACTGTTACTGAAACATGAGCATCCAGTGATGATGATTGAACCAGTCGAGGTTGTGATGGACATTATGCCAACGGTCAATGCCAGTTCATCCCGCTTAATACAACACATTATATATAAACGTAGCACAATTCATCGGATAAAATAACGTGGGCATGTTCCCCTACATTCGGATTACAATGTCATTGCCAATTTCCAGCTCTGAGGTCTAGATTTACAGTAGATATTATATATTACTCATCATACGCCTGATATTTACATGCAGCATCGCATCGCACCATCGTTGTGAGACGTCCGAGTCAATGGAGATAGATTGACTTTCGAATATAGCTGGAGAAAAGATAACCCTCCAAGTCTAGTGTACCATTCTGCTACAGATAACCATGGTAGAAGACCATTCTTTTCTATTAGACGCATTACAAACCGTGAGTCATGCTTGACACAATCTTTGGTAGCTGTTGTAATACGCATGACTAGATATTTGGTCTGTAGTGTTGTTCAGTAGTTCGTTCATGTATGCATTTGACCCTCGTTGCACCTCCGCCTACCAATGCCAGCGTAATGGATTTCTTCTTGACAAAATTTACTTTCTCACAGCAGACTATACATGTAAAGCAATACCTATTGGATTCTTGAACGGTCGTGTGTGCATCTGAATCAAAGGCAGTAAATGCTCATTGCAGATAATTCTGTAAGACATACGTCTAGGAGCATTTGATCTGCGATTGAACAAGCAAAAGCGGCCCTTTTCTTAAATATTTCCATTATCCACATGAAACTATACACATAAAATTTTCAACATCTGTAGAAATTTTCAGTTTCAAGCTAGTGAAAGCTGTCCATCGTGTATTGACATTCAATGAATAATACCAATCTTTAGTAAGAAAGGAGCCCTCTTTAACACCCTTTCTTTACACTCTATAGCCTGCTACTTGTTTAACAGCAAAACTAGCCTTGGACTGACGTTTCCAAACTTTTGGAAATTTAATTCCATCTATGATGACTGAGAGATTAACAAATGATTGCCAGTACTTTATTGCAGAATGTCCATTGCATGCACCGTAATAAAAAGAAGAAGCTCGCCCGGATAGCAATACATGCTTTTTAGTTACTACGCAAACATACTGATCTCATAAACGCGAACAGAAAAAGCCTCTTATTATCAACAAACTAGCGTTATATTAGAATGCATCGTTGCCATTTGTGGAGGCATTGTTGTGAGTTCAAAAATAACCACATCACACGGCTCTCTTTAAATGCGCAGCACGCCTAGAAACAAGAAAAAGTTGCTAAAAAACTATACTCAACTGGTTCGAACTAGAACAAAAACGGCATCAAAAGGATGGACAGAGTTTGGCACAATTTTTATACTATTTTTATTTAGCTTACATACCTTATCTGTTCCCTTTTCTTCAAGTAAGCTGCTTGGTGAGAGTGGTTTTCAGCCTCGTTTGAGAACTTTTTCTAGTCAAAAACATCAGCTTTGGGTGTTTCTATAAAAGTAAAAATACCATCATTAAAAAGACAAGAAGCACAATTCTTTTGGCACAGACTTTTAATTTTATACATAGTGAACTAGTGCAGCAGAAGCTTCTCAAAGATGGTCGGTATACCTTAAAACACGTCAATACTGCCAAAAAACGACGAGTTTTTTTTCGGGGTTTCAATGAAAGTATGATAAAATTTCTTCATGAGATTGGCCAGATTTGATCCAATTCGACTCATTTTACCTATTTTTCGATATTCGACTATACAAATTGTTATGACTCTGAAAATGGCTCTTAAGCTTTCTAAGGGTACTTTTGAAAGCGCATCCAATAGTGCTAAATAAAATAGGCGTTTTTAATAAACTTATTGAGCAATCTTTGAAAACATAAAATGAGAGTTTTGGTCAAAACGTCGAAAATATATATATCGATGTCTCACAAAAGAAGTTTCAGGGGCTGCCCTGAATCGAGAGAAACATTTTGATGTAACATATGCTATAGTAGAAGTTTTCATTTTTGGGGTCAAAAATGCGATCGATTGATTTTCGATGAAAACTATGAGGTATCCCTCATGCTTTCTGGTCAAATTTTAACAATCCCAAAAAAGTTGAGCAAACGTGTCGGTAAGCAACTGCTACATGAGAGCAATTGTTTGGTGTTATTTTGGTAGTATGAAACGGCTTTTAACACGAGAAATCACGACTCAAATGTACTCACATTTCCCTGTATTTTGCGTATTAATGTACAGTATAACGTAAGCCAAATATGCTGCATGCCTGTAGATAACTGTTTCCCAACGATATAGGCGTGGAGCATTGCATCACAGTTAAATCTGGGGTTGCAGGCTACCATTGAGGAGTTTCCGCATAATGCGATGCTAAAAATTGAGATGTTGATATACATTCAATCTCCTAATGATTCACTAGTGTGTAAAGTGGAATAAAGATTTGAAAATGTTGTTATATCGTTGTGTAATTCTACACAAATTTACACGCCATGAAATTATACTTTATAGATCAAAACATAAGCATTTGCAAATTAAGCACATCAGAAGTATTTCAGTTAAGTACTTGTTTCTTGCTTTAATCGCAGTCTTGAATCAGAGACGAGCACAGTTCAAAAGGATATCCTACACCTTAAAGTGAGCCCCTGCAATCAATTTTGAACAATCTATCAAACAAAGCTTACACTGTGTTTATCAGCCTCAGCCCGTGTTACTCATGACATCAATTACACTCAAATGTATTACTTGCTGACACAAGCACTCTATTACGACATTGCATAGAGAAAAAGTCGTTTCAATTTGATAGCAATGAGGTCGTACTACGGTCACATCTAGGTATACAACATCATTGAGACCAACATATAAGGAGGTATTATGGTTTATCAGGAAGCAACATCCTTTTTTTTTTCGTTATACCAAATTCATTCAACCATCGTATTGCTATTTATCATGGAACGTCGTTTCTTTGAAATGAAAAACTTTAAGCCTGCTCGTAAGGAAATGGCGATGACGGGCCAACCTCAGACTTCGGGAAGTTGGACATCTGATATATCAAGTACGTGAACATCCATTCACTATATTGTACTTCATGCTTCAGTGGTATGAGCCATTACTGGCGTGTTTGTAAATAAACTATTAGGAATTATAATTCGAATAAAATACACTTCATTTATTTCAACGCTATGTATAAAAGGTAAATATTTGCATAGATATAGACTGCAATTCACGTTACTGATCTTCTTCCTCTTCACCAATATAACATCTTGTAGTGCCAGCAGGGTCAGATTCTTTTTGAGAGGGGAGACAAACACGACCAGGGCAGCATTTTTTTATGCCTTCACCACATTTACCACCTTTGATCATACACCATTTGTTGGGCTTGTCATCAATGCTGTCAGCAGAGACAACAGTAGCAATTGTAGCGACGAGTATAGCAAGAGAAAAGGAAAGCTTCATATTATGAGGTTGAAATAGAAGTAAAGAGATTGAACGTGTGGATCTGATCCCCCCTTTTATACTTTGATGAAGGATCAGCAAGAGGAGAATTGCATAATATGAGCACCCAAAAGACGTCATGGTGCATTTGAAATTGAAACTTGATCTATGATATTGAAAGGTCAGCCTTTACAAGAATCGTACCATTCACCGTATATAGAACAAGCACTCACTATTTTTAAAATTTTGGTGAAGAGTAGGAATTGAAGTAACATAGCATGTACAACATTAAGTGAGATGAGCAGAGGCTGCCTCTTTTATAATCATTGCCCTGATCTACAGCATTAAACATTGTCTCCTTAATCATACAGCGTTGGATATGCGAATGAACCATCGCAAGTGCTTTCAATTTGAGTAAGATTCTTCACCAGCAATGTAGCAATTTGGTTACACCTAGTGCAGTATATTTTAATGCAAGCATGTTTCTAAAGGAAATGGCATTGTATATTGATAGTAAACATAGTTAGCATGTGCGTTACATTTAATGTTTTCTTTTATATAGGTGCGCGCATGATGCCAACTAAACGTGAACTCTTTATACTTCATAGAGATGCGAGAATTGCTGAAAATTTGCTCAGTCAACAAATATTATAACATAATAAATTTATAGACCCTAGACACTTTTACAGCCTTAATATGAAAACTAAATTGCCAGGCATTTTTCTGGCATGGTTCATATATGATTAGAGAGTTTATACTAAATCACTACCAATCAACAATCAAGTTTTTTCTAACATTTTAACTATTATTAATTTTGTAATATTAGCCAAAGGCCCGTGGCAACGCGAGACATCTGAACGTTGGTTGATATCCTGACCTACGTTTTGCTTTGGTGGAAAGCAACCGAGGAGTCGAAATACTCATCGTAACGTAATAAATTTATGGTCCCCAGACATTTTCAAAGCCTCAAAAAGAAAAGAAGTTGATCTAATAACAAGTATTTTGATAGACTGGCATTATTAAATATAAGAATACAAGGGAAATAGCATGTCTAAAGACAGTGTTATGTAATTTGCCACCTACTTTCCATACGCTTCAAAAGCATCTATTACTAAATTGCCTTATGAAAGGGCATTGCACACTACGGCCCAACTGATGTTCTCATGAGAACATCGACGTGCTCATATGAGAATCTATTTGATGTTCTCAAATGAGCACATCGATGTTCCCGAAAGGTGAAAAATGCTCTCATATGGGAACATCGGCGTTCCTAAAGATCTATTATAAGTCGGCCGATGTTCTTATGAGAACATCCGAAATGTTCCCATGTGAGCACATCTATATTCTTATACGAGCACATCGATTTTCAGAAATTTGAAAAGAAGAATTCTTCTACCGGGGTCGAACCCACAACCGATAGGTTGTGGATCTGACGTTCTTCCCACTAAACTACTCGAATATCTTATTGAAATATATTCTTTTACTTTAATAAGTAGTTATTAGGTAATTTTAAATTGCCATTTTCTCGTGCAATTTATAATACGTTTAGTAATTTTATGAATCTTACAGATAATAAAAGTCTCTCTGTTGCCTACAATATTATAGTTTAGCTATTCAAACCATTTTATTCCAGTGGAAAACTACACCTTCTCAAATGAGAACATCAATGTGCTCATGAGAACATCGATGTTCCCAAAAGAGCACATCCATGTTCTGTGAGAGCATCAGTTGGGCCGTAGTGATATTGAGTTTGCCAGCCAGCTCCACAAGCCAAAATCGGTTCAAATCCAGACTCGTAGTCTGTTCCAGATTGGCCAAATCTTGATGATTTTGGACTCGATTGAACTATTTCTGCAGATTCGACTATGTAAAATATGATGATTATCTTATGCTTCCTTAAGCTATCCCTGGTGGTAGGGCGAAGTGGTAGAACTCCCGTATGCCAACGGGAGGATCCCGGTTCAAATCCTGGTGAACGCAAGTTGTTTTGGTGTTTTGACGTAGTACTGATGTCCTCGCTTGGTGTTTTGTACTCTATCCATTATCTATATTTTGACAATTTCCGCAAGACTGTATTGGCTCTAGGTGTCGCACCTTATTAGTAGTAGATTTCTTTCCCAACTGAATTCAAAATTTCTTATTCCCCTTCTTTGCAGACATTGGGTCCACCAACAGTCTTTTCTATCCCTCAGTATGACATCTTAAGGACTTTAAATAAAACCTGGAGCTCGACTCCCCTACAAAAAAAATGCTTCCTTAAGCTCACCCTTTCTTTCGTCTAAATTGTTTTTAGGGCCTTTCAAACCCTGAAAACATCATTAAGCAGTAAAGATCAAAACAAAACCGACAAACAACACAACAACAACAATTCAGTCAGGTCTGTCAAGTCAGCCGACACCTACCGTTACCTCCAACTCTCGTCTCACTTTAACCAAACAGACGACAGCCGGCAACCGTTCCTCCAAACTACCCGTTGCGTCCAAGAAGCGTCGCTTCTCTACCATCAAAGCTACCGCTGTACCTTTGCGTCGTTCACCTCACACTCACGCACCTACAGTAGAACCTCTCGTCTCCATGATTACCGACTCGCAACTTGCTACTATGCCTGTAGTCTCCTCCACCGATTCCACCTCCATCCTGGGCTTAGAACCCTCTGCTATTGCGCCCAGCACGCCTACTACTGTCTGTACCGGCCTGCATGTTCCCCGCACAGACGAAATCCATGGCCATCCTCAGTTACCTAACTGGATCCAGGAAATCTATACACGTCTTTCCGTACACGATTCTCAATTGGAACAAATTAAAGATTTGTTGAAGAGAAACCATGAACTTCAACTGGCTTTGGATAACGCTAATCGAGAGATTGCACAACTCAAGTCAACCGCCAATCACTCGTTGCCACCCTTGCCTTCAGCTCCGACTGTACCTGAGAAGAGATCAGATGGTACCTCGGCCTCCAAATGGGCTGATGTGGCCGCAACTCCACCATTGAACGATCCACCAAAGAAGCCCCAGACTCTCAAGACACCTAAATCTAAAGCCATCACTTCTTCCAAGCCTGTTCCCAAAGGTAAGTCCAAACGACCTCCAACTTTGGAACAAATTAATCGTTTTTACTCGGCCCCATCGGAATCACATGGGTACCAATTCTTGTACTTTACATCCTGTGGTCGTGAAGCCATCTCCAAAATCCGTGCTGGTTTTGGAGTACTTGGCTTATCGCAGAGCCGCATCCTCGACATCCATTACCCTGAGAACAATACTATCAGCTTCCTGGTACACAATGACTATATCGATACTGTCAAAGATGCCATGGCCAAGCTGCCTTCCTCCAAGCTCCTCAATGATTTTGACCCTTGTGCTCCTTCATTACTCCGTGATCGTAAGTATACTACTAACCCTGACCAGGCTTTTGTGCAAGCTGAAGCCACCCGGATCCATCAAGAACGGTTAATACGTATTGTCAAGCGCCTTCATGTCCCTCATGTTCAACTTGCTGTCGCTAGGGAATTTTGCTTCAAGCGTCAATGGCTTCCTGAATCTGTATATCATTCTCTCTACTCTGCTATCTATCCTGACAAATCATCCAAGGCTATCGCCCTTTCAGCACAGGCCGATGTCAACATGGATGATGTTCCTGCAACTCAAGATTCTACTACTCAACCTGCTACCTCTTCTACCTCTATTAGCCCAGCTGACGGCGTCTCAGCCCCCTTGGCCTAATGAGTACTAACACCTATGAATCTCACACCTATGCCACTAATATGCCCAATTATGCCACTAACATTCAATCTTTTACGCACAATCACAACTTCAATATAGCTTCCCTGAACTGCCGCAATCTTGTCAAAGCCTCTACTCCAGAGATTAGCTCTGACTTCATTCGATATTTACGTTCCTTACATTTGGACATTATATGTATTCAAGAATCGCACGCCGTTGAGGCAGTTCAGGACCAACTCAATCTACAATTCCAAGCTCATGCCACCTTATGGACACAACATTGTGGTATTATCTCATTCAATCCATTAATCAACTTACATTCTTTAGACTTCGATCTGGACCAACGCATCCTTGCCTGCAAGGTTGTCCATGCCAATGCGTTGTTCCCACCCTTCACACTCCTTAACATCTATGCTCCTGCCCAATACTCTCCCAGAGTGCAGTTCTTTCGCAATCTTCTAGCGTTGCCTCTTTTCGACATTCCTTATTCAACCTCTCAGGCATCTCTCTCCTCTTTATCTACACCTCTCGACTCTGATCCCTCCAACCTTGCTCTAATGCTCATGATGGGGGATTTCAACTATCATGCTACTTTATATCTGACCGATGAAAGTGTGGATCAGGAACTTGATACTAACAATATTACTTCAAGAGCTGCCCTTCACCGACACTTCCATCAGATTCTCAATACGCACTTCTTTGAATGTACACATTCGCGGGAAGAAGGCCCTCTGTTACCAACATATCGCAGACAGAACGGTCAATCTACTATCGATTACCTGTACGCTTCTGCTTTCTTATTCCAACACCTACACTCTTCTGACATTGAGTTCCTTGATTCCTCCTGGACCGATCATGCCCTTCTCCGGGTACGGTTTGTCTTTTCGTCGGATCGTCAGGGATCAGGTCTATGGCGAGCTAACCCCAATCTAGCAACTAATCAATGTTTCACGGATCAACTGTTTACAGCTTTAGATGAATTTTTCACTACCGTGGAGATTACCGCTTCCATAGATGCCGCCGCCTCCATTTTGCCTGCCTCTCCGCAAGACAATTGGGATGCTCTTAAAGCTCTAGTTCAGGATATCGCTCGTCGGGTAAGTCGTGCTCGCAGCAATGCCTTGGAACGCCAATACCGGCGCCTACAACGCAAGCGCAACCGAATATGTCGTCAATACTCGGATCCTCGTACCCGGGAACAACTACTGCACACCGTTGAAAAGCAAATTGGTATGCTTCAACGTGAAATTGCTACGAACCTACGATTGCGGGCAGGTAAACATTGGCGTGAAAAGGGGGAAACCTCTGCCGGTTACCTTAAGCGAACTATTGCCACTCATGCCGCTAAACAGGCGATTACTAGCCTCCTCCATCCAGTTAGTAACACATTATGTACTGATCCTTTTTCGATGCAGACAGCTGCTTCTAGTTTCTATGGCACGTTGTATTCCAGTGATCCGGTCGACATCGCGAGCATCGAGTCCCTGTGCAACACGATCCCTGACTCTGACACCATCATCCCGGATGATGCTCATACTATTCTTCAGCAACCTTTCACCTCTGCCGACTTATTGACTGGTACTCATCGTACCAAGTTCCAATCCAGTCCTGGCATCGACGGTTTACCTCACCCCATTCTCAACGTGATTTTCAACCACCCCAAGGCTGCCAAACTCTCTGTTCAGGTATTTAATGATGCTCTCAACTTGGGTATCTTTCCCTCCAACTGGTTGCAAACCTGCATCTGTTTACTACCCAAATCCGGCGACCTATCCAACCTCAAGAATTGGCGACCTCTATCATTGATATGTTGCGATGCCAAAATATTTACCCGACTTCTCAACCAACGTCTTATGCCTTTTATGAACAAAATCATATGTCCTCAACAATCAGGATTCATGCCTGGTCGCTTCATCGGTGACAATGGTATGATCCTCCACAACACTCGCCTCATTGCCGCTGAAACATCCTCTGACAGTATTGCACTTCTCTTGGATCAAGAGAAGGCTTACGATCGCATTCATCCTGATTATCTTCGTGCTGTGATGCAACGTTTTAACATGCCTACTAATATTATTCATTCCTTACTAACTCTCTTTTTTTCGACACAAATTCACATCAACATCAATGGACATATCTCGACTGATTATATCACCCAACAACGTCGTATTTGACAAGGAGATCCCATCTCGCCACTACTGTTTAATATCGCATTTGATCCATTCCTTCGATCAATTCACCAAGACCCTCAATACAAGGGTTTCAACCTACACACTGAAGCTCCTCCCCCTTCTAATGATACCCAATCTGATGTTATTTCAGATTCTATGCAACAACTGTTTTCTGATGCTGCTGACCCACCCATTGTTCGCGATGGTTCTACTTCTTCAGCTTCTTCTACAACTGCGCCTCTGGCGGTCAAAATCTTTGCCTATGCGGATGATACTTTGGTGTATCTTCGCGACACGCACGATTTCCATCGTTTGCAGGCTGCCATCACTACTTACATGAAAGCTTCTAACGCATTATTGAATTATCACAAAACAGTAGCTACATCTCTTTCAGGTAAACCATCAACAACTTGGCAAGCCCTGCTCTCATCTTATGGCATCACCGCTTGGCATGATCGCACATCCACCACTCCACTCATTTATCTCGGTTATCCAATTTGTTCCAGCATTACTCAACGCAATGTTGCCTTTCAAAAACTGTATGACTCCATCCGTAACGCTATTGCTATCCACTCCCAACGCAATATCTCTATCCGTGGCCGGGTCACCATTCTCAATTCACTCATTTATTCCAAATTATGGCATGTTTTACGACTCACAACATTTACCAAGGCCCAGTTGCTCTCTTTACGAAGCCTGGGCACCGCCTTCATTAATTTTTGTATATTCCCTAGACTCTCTTTTGCTACTCTCTCTTTACCTCGCTCTGCCGGTGGTTTGGGGCTCCTAGATCCTCTCTCTCAACAACAAGCTCTGCAATGGTACTGGGTGTGCCCTCTATTGCTTCAATATCTTGACTCTCCGGCCTTCTCCAAGTACAACACTCCTTCACTTCCTGTCTTAACTTATACTCTTTCTTGGTGCTACTCCTCCACCGTCTTCTCTCATTTCTTTTACTACCTCTTGTTTCAGCATGCTCGCCATCGGTTGTGGTTTCCTCAAAGTCCATCCCGTCGCAATACTTATCTCAATCCAATCACTAACCTTCAGTCCTGCTTGTCCATCTTTCAGATGTCGGAACGTCGTAACTTATATTATGTTGATGCTATTACTTGCTACTCACTCCCTCTTTATGAAATACTTTTACATTCTCCTCCTACTATTAACAATTTATATTCTTCTAGCTTTATACCACCGAATCTTCTTTTAGATGGCTCTGACGTTGCCAGAAAGCTTCTTGTAAGCGAGGTTTTCCAGTTAGATATTGATCATCAGGTGCTTCGTGTTCGTCCTTCCTTCCAATTCGCTCGCCATCCTATTGTATCCCAACGTGATGCTGATTTCATTCAGTCGCATCAACTACTATTCCAACCTTTCTTTGCACAACAGTGCTTCATTGCTCCTCGTCCAACCCTCAACCCACATCAACCTCCCTCCCTTCAAGCGTTCTGCCATAGCATTATCGTTCCTCCTTCTTCCTTGCCTTCGCGAGGCCGGTTGCCGCTCAACAGCATCCGTTACTTCAAAAAACTACGTCAAAACCTCTCCTCTAACTCCTCCTCACTCTCTCCTCTCCGGCCGGCTCAATGGCTCTCCTTCTGGAGTATCTCAATTCCCCTGGCTGCTCGCACGGTCTGGTACCGAGCTATTTACGAGAAAATCCCTTCAAGAGCTCTGCTACATTTACGCATCCCCGAAAAACACCCTTCTCCCCTATGTACCATCTACTCTGCCTCTACCACGGAGAATATCACCCATACTCTGTTCTCCTGCCCTCCCAAGTTATTGGTCTGACGACACATGTACCTCACCTATCTCTCTGCTTCTTCCTCAATCTCTGATGTTGATCTGATTCATTTCTTCCAACAAATATTACTCTGTTCCTCTCCCTATCTTGATCGTGATCTCTCTCTCTCGTTCAATGATCTCTCTATTCCTCAACTTTTCGCAACTATTCTGCTGACAATATGGCAAGCGCATTGGCGCTGGATCTTCGACCGAACCCCGTTCATCGCTGACACTGTTCAACATCGTCTTGCTCGCTCTCTTGCTCGCTTGGATGACGAGTTAAAGCTAGATTCGTAAGTATTCAGTTTTTCCTCTTTTATCCATTTGCTCTTTTCTATCTGTTATTTTTATTTTTTTTCTTTCGTTCCTCCGATCCTCTTGTAATCATACCCAGTCTTTCCTATCACTCATAGCGACATTTGAAGGACTTAAAATAAAAAATGGAGCTCGGCTCCCCTACAAAAAAATGCTTCCTTAAGCTTTTTTGGAGTGCTTTTTAAGGCGCATCCAATAATGGTACCAAGTAATATAAATGTTTTGAATAAACTTACTGAACAATTTACGAAAATATGAAAAGAGGTTTTTGGCCAAAAAGTCGAAATTTTACATATCAAAGTCCCACAAAGATGATTTTAGGGGTTGTGTTAGATCGAGAGAATTATTTTGATTTAAGATATACCATAGTAAAAGTCCGTTATCAAGGTAGAAAATGCGATTGTTTGATTTTTGATGAAAACCATGAGGTATCCTTCATGCTTTTTGGTCGATTTTTGGCCATGTTTTTTGGGTCCTCAAAAAGTTGAGCAACGGTGGCAATAAGTAACTACTGGTTGAGAGCAATTGTCCAGTGCTAATCTGACCATCTAAAAAGGCCTTGAACGCGAGAAAACACAGTTCAAATGCACTCAGATTTTGCGGTATCAGGGGCACTAAGGACTAAAAAGGGGAAATACCAGTATGATTCTTATCCTTATATGAAGTAACTACTGTGCTGTATGAGGTATGATATGATGGATCATTGTGTTGTGAAATGCATCAGTAGGTATCATGAATTTCTGTTCAGTCCATTTTGATACGTGATTTCATTGCTTGTCCCCATCCATTGTGCTAAAACCGACTTATTAATGTGTTCAATAACTGTCATTTCTTTTTAAATATGAATGTGGTTTAACATTGTGCATGAACTTTAAGTCTAGTTTCACGGATAGATATGGCATCTCTGTTGTGGACAACCATCAAAGGTGACCTATTAGCCTGATAAACATCTCGCTCAATCTGAGCAAGTTGTTAGACTTAAACTTGCACATTATCACTGATGTTCAAGTTATAAAACTACTGTAATCGCACATTTCAAAAAGAAAGATTTGAGCCTTAGAATAAGAATAAAAGCATCTATCATTTAGAAACTAAGTTCCATACAATGCTGAACATCTGGTCCATCAAATAGAACTGTAACAGCTTACTTCTTTAGCAACAAAACCCAGTACGCCTTATTTTTAGGCCAGATTCTGTCCAAATCTAGCCATATTGAAACACGAATAACTCATGCTACAAAGCGTTGTAGACGCTTAGAATAGGGTCAAATGGCTCTCCTTTGATACGCTTTACTTACTGATGCTTTATTTCATATTTTTTTGGATCAATGCAAATCCATGAAAATTCTCATGTTTTCATGAGTACTAGTAAAGGAAAATTTTTGAAAATCAAACAATCGCGTTTTTTACCCCAAAAATGAAGACTTTTCCCATGCCACATATTAGATCAAATTGATCGTAAAGATGGAATGCAACATTGGAAACCCTTTATCTGAGACTTCTGTATGCTAAATCGACATATTCACAGAAAACCTGTTTTCATATCTTTGAGAATTACTCGAAATTTTCAGTCTAAAAGCTGTATATAATTAGCATCAGTCAATGCGGCTTCTTTAGTTCTCTAAAGATGTGTTAGAAAGTTGGGTGTAACAATAACAGTTTTCATAGTCAAATTTAACAAAAACGTTTAAAAGATGTTAGATCAGGTCAAGTTTGAACATGAAAATACTCACTACACAAATTCAAATTAAATTGCCGCAATTATAGCTGCCATGGCAAAAGACCGAGACTAAATCTACTGGCCGTGACGTCGGATAGGGCGTCCTCTCATTGTTCCATACCCCCGCTTTTTTCCCTTTTTGCAAAACGCGTTTAGTATCAAACCATGATGGCTTTAGAAACCGTTTGATTGATAATAACACTCTAGCTTCCGATTACTCTGTCTTGTACTGTTGGAAGAACTTGATACTGCTTCTTTCAAGTGGAAAATATTAGGTACCATTCGATAACGAGCACTGGAAGGCATAGAATTAACACTAATTCAGTTTGTTTATTAGGTTTTAATAATTTCTTGCTTGTTTGAGTGAGTGCTGCTGCCATTCCTTCTCTGTCTTCTCTGCTGCCTGCTTCTTTGGTTTATCATGTCTGGTGATTGCTTCTTTGGCTTTTGTCTGGTCTCTGCTGGTGGCGTTCGTTTCTCGGTTAGTCTATGGTTCTGGTGTTCCTGCTGCTGCTGCTAATAATATGGTCTTTCCTGGACTACTGTACTTGGTGCATGCTCGTTCTGTGGTTGTCTGTCTCCGGTAATTGCGCATTATTCTCTGGTCTATGGTATTGTTCGTTCTTCGGTTTTTCTATGGTGCTGGTGCTGTTGTTACTGCTGTTGTTACTGCTGCTAATCTGGTCTTTGCTGGTCTACTGTATTTGCTACATGCTCGTTCTCTGGTTCTTATCCGGTGATTGTGTAATATCTGGTCTATCTGTGGTGATGATACGTGGTAAGTAACTTCTTTGGTCTTTGTCTGCTCTCTGCTGATGGCGCTCGTTTTTTAGTTTTTCTATGGTGTTGGTGTTGCTGCTGCTGCTGCTGCTGCTGCTAATATGGTCTTTCCCGGTCTATTGTATTTATTGCATGCTTGTTCTCTGGTCTATTCTCGGTGATTGCCTATACTCCTCTGGTCTATCTGTGGCTGTGGGAATTGGTAAGTATCTTCTTCCTTCTGGTCGCAATGATATAAAACTTCTTTGAACGTTTATATTATTGCTTCCTTTCTCGTAATAATGCATTCATGATGTTTGCCTTATTGCGCTTTTTTTTCTTTTTCTTTTCTTGGTAGTAGTGTTTCCTCTGCAGCTTTACATGAAACAACATTAGTCATTATGTTGTATTGCAAACTTATAATACCACTGTTGCCTTTGCAGTTGTGCGTATTTGTTTCATGTTGCTTTACATCCGACTATTACTACCATGCGCGTTGCTCATGTATGCATCTTTCTTGCAACAGCAACGAACTTTTTTGAACATCTTTGATGTTATTATGTTTGTTATGCTTTTCTTAGACTCGCTTCGTGTGAGTCTTCCTTTTTTGCCTACAAACTACTATACTCCTATAGTAGTATGTTCTTTTCTTTCTTTTATTCTTATTATGTTTCTTTGAAGCATACCTTTTTTACGTTGTGTGGATGTGCCTATCCCTGAAGCTCAACAAGATATTATCCGAGGCTATGAGGTGGATAGGCTGCCTCCACTTGGTTATCGCTACTTACTTTAGTGATGATTGAGGGTCTCAATGCCTGAATTTAAAGCTAGGTGGTGTAAGTAAGGCATGCTCTAGCACCTGAGGGAAATTTGATGATAGCAGCGGCTATATTGCTATATATAGCGGAGCTTAAAATTTTGCCTCACATCAAAACAGGGGGAAACCCTCGCAAAATTTTTTTTAGGTCAGCGGAGTTTTCAAGTAATTTGATTGGCTCAGAGGTTAAAACAGCGAAGGGTTACAATTATTTAATCTCCTATTGATCTGCCAATAAATTTGATTTTGCGTTTGTAATAAAAGCTTAGCCAAGTAAATACAATTTAAAAAAGCTTTCTTTATAAAAAAGTATGATAAGGTGCAAGCATTTAATCTAGCATCTATTGCACAATAGTTTAATGTGGTGAATGTAAAGTTATGTAGATATTACAGTACTTTAACACAGTGGTGTTGTTTGCTTAGAATAACGAAATGTAGACAGAGGATACTCGCTTTCTTTATCCTTTTTCCAGTGATTCTGGTTTCAATAGCTCCTTGATGTAATAGTATAAAAAGTCAACCGAATTTTCTAATCCATTATTTTACCTGTCCTCTTTTTTTTATTCACCATATACTCTTTGATAATTGCAATGAATCTACTCGCCTCGTCTAGCATTGCCAGTAGCACCATCATCAGTAAACTTCAAGCGAGACGTTTTAGACTCGATAGAATTCTGGCTGATTTGGAAGCTGAAGATTCGTTCAAGCCTGAAAATGTAGCAGATCACTCGATCAGATTATTCATTGACGAAAGGCAAAGATCAATAAGCGCAAGATTGTATGACAGATACGTGAAAGTCGTTGAAAATGTCACCAAGTTGTTCATAAGTAGCACTTTGTTCCGTAACTTTGCCAGAAAAGCGGTTCCAAGTATTACCCAGAACAACTTCAAGGAAAGATTTTTGACTCGATGCAATGCGTTGACAACTGGTTAAAGAAACCGGTCAGCAAGTGTAATGCTTGAAGGTAAAAGTAATTAATACTTTGTAACACAATTCATTATATTGATTGACTATGAACAAAAATAGAAGAAGAGGTAGAGGATCAGGTAGAAGAACAAGAGATTGCACCTGACGAAGCTTCTGCTCAGCTTTTGGGGAGCCAAATGTCAGTCGATGAAGCAATCGCTGTGAGCGCAAGTCAAGTCAACCCAACGGCTTTGACTTACAGTCAAGTGACGATTCTCATGTTTGAGAGTGCTCAAGACTATTTTACGGTGTATCAAGCTTCGAAAGTTGCGCTGAAGAGCCAGCAAAGAAAGCTGATGAGCTGTGGTGCTTCACTTATTCTGGATCTTGTCGATATGACTGATGGCAATTAATGCAAGGGCCTATTTTTGGCTGATCAGTGGACACCAAATTTACAAATGAATTCAAGATCCAAGATGATATTACCTGGCCAGAGACGTTGCAATCCCATTGGAAAGAGGCAATCTCGAAAGTTTCACATGTTGAAATGTTTGCGGCATCCAAACGATACATCAACAATCTTTTGAAGGATCCTTTACCCATGCCAACTGCTGATGCTTTTGAGCTGATGCTAACGGTATTTAATACAAGCCAGTATGTGCAAAGTTCTAGAATAACGGAAAATGCAAGCGAGTATGACATTCTATATCAGCTCTGGTTACCCGTGTTGATAAATCTGTTCTCTGGCCCTTTGATTAAGTTCTAAATTGGAGAAACTATCAATTCCATTACCACTGAACACAAGATGCTCCTCTACCCGGATGAATTGAATATTGTTGGGTTCAAGACTGACGTCCGATTCATTGCACAAGTCGGTGCATCCTTTGATTTGGCATCTGGGGAAGCTTGCTTAATTCAACCAGGCAAAAGCAAGGCCATCGATGATCAATTGATGAGGGAGGGAAAACGCAACGCAATGGCATTGTATGAGGTCACTTCCACCAAAATCACACATGCTTGGATGTTTCAATTCATTGGGTTGCAAGCCGTCTTCTCAACTGTGACATATTTCGATTATGACCTCCATGTGGCCACTCTCCAGGAAAAAATACATTTTCCAGATTCTGTCACTTCCTTCACGAACACGCGAAATACAACCAAATTCATCGGCACTCTCCTCAAGTTTCAATTCGACCTTAACAGAACAGCCAGATTAATCCAAGACACAATCGATCAAGCAGATCGCAGCCTGCTACTTCGAGAAAACATCTTTGAGCCGATGGAACATGAAGCCCCAAGCACCCAAGCTCCTCCTTCCGCCCTGTCTTTTTACACCCCACCAAAAAAAAAAGATCTGACCCGTGCAAAATACCCGCAAGCAAATCAAGAAGCCTTATTATCTGGTGCTGAAGCCCTGATCCAAGTTGCACAAGAAGCTACAGCCACTCGAGATTAATGATATTACATTTCGTTCTTCTTCTTTCCTCGCTTGTTCTATTTCTTTTTCCAATAAACCATAATCATCGCTCGATTTATTCGTCTTTCACCTTTCACTTCTTTGTATTTCATCGATATAACAAAATGTCCATAAGCAATAATACAGTTAATCATAGATTTGAAAGCTTTCCTGCATTCCACTGGTACAAAATAATCTGTCAAATGGTGGTTCTATTTTGTAAGGAAAATAGAATTGTTTGTACTTTGATAATTATTAATTGAGCCACATTTCTTAATATTCTAATGTGCATGATAGCTCTCTCTTATACCCTATTCTTCTACGTCTTCTACTAATAGTATACAGTCAAGCCTCTAAGTTTATTTTCATTGCATTAAGAGAATATTAGACCTTGCACAGCCTGCGAACGCTTACAGTTTAGATGTTGAAGCATAAAGAATGCATGTTTACATGCAAACAACATCTACACAAAGGCGTGCTCTGCGGAACATCAACCATATTAAGAAAAACAGATGTACTCCATGTACAAATACACAAACCCTACCTATTGTATATCAGAGTGTCATTTTTCGGCTTTTTGCTACTAGCAAGGATCCTTTATAAACAGCTTACAGCTGTGAATTTGATTTTTCCACAGTGACACACGTCTGTATCAATGTGAACTACTCAAACATACGCATACAACACAGCAGCATTACCTCTCACAACCCAAATATATGCAGAATAAAGCAAAATTTGGGTGCATTTGAGCCGTGTTTTCTCGTGTTAAAAGCCGTTTTTGGCCGTCAGAGTATCACCAAACGACTGCTCTCATCTAGCGCTAGTTTTTTGAGACCTTTGCTCAACTTTTTTCAAGACCATCAAAAATCGACTAAAAAGCAATGAAGGGTACCTCATGATTTTCATCAAAAATCAAACGATCGCATTTTCTACCTTGATAACGAAGACTTTTACTATGGTATATCTTAAATCAAAATAATTCTCTCGATCTAACACAACCCCTAAAATCATCTTTGTGGGACTTTGATATGTAAAATTTCGACTTTTTGACCAGAAACCTCTTTTCATATTTTTATGAATTGCTCAATAGATTTATTTAAAACATTTACTTTACTTGGCACCATTGGATGCGTCTTGAAAAGCACTCCAAGAAGGCTTAAAGAAGCATAGGATGATCATCGCAAATCGCATAGTCGAATCTGGCAGAATAGATAAATCAAGTCGATTTTGATCAAAATTTTACCAATCTTGAGCAGAGATTCATCTGGGCCGGAATTGCTTTCTGCACGCAGCTAGCTGCTTGCTAGCAAAATCGATGTCGTTTGTATCATCAAGGCGATAGATGCTACCAAAATTATTAGAAAGACGAAAGCGCATTTCCGTGCCCAATAGGTGTACAACAGTCAACCATATATGAAAAGATAACATTATTGCCCTCTTTAGAATAGCATACAATGCTTGGATCGCTGAACATTGGTTGATATATACTAAAATCAGATCTTTTGACCTTAATCGAATAACCTCTACAGCGTTTATAAAGCTGTGTATGGCAAAAGGCAATAAAATACAATAGTTTCGTTTGTCTTATATCTTTTTGTTAAAGTGGGATGACTTTCATGCGCTAAATGATACGGTGTATTGCTCTGAATATTTGCACATGAACTGATCAAGCTACGCTTGCCCAGCCATTGCTTAGCTCCCCGCCTTTGGTTTGAATTTCAACATTCTCAGTCTTAAAATAGCATCAATAGTATGACAAATGCTATAAAACATGGAAGTCAAGTGTAATATGATTTCATAATCACTTCCTGATCCTTGGCTTAGACTATTGCGCTTCGCATCTATGTGGGAAAAAAAGAACCGAATTCATCTCTTAATGATTACACTGCAAAAGAAAATTCCTGTCGTATAGCACAAGATCCCAACAACTACCAAATGTTGAAATTAATTCGACCCGATACTTTCCTCGAGAGAAAAATACCACAGGTAAACAAACCAACGACTTCCTCGGAAGAAGGAGCTGGCCATGCTTGCTAGATGCCTGAAACACTGTATCTTATTGAGCTCCCGTATGTGCAACCAAGCAAAAGTATGCAATTTATTTGTAAAGTGGTTTTTGATTTGGTATCACACAAATGCGAATAATAAAAATACATCATTTTCGAGTTGGCATGGGTCATGACAGAGGGCTTGTAGCTATCAAATCAAGGGTGCTTTGGATGATTCTGCCGTCAATTGACGGTTTTGGCGCTTTCCACGTCTGTAAAATTGAAATTTTGATGAGATTACACCGTGATCATTCTTAATTTTATGGAGTAACGTAATATAGCTCCCATCTTTGGATGCTTTGCCAAAGAACAATACCGATTCAAAAGGTGCCAGCTGTTTTAGACCATCGATAGTGAATCATCCACTGAAGCCTTCTGTAAAAGTGTTGATTTACTTTGAAATATGCCAGTGCCAGCAATGAGTATTCTGTAGTGGGTCAAAGCGCTTCAGTTTGTTGGTATCCACAATGATTACCCGTCCATTAGTCTAAGCATACAAACATAACCATGTAAGTTTCATCTTGACATTGCATGCAATGTTTATTTAGGAATGACTTACATCCAGTTCACAGTTGTCGTTCTTTTCAGGCAGTATGAGACCAAGAGAGAGATTTTTCCAAAGTATATAGTAATGTTTTTTGCTTCTGTTGATTTTAACTAGAAGTAGAAACAAAAGGTGAGTTATGGGTAAGAAGCGTCTGACGAGCGATATTTACCTTGATGCTGCATAATAAATAATTTTATTATACATAGTACCTCTTAAAGAAGGCGTTTGATCATCTTGATCCTGGTTTGATGCATTTTCGAATAATCAGCTACTACTTGCGAACTATTCTTCTCGATTCTGTATCGTTCCCTGGTTGATTTTTTGTGTTTCTGTGATGCTGCTGGATTGAACGTACAAGATAGAGCCCATTCCAGTGCCTTTTTCTCCCATGTATTCGATTTGGAGCAGTATAGGCCACCTTTCAAACATGTATATGATCTTGACGGCAGATACCAGCATTTGTGTGCGCATAATCCTCACTTTTTTTTTCCCTATACTACCCAGTACAGGCTGTTGATTTGCATTGACATTGAGATGTTTATCCTGAATGTTGCTACGCATTCTGAAGGTTTTGCTAGCGATTAGTGAGTCGAGGATAACCAAATGGTGTACCTGGAATAAGCAAATGGCCAGTTTCAGAGAAAGAGTTTAGTTCAAGAGCCAGTATATATATACAAGCAGGCATGAGCTAGCCACAATGAGAGAGTTTTTGTACATAATGCACCGTAGGTTTTGGAGGTCAGTTTACATTTCACACAGTCTTGACAAGGTACTGATATTGGAACACTTGAAGATGGCAGGAGGCAGAATATTAAAACTTGACAGCAGGCAGCGACTTCTCTTTCATTTCCTTGTGTTTGTTCTGAGATGTATCTTTGTTGGCTTTATAATAATACACTGCTGTGTATTCTGGAGAGTCATTGAGGGCGGATTCCAATGTTGTCACTTCTTCAAAGGTGTCGAATCGACTCAGAATCTTTTGCAGACAATCTACCAACTTCTTTTGCACATTGTTGCCGTATGGGGACTTGTTCAATGCTTCGTTTTATAAAAATTCAAGTGTGTCGTCGTTGCTAATGCTTGTAAAATAGTTCCATAACGTCTTCATCAGGCCCAAGTTGCCTATTTCGAAGCTGTCGATGATAATGCTAGAGTCACAGAAGTGCTGAGAGAGTCGTATCAATACTTTTTCAGAGGCTGAAACATATTTTAAAGGCGCCAGATATCGTGCTTGAACTTGAGAATGTCTTTCAGACTACTGCCAGTGCTATCTTTTTTTTTTTTTTTTTTTTTGTGAGCTTTGCTTTTGATAACGTGCTGAGCGAGCTGTATGCTGTATTCGCAAATGAATTGAAGATTGATTCCCTTTTTATACTTTGGCTGTGACAATTGATGATTGTGCATCATGGCTTGCAATAAATGGCTATTTAATATACATGGTTGTCGATGCTGTATTAAAAGTTGATAGAAGAGGGTCAGTCAGCTGCTTTGCTATTGCCGTTGTTGTTATATATCATCTCACGTTGACTTACTTATCTGTGTCTGTTGTAATGCTATTACCGTTATCTACAGCGATGGTACCTTGACTGGATCGCGTTTCTAGTTAATCTGCTGGTATTTGTTACGATGGCCCAGGCACAGTGATAATTGTCGTTCCCTTTGTTAAGCAGCTGTAAGATAGGTTTGACTTTGTGCATTACATTTTCTCTCTTACCAGAATGGATACATCTTGAGCAGCTTTTTGATCAACAAGTTTGCTGTTGTTGTTGCTGTTGTTGCTGCTGTTGTTGCTGTTGCTGTTGTTGCTGTTGTTGCTGTTGTTGTTGTTGTTGTTGTTGTTGTTGTTGTTGTTGTCACTTGCGGAAAAGAAGAAAAGGGAAAGACAGTAGAAAGAGAATGATGAACCTTGAGATTGGCAAACATTAGATGTAATCAAGGTAATCAACATACTTGTGGTTTGCCGCTCTACAAGGCTCATCGTCGGCCTCAAACAGGTACGTAACCACGTCTTTGTGGAAACGTACCTGCCGAGAACCCCTCTCGTTGCCAGCAGACTCTTCCTCCACAGGAACTGTATCACCGAAAGAGTTGCTTCCATCCCCCACTAAAGGTAATTCGGATAAAGAAGAAGAAGGTAATGGCGGATTGGAAGAGGAGGGAGGTGCAACTGGAGGAGTAAGATGAGAGGAGATAGATGGCTCCCCTTGAAGGACAAGAGTAGTATCCTGTCTCTTCAAAGGTCGCTCATCCAACTCATCATCTGCCGACTTTCTCTTTCTACTGCTGCGGATGCTAGTGGTAGAGGTAGGAGCAGAGAACTAGGCATGAATGCTTATATGTCAGTACGAAATATTGCTTTGCGGTAGTTGTCTTGTGTCATGGTACTTACACTGTATTCGTAGCCAGAGCGTAATAACATTTTAGCAATAATTATTTAAACGAGAGCAAAAGGTAAAGAAATAAAATCTACTGCATGAATTCACTTTTATACCTGCATTTGCCTTTAAAGAATAGTGGTCTAGGTTCTTTTTTCATAGCAATACGCGTCAATAAAGCATGGCAGAATGAGATGCTACTTTTCCTCGTGTATTCTACAGTTAATTTGAGACATCACCAAAAGTGAAGCAACTCTCAATTATCATTTTCCATAGAGATAGAGGCAAACGTAGTGCTTAGTATCCTTCCCTTCAATTTTGCAACAACACTTTTCATAACAAAAAGTTTTACATTTTCCTATACCTGTGTAACAAAAGTCATCATACGATCACGGAGGGATTCAGCCTTACTAAACTTGCCATGGCGCTGGGCGTCATCAACTCGACTTGGCCAAAGATGTGTACAAACAACTGTTTCATAGACACGCATAAATGTGTACGTACCAGCATTGCAAATTGCATGCATATCAGAAGTACCTTTGCAACTAGGGTGGAATCTACAGACAGTTCTTATGGATACTGTGTAGTGTCTGTTGAATAGCACTGAGCAAGTCCACACATAGCATCTGACGCAATCAATCTCTATAGAACTGGACACCTTGGGCAGGATCATTATATCCCTGAATAGATGAACTTGCCGTAGAAATTTGGCAAGAGGTCAATGTCTGCATCTAGAGATATGTTATCATACTGGACCAGAAGGAGAAGATAGACAAGCAGATAGTAGGCAAGGCGTACATGAAGATTAAACCCCTGAAAGAAAAGCTTACTGACATGAGCGACAGTAGACAAAATAATTATCCTAGCATCTTCGATGAAAGAGCATTCACTGACATTACACACCGCTTTAATAGTGTAATGCAATAACCTTTTTCACTTCAGAAGTCTGACTCATTTAGGATGCAACGTATATATACAACTTCTTGGTAGATGAATCATCTGTCAAAGGATATAATCGAATCAAAACATATGTAATTTCAGTCATCGCATGCTTGTATATATCCAATATAGTTGTAAACACTCGCACTCAATACCTTTATTATGTCTGAAGAATCTAGTATTGAACAATATTGCATTATGCTGTGTTCTAAGCTCTTAATCTACAGTATATTCAAGAACTAGTAGCCTTAGAAGGCAAGATAAAAAAAAAATATTGTGCAGCAAAAGACTGTAAGCATCATCAAATATTCTTTTATTGTAGCCTTCTTACTTCTTCAATGATGCATAGGAAGCTTTCATAACTGTGAATTTAGCACTTCTCGAGTGCTTACGTCTTCCCCAGCAAAAGCAACCTTTATACAGGTAAGCAGCACACTTGCATGACCTCTTACTACTCAAAAATACGCAAAACACAGCGAGATTCAATTTATTTGAGCATTGATTTATTGCGTTTAAAACCGCTGCAGGCAAATGAAATAGTACCAAACAACTGCTCCCATCTTGCACTCACTTTCTGCCACGTTTGCTCGATTCTTTTTTGGGGCCAAAGAAAAAATATTGCTAAAAAAAAACTATGAAGGGTACCTCATGAAAATCATTAAAAACAAAGCGACCGCCTTTTTTTATCCCAAAAATGAAGACTTTCACTATGGAATACGAGTGTTTATGCTTCGGGTGGCTCTCTACATTCACTTCGCTTCGGTGAGAGCCAAACTGCACAGCGGCAGCTCGTGCTACCGATTGCCGTTACGTATCTTATCAAAATACTGCTACTTTCATTTTGACCCTCCACTTACACATGGAAGCCCTTCATATAATCTATGGATCTGATTCTTATGTGATACTCTACACCCATATACATGTAGTTATTTCATATACGGGCAAGTATCATACAGATATTATTCTTTTTTTTTTAGTCAAGAGTGTGCCTAATACAGCAAAATATGAGTGCATTTGAGCTGCGTTTTCTCGTTTTAGATGGTCAGAATAGCACCAAACAATTGCTCTTATCTGGCAGTTACTTGCTGACACTATTGCTCAACTTTTTGGGGACCAAAAAAAACATGGCCAAAAATTGACCAAAAAGCATGAAGTACCCCTCATGATTTTCATTGAAAATCGGTCGGGGAGCGAGGTAGAAGCAGCCGTTTGACATAAATGAGGTGCAAAGCGAGATGCTGATTCTTAATGTCGACCAGGCCGAGACCACCATGTTTGCGCGGAAGGCAGAGAGAATCCCATGCCACAACCGGCCAAAATGAGACAATATATTGACGCACAATGCGCTGGATCTCCTCCAGCCACTTACTGGGTACCACAACCACACGAAGAATATGCCACAGACGAGACAGAAGAAGGGAGTTTGCCACCAAACCTTTGTCACGTATGGAGAGCTGTCGCTTCGTGAGCGAATTGTATTGACGCTGCACCTTCACTGTGATAGTATCCAGGAAATGAGCCAACTGTACATCGGTATGGTACAGAGGGTAGCCGAGATATCTCACAGAGCCAGTTGAAGATTCATCGTGCCATACAACGTTAGATGGGTCCGCCAAGTGTTTCCAATCGTCATGAGGCTTGCCAGTCAGCGACACCAGCACGGTTTTCTCCAAATTGACCTTGGCATTGGACGCTTTGCCATAGAGTGACAAGAGCGACAAAAGCACAGGCCATTCAGCCGGAGACGTCAGAAAGACTTCCAAATCATCAGCATAACTAAGCATTTTGACTCGTGGAGGGCTCGTTGGAGCTCTCAGAAGGACATGATCAGTCTGTGGCTCAATTGGAGCGGAAGCAACCGAAATTTGACGTGCCAAAGTCGAGCGTTTGTCCGTAGACATAGCCACACCACGTAAGTCTGCACAAGCCAAGATGGTTCTGAGGAAAGGCTCAAATGCGAGATTGAACAGTAGGGGCGAGAGCGGATCGCCCTGCCGTAGACCACGTCGTTGTTCAATAGGAGCACCCAGCCATCCATTAATGGATAAAGAGATGCGAGTGTCAAAGAACAGGCCCGAGATACTGTCCACCAAGGATGCAGGAAAACCAAACTGATGAAGCACCATCGTCAGATACGTAGGGTTTACACGATCATAAGCTTTCTCCTGATCCAAAAGCACAGCAACATTGGGATCATTGGGAGCAGCGGCACGGAGGTTGTTCATCAACGTCTGGTTGAGCCAGGCGTTGTCCGAGATCAAACGGTGAGGCATAAAGCCAGTTTGATACGGGGTGATCAGCTGAGAGAGAACACGCTTAAATCTGTTGGCGAGCAATTTGGTGAACAACTTGGCATCGCTATTGATCAATGACAGAGGGCGCCAGTTCTTGAGCAGCTCGGGATCTCCCTTCTTGAAAAGAAGCACCATCCTCGCCTGTTTCCAGGAGTCTGGGAAGATTCCACGCAGTGCGTCAGTCAATACTTGTTGTAGAAGAAGCAGAACAGGAGGGAATTTGTCACACAAATATCGATAGATCTCGAACGGAAGGCCATCTAAACCAGGAGACCTGTTCTTGGGTGTATGGTCAAGCAACCCTAAGACACTGTCTGTAGAGGGTGGTTCGATGAGCCTATCCGCCTCGGCATCTTGTAGCTTGGCAGGAAAGCATGGCGACTGGCTGCCTGTGCTGGCATGTACACATTAGCCACTTGGCAGATGACTTGGTGAGCGTCCTTGACAGAGGCAGTGATACAGCATTCGTCACGAGAGATGACAGTGTCCGTGAGCTCTAGGCCGGGTTTTGGGCAGATGATGGCACAGTGTTTGGAGATGACAAAAGCAGACCGAGGAAACATATAGGAAAAAGTACACACATTATCATCAGTGAGATGCTCTTGTTGACGATAATGCGAAACCTCCTGCAGACATAGAATATCAAGCTGAAGGTTTTTAGAGCGTAAGAAGAAAGTAAAATTCCCTCTGTGTTGATTTAGAGGAACCCTTAAAGATGCTCCGGGCATTAAGGGTACCTATACGCAATGATTTTTGTATCATTAAGCCCTATGGGCGGCATGATACACTGGAGTCTGCGACATGGACGTCGAGCTCATAGAATGACGGCGGAGAGGGAGCACATCAGACTGGAAACCATTGAGAGAGAAAACGCTGGCGACACTTGCCTGAGAATTCACATGCATGTACAAAGACGAAGCTAGTGGAGCATGCTTGGAAGCATCGCTACCATGAGGAGTGCGTTGCAGGGTCTTGGGATCGACTTCCATTGCGGACGACTCGGCATTACTGATCTGGCTGCCATGAGAAGTGGCTGACTGGCTGGCTGTAGTTTGGCGTTGCAGTTGTTGCGCTACATGATCATGGATGGTGTGGGTGGCTCCACAGCGCTTCTCGCGTACTCCATCATTGGCCTTCTTACTCGACTCGTACTCCTCGAGGGCATCCTCAAACGTGGTTTCCTCCTCGCGACAGAACCTGGCGGTGTGACCCAGCTTACGACACTTGAAGCATTGGCGTTTGGCCAGGACAGGGCAGGCATCACGGATGTGGCCACTCTGGCGGCAGAAATGGCACACGGGTGGTGCACCGCGGTAGGTGGCAGGCACATAGACGTCCCAAGCTGACAGATACATCATTCTGCTTAATGGTTGAATGTCATATTCCTTGCCCTCTGCATTCCTGTAGTTGACAGCAGTGTCGATCAAAAAGCTGATATGACCCTCAAAGAAACCATCGATGGTGTATTTCTTGATCTGGTACACTTTACCATAGAACTTGAGGGACTTCTGCAGATCCTCCACGAAAGTCTCCATATCTGTCATGCGGACAATTGTCATTTGAACATGAGTGAGTCTCCCTTCATTGTTGTCCTTGGCGGCAGTAGCCTTGAATACAATGTTCTGATAAGTGATGCCCTGCCTGATGGCTAGCTTGGCATCCTCGAGGCGATCAAACTTTGCTTCCAATAAGAGATCTCCATTTGCCTTCTGGTGGTACAGACTCAAAGGGCGAAATTGGACTAGGGGGGATATTTGCTCCTTGATAAGGCGATAGGCTGCAGTACGATGATCAAATGTTTTGTTTGGGAACGCAAACAAAAACAGATCCAGGTGTCAAGGCCTGTTGGAGGATGACGGCCGCCTTGCGAGTAAGAACCTCGGCTTTCAAATCGTCATGTTCGTAGAGAACTTCAGGGACCAGTTTGAATTTGTCATCTTTGGCTCGTTGTGGTTGAGCATTGATGACCTTCTTGGAGTGGCCTCGAGAGAGAATCTGGAACCAAGAAAGGTCTGCGGTGGTAGCCATGAGTGGTGGTAGTGGAACGGTAGTGGTAGGAATGTGTTTGATGTGATTTAAGCAGTGGCGTAATTTTCACCTTAGGGGTAGTGATGGTTACGCGAAAGAGCCCTGTATTACATCAAAATGTTTCTATCGATCTTTGTGGGACTTTGATATGTAAAATTTCGACTTTTTGACCAGAAACCTCTTTTCATATTTTTATGAATTGCTCAATAGATTTATTTAAAACATTTACTTTACTTGGCACCATTAGATGCTCCTTGAAAAGCATCCCAAGAAAGCTTAGAGAAGCAACGGTTGATCATTATATTTTTATAGTCGAATCTGCTAAAATAGTTCAATCAAGTCGAAAATAAAACGGGATCTGACCAATCTTGAACAAAAAAAAAAAAAAAAAGCTGAGTTCGAATCGATTTTGACGGTAGCGGGCGGCGCTGCTGCTGGCTGATCAACAAGATGCTTTTCTGGTGATGGTAATAATGATTGGGATGCTGATTAAATGATGAGGATCATGAAATTGATTGCTTGGCCCGAATACCCCCCCTTTTTTTGCTTTTGATGGGCATGTTCATATCTGACAAAGCCAGCAGCCAGCTTGGCTCACCACTAAATACACGATGTTTCTTCCAATCCAAATGTTTCCTACCGTGAGTTCTTACAGGGATTGCGAAACGCTCAATACATTATCCAAATGAATATTCCAGTGATTCCAGCTACGTCCGGATACTTGAGGCTTTCAAACTGATGCGTATTTTGGTAACAGAATACTGACATGATGTTAGCGAGGGGTGAGTGGAGAGGGGGAACAATTGCAGTTGATTTCAGATATTGCCTTTGATCATATGTAAGTAATTTATTGGTTTGTAGGCAAACGTTGCTTGCGTAAATTGTGATGGCTTTCAATTGAGCTCCACATTGACATATTGCTCGTAGCGTGTGCGACTAGATAGGTATCACGTCGACTTGATATATTGCAAGATGGGGACATGCACTTGCTATTTCAGCCAGTCCAGACTTGCACAAGGATTCATAAATACTCATAGAATGTGTATTGGTCCAAATTTCGATACTTGATAGCCATATATGCCATCCACAATTCCTAAATGCCACTTGCAATTCCTTCACAGTATCTAGTCCTTTAATGTCAATTTTAGCACATCTCCCAGTCTGCTCATATTGGTGTAATTGTTTTAAATCGTCGTGCCATTAGAGTGCATGTCAACTAAAGTTGCTCTAAGCAGAGGAGCGAAACAAAAATGCAACAACAGGTATTGTAAGCCAAAGCGGCTGTGGGGTTTGTCAAATTGCAAAGGCCATTTTATCTTAAAATGTCCAAATAAAAAGAGCTGGCGTGCCATGCATATAGCGAGACGCTATACTTTAGTGATATCAGAGAGATAACCATCAATCTATCTACTACGCAATAACAACATACAGCGGCTCTTTGGTATGTCAATGCATATTTGTAAGCTAGTGTGATTTATTTAAAGAGACATTATGATGATTGAATGTTGATTTACAGAGAGATAGATAGAAGCGATTAGTTGCGGTATCTGGGGTTTTCATCATCAGGAGCACCATAGCCAGTAGGCTTTGAATGGCCATAACCAGAGCTGGTTTGTTGGTCATAGCCAGAGGAGGTGTTGGACTGACCGTAACCTGACTGACCGTAACCTGACTGACCGTAACCTGACTGGCCATAACCTGACTGAGCAGATTGACCATAGCCTGATGAGGTATTTGATTGACCATAGTCAGAAGAGGTGTTACCGTAACCAGAAGATGTGCTGGATTGACCGTAACCAGACTGACCAGACTGACCGTAACCAGACTGACCAGACTGACCGTAACCTGACTGACCAGACTGAACGTAGCCAGACTGACCGTAGCCAGACTGACCAGACTGACCATAGCCAGATTGAGCAGATTGGCCATAGCCTGATGAGGTATTTGATTGACCATAGTCAGAAGAGGTGTTACCGTAACCAGATGAAGCAGTGTTACCATAACTTGAGCTCTTGTCTTGTTGACCATATCCGGAAGAGACTGAGGAAGACGTGTTACCATAGGTAGGAACAGCAGATTGACCAGAAGAGCCATCGGTCTGAATGGTCCATTGTTGATTAGCATTGTCAGTATCCTTGCGGTTATACAAGATGACCTTGGCACCGTCCTTGTTGGAACCGCCTCTGATATCCAAGACGAGACGAGGATCAGCCAAGCAGTACACATAACCATCACGGAATCCCCATCTTTGATTGTGGGCCCTGAATGAAGGAACAGTGTAAGCCAATGTTTCACACACACACACACACACACACACACACATTTGCTTACTAGTATTCACTTACATGGTAGTTTTGCGTTCGTATTGAACAATAGCGCTGTCAGATTGAAGTTCGCCACCACGAATATCGATGACTATAGTGCCATCATGACGCAGTTAGTATTCAAAAGTAGTGTGACCCAATGATGTATTCCATTTTACCTAATCCGGATTTTTTGTTGACCAAAAAGCCATTGTCAGCTTTCCAGAGCTACAGCGCAACAAAATTGTTTAGAAACAAGACTGGTTCCCGGCATGAAATCCAACTTACTTGGTTATCCTTGTCCTCGCCAGTCTTTTGGGGCCAAATGATGATGTTGGAGTCAGACTAAATGGTGGATAATGACTTAGTTTACATGTATGCACACACACACACAGACAACGCGCGCCCTCCAGATAGATACTTACGGTGGTCTCGCCCATATAGACATCAATACAGGAGCCATTCTCCTTTGATTTGATATAAAAGTATTGTCCTTGAGGGAATCCGCTAGTCATTATGATATAATAATTTGGTTACAAATATGAAGAAAAAAAAAAAAAAAAAAAGGAAGGGCAGAAATGAAATTATGCATGCCTATTTATACTACAACATTATCACAGTAAATATCGGCTGTTCAACTTTATTGGAGAACACACACATCATATCCTTTTGGTTGCCATCATATTTACATGCAGTTTTCCATTAGACTATTTGTTTCGGTTTCATCCAAGCATAGCAGTTTAGCAAGAATCGGTACCATTGTCTATTTATACAGTGGAAAATGGCATTAGCCATGCTGTCAATCTGCAGACATTGGGCATGCTTACCTGCTTGTTTTCAGACATGAGGAACTTGACAAGCACGTTCTTCAGGTACTCTACATTCATATCTTGGCGTTTCTCAAAGGCATCCATTTTTCTACATGTGAAAACCGTTGAATAATGAGTGTCTCATTCGGATCACATAGACTTACCTCAATTCATCTTTGAGCACCTAGATAAAAATGCAACGTCAAGATTAGGACATGATTTGCATAATCCACCGCTCAGCTTACCTTTTCTTGCGTTTGGAGTGCAGTGATCTTATCTTGGCTCTCATGCAACATTTCGCTTAGTCTTTGAACCTGTTTTTCCAATCCAATCCGTTCATCCGGTATTTGACGTGACACAAGAGGCGAAAGTAAAGAGCTCATGGAGGCATACACATCCGATACTACCGGCTGTGGTGGTGCTTGCTGTTGTGCTGCGAGGGGTGGCGTTGTTGCCGATGGTGGTTGTTGCTGGGGCTTTTGTTGAGGAGGCAATTCGGCTACTTCATCAGTTGGAGGTGGAGAGGTGGGCGTGGATATGATGAGCTTTTCAATTTCGTTATCCTTCATCAGGATTTGCTGATAGAGTGAATCGTTCGATTCCTGCAATTCTTGCAAACGCAATTTCAATGGCTCTAAGCTATTTGCAGAGAGCTTTATTTGCTCATCGTATTTGGTCTGCAATACCGTCAATTGTTGGGATGTTTGATGGAATTGTTTAGTCATGGCTTGTAGTTCTATATCAAGTTGATTAGACATTTATAGTCAATTTGTTTCGTGTATGTGCTTGTGATTTACTTGTTTCTAGAGCCCTCTTCTCGGCTGAAAAGCTTGTGTCCTTTTTGGAAAGGACATGCTGGATTGATTCCAATTCATTGATTCGATCAATCGCCTTTCTGAGGTCATGTTCCAGCAGTAACTGCTGCTCTGCCTTTTCATGCTGTTCATTCTCGTATTTGTTCTTTTGATTTTGCAGTTGCTCAACAAGGTCTTGCAGTTGATTCACTCGACTGGCATCGCTCTGTTTTTCCTTGTTTTTTTCCAACAAAATATGAGCTCTCTTCTTGTATTGTTCGTAATTGCTCTTGGTTTGCTCGAGTTGAACAGAAATCTGTCGGTTTCTAGCTTCCAGTTGCTTGATTTCAGTTCCATAAAATGTCTTTGTGCTTGTGAGTTCAGTATTCAACTTGTCGATGGTGACTAGAGTACGGTATCAGAGCCTGTTGATCAGCATCCAACCAAGACTTACATCGTTGTGATTCGCAAGTTGATTTGTAGGATTGTTCTCTTTGCTGGCACTCTTCTAATTCCAACTTTAATTTGCCAATTTCAACATCTTTGGAAGCAATGCTTGCTCGATAATTGTCAATGTTCTTGGATGCTTGTCCAAAGATCTCTATGATAGCGTATTTAGCCTTGATCCTTTGTATATAGATTGTCTGTGTCTACCTCGCATTCTTTTCAGCTTGTCCTCATATTCGTCTAACAAGCAAAAGTTCGATTTTAGAGTTCATTCAATCTGTAATTTCATTCAACTTTACTTGTTTTGGTAGCGAATGTCTCTTGCAGCTTCGAAAGTTCTGCTGTCTGGTGCTTCAACTGGTATTTTAGATCTTTTACTTGTTCCTGTAGCTGAAAGTTGACTTTGTCTGATTCTCGCATCATCATGTTGGGCGAACTTGAACCAGCAGAGCCATTTGGTTTCTATTCTTATTACGTGAGTAACAGCAACCACTGCAGCAAACGATGTAACTGACCTTGAGCCGAGATTTTATCAATTCAAGTTCTCTTTCTAGTCGCTCCACCTGCTTCTCAGCTCTCACGGCTCTAGCTCTATCTGCTGTATTGTCGTTTTCAGCCATGATTTATCTCCCCAATCAAAAGATGTAGACATTAAAGTGCCTTCGGTGCCAATGGACGCTTTTTAAGATTAGCTCGCGCTTTTCTCAGGATCCAATTCGCGCAATTCACTGGCCCAATTTGCGCTTTTGACCAATCCCAAATGGTGTACTCATTCAACTTTCTTTTGCATAGGATAATGCCATTCAAGATGTGCAAATAAAATTTATTAGACGGGATCCATTGGAAGTACCATACCGTATATTGCCTCCACTAAAACCTCCTCTCTCTAAAAATAATAAACGCAATTTCCTTTTCATTTATTTCTTAGCAACATAAATCAAACATAATACATGATCAAATCAAAGAGATTTACAACTTTATGTATGATGATTTTATTACTAAATCACATAAGAGATACTTTAAGACAGCTGTTCATGATATGCTGTCCCAAATTGTAGTGATACCTTCTCTTACTAATCCTTTGAGACTTTTTATTCACATAATCAGTTTCACCAAACTCCAAAGCAACAACGAACGCAATAATCATTGCAAAGACTCAAAAGACAAGCATCACTAAGGACCCATCCAGATAAACTGAAGGCGGTGCCTCCTACAGAGCAACATGGCAGGTGTGAGAGAATTCCTTCAGTATTGCATCGGATAATTTGCTATTATGATTTGCGTTTTCATCAGACCTATACAAAAAGAATAAATAATTTGGTTGGAAAAGAGACAGCCTATGAACTTACAGTGATCATTCTTGTCAATCTCTAAAGGCAATGAGAAACGCAAGAATTACTAGCCAACGTATTGAAAAGCAAATAATTACTGAGGACCCATCCAGAAACTGGACAGTACCAAACCCATAGCAGCAAGGCACATGTGAATGGACTCCTTCATCATTGCATTGGAATGAAAGAGAGTATCTGTTAATCGTCTGGAAAGAAAATAATTTATTGTCAGATAAAAGAAATCAATGATGTCACTATTTTCGATTCATGCGACTGAGGTATAAAAAAAGTGTACCTTTACTAAAATACGCGATCTCCTCCTTATTCATCTCGCCCTGCAATGTCGGATTTAACCCAAGGTAAGCATGCTGCGTGTTGGTGGAAGCGACGAGTCTAACCACGGGTGTTTTTCGTAGCGTTAGAAGATTACATCAGACTTAAAAAGGCCAGATCAACTATACAAGGCTTTATCGATAGTGATGAAAACCACATAGAGGTGTTAATGATTTGGTTCGAGACATTTGTGGAATATGGCGATGCATTGAAATTTTTTATTTCAAAGTTCAAGCAAGTATACAAAGATAACATAAAAAAACCATACAAAAGCAAAGCCAAAGTTGATATGAAGAGAATTTTTCAACAATCAAAGTCTCAAGCGAATGCAATGGTGAATGGAAACAAAGTACTGGACGAAGCTACGAACGCTGCCTCAGAGAGGTTAATCTTGAGACTGAAACAACCACCAAAAGTATAGTATTAAAAAACTAGTTTGTTTAAAAAATGATATCGATAGATGTGCTGATAAAATGAAAATATCTGGTATAGATTGTGCCTGGTGCGTCTCCCTCTTCATCCTCATCTACTGTTGGTGCTTCTTCATTCACTGCTGGCGCTTCCTCGATTGAAGGAAAATTGGATTCATATATTAAATCATGTAAAGACAAATCAAGAAAGCACGGATTCAATTTGCAAACCGAAGTTCACCAAGTGTTAGCAAGTAACAACATAATATTACTCAAGAAAGGACAGGTGTGTCCAGAACTTGCCAAGCATGTCGATACTGAGTACCTCCTGAATAATATCAGAACTAAAGCAATCATCAAAGATGTCACAGCTGACAACATGATGTACGTGTCACTATCCATGTTACTTCGAGATGTCAACAGCACAACCGACCGAAGAAAGTTGAAGATAGAAATGAACCGACTATTTGAAGTTGCCTCCAAAGAGGATGGAAATATCATCGAAATATTTGCCAATTTGGTTACCAAACTGCCCAACTTCGAACGACTTTCTCCTGTAGGAGAAATGGAGTTGATAGTAAATTTCTTGGACCCAATTCTTTCTCCAATATTTCATTGCCCTGACAACAACAAACATCTCATTTGGTTAAATCGTAAAGATGATAACATAGTGAGATCCCGTCCAGATGCAGCCACAGTCGCGATCCCACAGAAAGCAGAAACTATTACTTTGGGATATGTATTTTTTTTATTTAAAGTCCTTAAAATGTCATGCTGAGGGAAAGAAAAGACTGTTGGTGGACCCAATGTCTGCAATGAAGGGGAATAAGATATTTTGAACCAAGTTGGGAAAGAAATCTACTACTAATAAGGTGCGAAACCTAGAGCCAATGCAATCTTGCGGAAATCGTCAATGGATAAGAATACAAAACACCAAACGAGGACATCAGTACTAGGTCAAAAAATCAAACAACTTGCGTTTACCAGGATTTGAACCGGGATCCTCCCGTTGGCATACGGGAGTTTTACCACTTCGCCCTACCACCAGGGGCATTGGGATATGTAGAAGTGAAGCCGCCAGACTTTGAATCCAATCCCGAATTAGCATTTATGGACTTGATTCGTTTGGGTATATTTTCTCGCCGTCTTATGCTACGAAAAAACAATCAAAAGGTGATTGTGATTCAGTGTATAGGTTACCACATGGTGTTCTACTTAGTATCAGAGTTTTCAGAAGGAATCGCGCAAATGGCTGAGATATTATCAATTGATGTACCTAAAGAAATTGGTCAAATGGGGCACCTTCTGCAAAAGGTAGACGACCTTAAAAGATTATTCCAATTGTATGAGCATCAAATGGAGACTCGCTACAAAAACTCAAGAGCACTGGAGGAAGAAAACCCTGCTTCACCAATTGATGCAATCAACCCGAAACGTCGCAAACAGAGAATCCCCTCGTTCTCTTTGGTATGATGTTTCTCGCCCCACCCCCTTCTCCCCTTCATATTTTTTTCTCTTGTAGCCCAATACCATGCATTAACCTATGAAAAAAACCACAACCGAGTCATTCATTTTCATATATAGTTTTATTGAGTTTTATTGCATATTGTCACAGTACGACTTCTGAATTTTCAGGCTTTAGTAAAAAGAAAATAATCCATAGCAAATGTATTTTTCCGTTGGGGAAGGTGTAGTCTTCAATGGACTCGTGGTTCATTTGGATAGAATAACCAGCCGCAAGAGGATCAGTGCATCTGCCATTGCGTGACAACAGGGTCCAAAAAGTCCTCATGCAAATGGTCCACATATACCAAGGCACGACCCTTTGTAGTACCAGTGACACAAGTATAGTCGATTAAAGAGAGATGTTGAACATATTCACACAAACCAACACCGCCTAATTCATGTATGTTGTAAATACATAATATTCCATAGCACAACAGCTATTCTTAATTGGACTGTGTCCCCATCATACATAAATAGTCATACTGCCAATCAATCAACACACCTTTCTAACATTAATATCATCCAACCCCTTTTTCCGGATAGCTTACTGTTTCAACATGAGAAGATACTTTTTATTCTCATTTTTTAGTTTTATTGATACTGATAAAAATCTACAAACCCAAAGGGATTCTCAAGAACTTGATAACTTTGATACAACCTAAAATATACTTACTTTTGACAACAACGTATAACAATACATGTTAATCACTGACACGGACTAGACCAGACAGTAACTAACCTGCGTGAGGTCAGGCAGGAATGTCGAACTTCTTGATCATCAAGAGAATAGCAGAAACTTCATTTACACGAGTAACACGGCACGAATCGATTTGACAGAAATTGATGCGATTTTGAATGAACATCAGCTGAACACATACAAAATGCGGTCTACCAAATCAACCACTACAACAAGCCACTGTTTGCATGATCCAAAATATTTTTTTAAATCAATTGCCTTTCGCTTACATATACATAAATCAATTATAATGAAGGCACCTACATCCCAAGACAATTTATGGGTAGCAGCTGGTAAGGATGAAATGCTATGTCGAGCTTTCATTGAATACTGACATATTGGAATAGGTGATGGCCAAATTGACCGGGTTAGAGTAGGTGCATCACTGACATTTACGCAGTAATGTGTGGACTCATGTCGATATTAGGAATTGTTAGAAAGCGGCATTGCAGTCGATGGCCATGATCAGTTTGGATATACTGCCATGTAGGTGATTCCCAAATTGCCAATTGCTTTGATTTGACACTCATGCAATATCTAGGCACGCAGCTGTCTCTTACAATCAGATTGAAATGGTCAAATTATTGATTGAAAAGGGTGCCAATGTCAATATTGAAGATTTTGAAAAAGATACACCACTTTACGTTGCTGAGAATGTTGAAATGGCACAGTTATTACTAGATAACGGTGCTGATCCCAAACACATCAACGAAGATGGCATTACGCCTGCTTTGACAGCTTTGGAAGAGGGTTGGGAGGAAGTCGCACAATTCTTGGCCAACATCACAAAAGAAGTACTGCCTACTACAGAGGAAGAGGCTGATCCTTTGGCCTACATTGAACAAGAAGATAGAGAAGAAGAAGCAGCAGCAGCAGCAGCAGAAACACAACAACAACCAAATGGAGATGGCACAGAGGAAGAAATGAGCGAAGAATTGACAAATAAAATGCAAGATATCATGAAGCGTATCGAAGAGCAAGGTGGCGTAGAAAACGAAGAAGAGCTTCGAGAATTAGTCACCAAGATGGTCTTGGATGGCATGCAACGTGAATTGAATGAATAAACAATGCACACTATTTACCCTCTGATCTGGCACTGATCGTTCCTGTTTTTCGCCGAGATACTCAAGATACTTCACTAGAATTACCGCCATTGTCATCACTGATGCTCAAACCATGTTGGAGATCATTTTTAGTTATTTTTTGGGACCTTGGAAAATTGAGCATTTTCGACTCTCCAGCCATGAGGGATACTTCATGGTCGAGGGCCTTATTTCATTCGATTCAAGTTTTGACACCAAAAACGGTGTTTTTTGCTATGAGGTTCCTAAGTGAATTCAATGCAGAATTTTATGGTTTTTCAGATGAAAAAGCTTAATTCAGTTGAACCCTATCAAAAGAATTGAGTTAAAGGCAGAAAACTGGTTTTTGTGAAATCAACAAGAACTCCTAATAGAAGTATTTTACATAGACATAAAGCGTACCATTCAATAGAACTCTAAAAATAAGCTATAGTTTGCTATCAATTCATGGAGAGTTCCCCTAGTAAATTTGCGTGTAATTCGAGATAAAATAGATTTTGTTCCATTTTGGATCCCATTTGGGCAATCGTGCTCATACGAGGATTCAATCTCCGGTAAATTGATGTTGCCTGCTCCAGGAGAGTTTTTTTTTTTATGCTATGAAACGCATGACAGTACCTAGATATCAATGCAAGTATATAAAGCAGGATATGAAAGCTTTGTATTTACACTTTTACTGTAGATTTGCCATCAAAATCAAGCAAAAATGCGAAATATTTGAGATATAGTGCGAGATAGCATTAGTCAGTCAGCATCCAACCCAGCATTTGATAACATTGATCTATACGAGGGCTTAATTGTAGCGAGGCGAATATGCAAAACTATAGTAAGGCGAAGGTGCAAAACCATGGCAATTAAGCATTCAACCCAACATTTGATAATATTCATCTTGATGAGTGTTTTACCGTAGTAAATTCGTTTTTTCATTCCCATTATTAATAAGCTTACCAACAACATAACGCATGAATTAGCCTTACCAAAATCAATATTGCCTCTATTTGAACTAGAAGTTGCACAGGCTACAGAACTGCCCTCCCAGTAAATTGCAGCTACCAAAGATGTGATGTATGCCGTGTAAACAAACTCTATAAAGCAATACATAACCACATTTGACAGCTTTTAAGCCTTCATATCTTGATATGTAGACCTTTCCGAGTCACCGGAATGATGCCAAACAATTGTACTTGAGTAGTAGTAACTTCCTGACACCTTTGCTCAGCTTTTTGGGCCAAAAAAAAATATGGTCAAAAATCGACCAAAAGCATGAGGCACCCCTCATGGTTTTCATTGAAAATCAAGCAATCGCGTTTTTTACCTTGATAATGAAGACTTTTACTATGGTGTATATTTAATCAAAATGTTTCTCTCGATCCAAAGCAGCCTCTGAAACCACTTTTATGAGGCCTTTATATGCAAAATCTTGACATTTTGGCCAAAAACCGCTTTTCATATTTTCTTGAATTGCTCGATAAATTCAGTCAAAACATTTATTTTACTCGGCACCATTGGAAACGCCTTGAAACGTACTCCAAGAATGTATTAGGAAGCGTAGGGTGTTCATCACAGTTTATATAGTCGAATATCACAAAATAGATGGAAGAAGTCGAAGAAAGATAGAATTTGTCCAATCTTGAACAGAAAAAAAAAGCTGAGTTGGAATTGTCTTTGGTGGCGGCATTGCTGCTGGCTGACCTAAATGCCTTTCTGTTGATGGCAATGATAATTGCGATGATGGCTGCGATGCTGATTAAATAGGGATCATGGAGCTGAAAGGACAATTGTTCGGCCCAATTACTTTTTTTTTGGAGAGCTTTGGCTCATGAAGGCGTCTTTTGCAATGACAATATCTCAAAAAAGTCGCTGTAGATCTTACACAAGTCCTGTATTTACTTATGACCAGCTTTATGTCGCCATCTTATTAAGAGCATCAGCATCAGTGAATGATATGACAATTCTATGATCGGAAAATGGAGATTGTGGTGTATAAATGCTGCATAAAACTTGAGTTTTTTTTTCATATCGTCTCAATAATAGGCTTCGTTTGATATCAGTGTAGTAAGCAAAAAGGATGCTGAGGAAGATACATCCTCTCCTCCTCCTGGTGGCTCTAATATAACATTTCTTTTACTAACTAATAATAAATTGTTTAAAATCTACTTGATATACCAAAATTTTATTATATCTGGTTTAAAATGTCTTTAGTGAGAGCCCACAGGGCGACGCCAACATCGAGCGTAGCGAGATAGATCGGCTAGTTGTTCTACATTACATATACCTGCAAATTTGTATTGCGGGCGCTTTTAAATGGCATTTTGTATATGCAATACGTTTTCATCTTAACAAAAACGTTAGTTGGGCCTTTTGGGTTACCTAAGAGAAAGCTCATTTCAAAGGCATCTGCACACTCTTATTTATTGATCCACGTTTTATGGAGTCTGAATGAAATGTATGGATACACACACTTTCTTATTGCTGCTGCAAATGTAATTCCGTCCTCATGAGAGTGCTTACATCTTAATTTTTCCATTCCTTCTTTCTCTCCCTTTTTTTTTTTTTTTTTAACTCAATCACATAAAAGCAATGGATAAATATCAAGTAAGATTCACTATTGTATAGCGAATGCAAATCAAATGACTAAACTATGTATCTGCTACAGAAAATTGAAAAGCTTGGAGAAGGTATTCAGTACAAAAATGCAAGAAACATTTGGAGAAAACAGAGCTTAATACTTGTCTGTCTCCTAAAGGAACTTATGGTATTGTCTATAAGGCACAGAACCGTGAAACCAATCTAGTTGTTGCCTTGAAGCGTATTCGTCTGGATAATGAAGAGGAGGGCGTAAGTTGTCTAAAGCTTGTGTTTGGATATTCACAACTCATCCTTCCTTCTCATTATAGGTACCATGCACAGCGATTCGAGAAATTTCGCTATTGAAGGAATTGAAGCATCCAAATATTGTTAGGTAAACATCTGAAGAAGGCAGACTGTGGCTAGCAAATCTGATAGACCCACTTCCTAGATTATACGACGTTGTGCATACAGAAAAGAAATTGACGCTTGTGTTTGAGTATATGGATTCAGATTTGAAAAAGTTTTTGGATTCTTATGGTGGTGATATTGATATCTTGACCGTCAAGGTAACTCACATGGAGAAAGAGAGAGAGAAGCGCCTAGTTGGTATCTAACCAGGAATCGATAGCAATTCATGTATCAATTATTAAAGGGCATTGCATTTTGCCATTCTCATCGAGTTCTGCACAGAGTAAAGCACCCATTGTTAGTGAATCAATGAAATACATACTAACAAGCTTACACAGGACTTGAAACCACAGAACCTATTAATTAACAAGGTCAACACTACAGTAAGTTTGCAAATTAATATCAAAGAAATTAGCTTATCATTATTTTGTATTTACAATTTGTTAGAAAGGTGAATTGAAGTTGGGTGATTTTGGACTTGCAAGAGCATACGGTATTCCAGTCAGAAGTTATTCTCATGAAGTTGTCACCCTCTGGTATCGTGCACCTGATGTATTGATGGGTTCGCGTCAGTATTCAACATCGATTGATTTATGGTCTGCGGGATGTATCTTTGCAGGTGAGTATCAAGTAGTGCTGGACGTATATCACCCAAACTAATCTTTTGGTTTTTCCGCATACATTGTAGAAATGGCATCGGGTAGACCTTTGTTCCCTGGCAATTCTATTTCTGATCAATTACAGAGAATCTTCAAGGTGTTGGGTACGCCAACAGAAGAAACATGGCCCAAAGTATCCCAGCTTCCGGAATATAAGCGTGATTTCGAGATCTTTCCTAAAATACAACTGGAAACACTTTTACCCAAAGTAGATCATCTCGGCATTGATCTTTTAAAACGTCTCCTCGAATATCCACCCGAAAAGCGTATTACAGCCAGCGATGCACTGCAGCGTAAGTCGATATATGAATTCTTCAGGGCAATGTTTTCAGGTTATTTATTATCTCTATAGATCCTTACTTTGATGAGCTGCGGAAAAAGGAGTCATCGTCTACGACCACCAATTCTACATCTGACAACGTGTCAAAAGAAAACAGTAGATGATGATCAACACACAGCGCATACAATACACACATAAAATATCAGATATCAAAACATCCCTTTTAACACAAACTCCACTCATTTTATTACAATAAAAAGATGACGATTATTGCAACTCAAGAGCGAATCATGGAATATACATGATCAGCAATGGCAAGTGAGGATGTGAGGCCGGGACTTTCAATGCCAATCAGTGTAAAGAAGTTGTCATGACCTGAATCGCTTTCTTCCTTGATGATGAAATCTTGGAAAGGCTCACCAGGACCAGCCAGTTTTGGTCTACAATGAGTGAGTTAAACTACACATGAGAAGGGAGGGGGGGGGGCAGCTTGCTTACCTAATACCAGAATAATCCGCATGAAGTTTGTCCTTGTTTAGAGAGGGTAGATACGAATGAATAGCATTAACAAAAGCCTCCTTTTTCTCTTCATCATCTGGTACGCTATAATCGTAGGGGTCATCAATGTATTGCACATCAGGGCCAAACTTGATGCCGCCTGCCATATCCAATGTCAAATGAGTGCCTAAGCCAGCCAAGTTCTTCTCAGGACAAGGATAAATCAAATGATTTACTTCCAAAGGTGCATTGTACGCATAGTAATGTCCTCTAGCATAGTGCAACTTGTATGGTTTGTTTAATGGAAGCATGTTGCTGACTTTATCAGCATGTAAGCCGCCTGAATTGAACACTCTTTTAGCCAGCACTGTGGTTGTCTCGGTAGGTGTTGATAACTCGACCACGAATCCATCTTTGGACGGTTTGGAGATGGATGTCACTTGTGTGCAAAGTGCAACATCGCCGACGTCAGCTATTTTGCGCTCCAAATAAGCCATGAAATGATGTGAATCAATAATGCCAGTGGATGGAGACACCAAGGCTGAGTGAAGCTGGATGTGAGGTTCCTGAGCTGATGCTTGTGCCTGGTCGATAAAGTAGGTTTCAATGCCTAAGCGCTCTGCTTTTTCATGCAATCCCTGCAAATAAAGATGTTGCTCTTGATTTTGAGCCACCACCCATTTACCCAATTTGCGATATGGGATGTTTACTGTCTCGAATAGCTTGTATAGCTTTCGATTGCCTTGGATACAGAGCTTTGTTTTTAAACTGTCCTCGGGGTAATATAAACCTGCATGAATTACCTCGCTATTTCTTGCACTATTTGTTCGTCAGCATACCGCTTCTTGTACAAATGTATCGCTTCTACCTTGTTTCTTCGCCGATACGCACATTCTTTTCGACGACAAACGTGGTTTCGTGTGGTCTTTCTCGAGTCAGCTTCTCGCCGATGGCTAAACCAACGACACCTGCACCAATAACTATGTTATCAACTTCGAGCTCGGGCGTCTTTGCAGTAGAGAAGGCTCTCCAAGCCTGGTTCACAGCAAAGGGTTTTGTTAAGCGTGAAATCCTCAGCATATCCAAGGTTGAAATGAGGAATAAGAGTTGTAAAAAAGAGTGTCTAGTGAACCTTAAATTGCCCATCTATTACGGGCATGGCCGAGCATTTCACTCTCAGGGCTGACACACATCCAAGTAAATCATCCTGATCTCAGTTACAAGGAATGATCTGCATTTCATATCCTGCTCAATATCCTGTGCAATGAATGCAATGCGATTACGCTACCTCATCGTATATGTAGTCTACGTTTTCTGTTTCTGAATAGCACCTGAAACACATTTTTTTTTTTTTTTTTTTTTTACGAGTGATTACTGAAATCGAGCAGTGGTGTGGTGCTTGCACGCACCTACTGTGGATTTCGCGCAAATTTTGAATGAGTAAATAAAAGACGCTCGGCTTTAGCGAGTACAAACTGATGCACCTCCTTGGATATCTTTACAAATCACCGAAAATAACACTTGATCCACTGAAAAGCAACAATGTAACGTCTCATTTGTTGAGAATTTGCACAACTCCACACATCAACTGGATATAAAAACGTCAAAAAAAATTTTGCATGTAAAAAAAGTTTCTTTCAATCCAACACATCAAATCACGATGGATACAAACAAGGACGAAACTGTCAAAGTTGAGGCTGTAGATACCACACCTGTTGTTCAGGATGAAGCCATGCCAGAGGCTGCTGCTGCTTCTTCCACAGGAGAATACCCACCCAGCGTACACAAAGTCCATCGTCAATTGTTGGCCATTTTTGATCCTGAAAACATCAAGAAAGATAATTTTTTCAGAGAATTAGTGGAGAGAGACCCTGAGCATTGTATGTTAATCTAGAATTGAACCGTATATGCAACGTGGTACTCATTCATGGTTCATCAATTAGGGGTACCCATCAAAAAGTTATCGATGATCAAGCGTTTCAAGGAAATTTTGGAAGGTGATTTGACCTTGTTCGAACAAGCTGTTGCTCTTGCTCCTCAAGATTTTGAAATGAACGATGAAAAGACTCAATTGCGCAGCATCATGGAAGAGAAGAAGGAAGAGGTCAAGCAGGATCTCCATGCTGACAGTGCAGACAAGAAAAATGCTCGCAATCAACAGATCATTCTGAACCATTTCGAAGTGCAAAACAAGCGTTCCATCTACTCTGTAAGTGTCTCCTTTTTGCGGTAGGTCATCAAGTATACTGACGCTTTTACTCAATGTAGAAAGGCTTCACTGTAGATCCTGAGCCTACCGAAGCTGAACTGAAGGAATTTTACAGCAAATATGGTCGTATACTATCTCTTCGTCATCGCCGTGAAGGCAACGGCAACAAGCGTCATGAAGGTGCATTCAAGGGCAGTATCTTTGTTGAATTCGAGACACCTGAAATTGCACAGAAGGTGGTTGAAGAAGCTATAGAATATAACGGACAGGAACTACTCAACATGATCAAGGCCGACTATGTCGAAATGAAGCGTGTGGAGAAATACAGTGATGCTGAATTCAATGTCTCCCGCATTACGCATCGTCACCTGGTCGAGTACTCTAATGCTGAGGAGTATGGATTCAAGGAGATCAAGGAGCTTGTCAAAAGCGTGGCCAATGTTGGTAGATTAGAACCCTTGGAGAACAAAAAGGGCTGTGGTGTCCTGGAATTGTTCAAGACGACTCCCGAAGAATTCTTGGCCAAATTACCAGATCAGAAACTCGAAAATATCAATTTCTGTCTTGTCAGTGCTGCTGCTCGTTCTTATTTCAACAAAATTCAAAAGGAAGCCGCTAAAAATGGGCGTGGCAACGGCAGAAATGGCGGTCGCGGTGGCCGTGGAGGTGGCCGTGGAGGTCGTGGCGGAGCAAGAGGAGGAGGGGCAAGAGATGGCAACAAGGATGGCAGAAAAAGGGGAAACGATAACCCCAACAATCAAGAGATCAATAATAAACGTGCAAGAACTATTGTTGAAGTTAAATCCAGCGCAATTACTGCACCCACCAACTAGAAGCATTTTAATAAAACTGACATTTTTAGCACTCTTTGATAATGTAGCACGGTCCCTTTTTGAGAATGAACCATTTCCCTTGCAAGTTAATATGTATTTTTCAGTATGTAACCAAACTATGCCATTTATATGGAAAATTAATTAAAAAAACCCTTTTAAACATGTCATACCGAGCTTTGGTACATGTGTAACTTGATCTTCAGAATTACTTGTGACCCAAGGATAAGGTAAACAAGGATTAAATGTCAGGCGCAAAAAGTTTATTGTATAGTATAGTGTGTATTTATATATAATATGTGTGAGAGAGAGAGAGAATGAAGTAGAATTGAGTAGAAATACATAGGTATGTAGGTAGCATTTGCAGTAACAGGTAATAATAATAAAAAAATAAAAAAAAAATAAAAAAAAGATAGGATCATAGGTAAGAGCGAAGGGTGTATGCATATATAAGGAATCAGAGTTATTTGACAGCGTATTTTAGACATATTCCTGTTGGTAGTAAGAAACAGGTTGTTGACAGATCCATTTGTTGGCTGTTGTGTTTGTGTTCATAGGGGGCAATGGCATGGATGGCTGGTATTGAGGTGGAGGTGGAGGTGGACTACCACTACTGCTGTCCGTACTCGATGATGAGAAGGATGACCAACCTCTTCTGCTTGTGTGCTTTAAAGAATACAAGGACGATGGTCGCTCATGTGTGTAGTAAGTGTATTGGCACTCCAATGGTGGCTGTGGATGCTGCTGATAGTATTGATAGTGGTAGTGATGATGTCTTGATCTTGAAGACATGTGCGTACGGTAGTGCTGCATCATGTTGTCTTGACGAGAGAACCGACTTGGACATCCGGGGTATAAGCAATGAAAGTTCTTTTCGCCTGTATGGATACGATGATGTCTTGCCAAGTGGCCACTTGTAGTAAAACTCTTTTGACATCCAGGCTCTGTGCAATGGTATCGCTTCTTTTGCGGCTGCTGCTTGGATGTATCATCGTTTAATAGACTCACTTGTCTTCCTTTAGAGTTTGTAATGGAGAGCATTTGATTGTATGTACGTTAGAATTGAAGATAATATGTAGAGAAGAAAGAAGTGCTTCTACACATCCAACATGTTGTATTTATATACATATTTTTTTCCCTGTGTAGCCATACTAAATCTTTTATCCTCCCTTCCTCCTCTGAGCTCCCCCCCCCCCCAAATCTCCCCTTTTTTGCCCCACTCTACTGAGTATAACAAAGCTAACAACATTTCGAGTGTTTGCTCACACTCCCCTCGCATCTAAAAAAAGAGTGCACTGATCTCAGACTTGTATAAAAACGTGGTTGAAAACATGTATTACAGATGTAACCCTGCAGAGGAAGAAAAAGGAGAAGATTGATTCCAAGAAGTTTTTTAGTATTGTATAATATTAAAAAACGTGGAATACTGGATGCCACGTTTTTTGCGCCTTTGTGTGCGTCTTTTTGGGCTTGGTATTGTTGTAATAGAGTATGATCACACACGCACGTTGATCGCATCTTGTATTAAAATGGATAACATTTGGACCATCTTGTGTTGCATATGTTATCTTTTTTTTTTTTTCAAAGCTGCGATTACATGTATACTCGAGTAAACCAAGCACATACACAGATATATAAATATGTATACTCTAGATGGAGAAGAGTTGTACCAACCTGTGCGTAGATTGTTTCAATTGGGATCAACCAAGGGTCTGACAGGCATGACAAACACAAAAAAAGACTCATGGATCAGACATATCAAAATAACCTTTTCCCTTACATGACATTGCTGTTATGCCCACGCGATAGTGACAAAAAACGTCCAAATCAAACCTCCCTAAATTCCATGTAAACCAAGATAGTAAATCGCCTGCTCCCTGCTTTCTTTCTTTTTGTTACAGCAATAGAAAAGCAGGCAGGTGCAAATCGATAGCAATCAAACAGTGTAATGCATATAGTCATCAAGCCAATTACATGTATTCGGAAATGCAAATAGATGACGTTTGCGTACAACAAGAAAGCAAGCCCAAAAGTGTAGTGATATCTCTTTTTTTTTTCTTCTTCTTCTTCTTCTTTTTTTTCATAAACGTATACATACAGGATGGCGTCAAGACAGCAAACACAATCCCAGCAAGGAAAGACATATCAGTTTAAATTGGTGCTTTTAGGTGAGAAATTCTGTTCCACATGTCGAGTAATGAAAGAAAGAATGGCATGTACTGACTTGATGTGTAATGTATGTAGGCGAGTCCGCTGTAGGCAAGTCGAGGTAGTCTTAGTAAACAAACGAACAAGCTCATACACATTATATTGACGTTTCACATATGGCAAACTAGCTTGGTCATGCGATTTGTAAAGGACCACTTTGATGAGTATAGAGAGAGCACAATTGGAGGTAAATGCGTACTGAGTAAACGTCCATTGCAGTAGCTAACAATGCGTTTAGCTGCTTTCCTGGCGCAGACAGTGACATTGGACGATAACACAATTGTTAAATTTGAGATTTGGTAGGCTTGTGTATATTTATTTGATATGATCATTTTTGGCTGATACATGGCATGAAAAAAGGGATACAGCTGGACAAGAGAGATACAAGAGTTTAGCTCCCATGTACTATCGCAATGCCAATTGTGCAATAGTTGTTTATGATATCACACAAGCCGTGAGTAGATGTCTGTGTGTGTGAGAGAGAGGGTGAGTGAAAACTGACGAAATTTACTATAGTCTTCCTTGGAAAAAGCAAAAGCCTGGGTGAATGAATTACAACGTCAAGCAGATCCTAATATTGTCATTGCATTAGCAGGCAACAAATTTGATTTGGAAGCAAGACGAGCCATCGAAACCAAGGTTTGAGAGGAATTCAGGGCGAGACAGACAAGATGCAATTTGATTTACATACATGCACATATAGACTGCTCAAGAATACGCGGATGAATGTGGACTACTATTCTTTGAGACTTCGGCCAAAACTGCACACAATGTCAATGAACTCTTCCATGCCATTGCTCAACGTATGCCCTTGGATCAATTGGCTGATAGTTCTCGTAGACGAGGTGGACTAAACACGCAAGGCGTTGATTTGGATAGCAATGGAACCAACAATGGCTGTGCATGTAAGTTGTCATGTTGTATGATGTATATGAAAAAACTGATGAATGGTGGTTTTTATGTGTATAGGCTAAAGGATGCTGCTGCTGCTGCTGCTGCTGCTGCTGTTCACACTGATGTTTCCAGCCCCTCACATATCCCCCCTTTTTACTCTCACTGTTTTTTTTTAAAAAAAAAAAATAAACCATTTATTCGACTTTACAACATATATGGTGCATAGAACAAATGTATGAAAAGGGTTCCTCCCCCCTTGGAGGTTTTTTTTTTGTTACCAACCAGATGATGTGGATCCACCACCAGCTGCATAAGAATGACCAGCACCTCCTCCACCCATCTGCAGCACTTTTTTGCCTCGGAATTGACCACGCAATCTTGCACGCTCCTCTGCGGCAGCTAAATTACACCTTTAGCCATGTGTACATATCATTCTGGAACCACAAAAATCACTCACCTTGACGTGCTGCTGCAGCTTCTCTTTCTTCGTAATTCAACACCAACTGCTTCAATTGCTGCTGCTCCTCACGCTCTGCTTCTTGCTTGGAGCGTGTGCTCACAGCCAAGACAGAATCCGATGGGACTTCCATGATCTTGGTCTACATTAAGTTTAGTTTGGATCTGTGTAAAAATAGAGATTTAATTCTTTACCTGTTGACGGTTGCCTTTCTTTGTCAATAAGGTAAATGCCATTTTGCCTGTTTCGGGTTTGTTTGTACCTTGCGCTATTGTGCGACGATCTTGTGAATAGTATTATTAGTAGCCCTGTTACACACATGGAATGGCTAAACTCACCTTGAGATCCTCTCAAATTCATGGGAATAGGGACATCCAGCATGGCTGCCTTCTTTTCAAATTTACGGGAATCAATACTATCGCTCATCATCTTGCTGAATTCTCGTTCAAACTCTTCCTCCTCCTCTCGAGACAGTTGCTCCTTTTTGTTCTTTAATACAACCACATCTTGGTCCTCTTCGTCTTGGTTACTGATAGTGATATCGAGATCCTCGTCTTCCTGCTGTCTGTCCTCGGGCAGCAACTCATCTTCGTCTTCTTCACCACCACTGATGGATGAATCAGACAGTTCACTCTCTTCGAATCCATCCTCCAGCAGTGCTTTGCCGTCTGAAGTGTTCTGTACTGTCTTGAGTTGCTCCAACAACATGCGATCCACGGCTTCATTGGCTTCTTCGTACGAGGTCAATATTTGCAATTGAGGTCGAAGCATCTCCAGCGTATCCGTGATCATGAAATCAACGTCCATAGGGGGTTTGTTTTTGCTCAGTACGTACATCTAAGCAGAGTGATTTGTATGGTTAGTTGTGATGATCGACTGGTGGGGGGGGGGGGCGACGCTCTTTTGTATTACCTGGAAGAATGTCAAAAAGTTGTCCAATTTCTTTTTTGAGCTACCTCTATCAAAGCACATGCCACAGGTATCCAGTAAGGTACAACACAGACGAATACGGAAAAAATCATTAGGGGCATCAATAGAGCAGTATCTCTCTCTAGCAGGTCTACCGAACTCTAAAAAAAAAAGAATATAAATTTAGTGCAACTGTCAGTTACAGTTTTAAATAAGACTAACCATGTCCAAATGTAACAATAGAATACAATGTGTCGAAAATGAGGGGCGATTCGATCATGCGGTAGTTGTATAATTCGCCCAAATACTTGGCCACTGCTATTCTGCGCTGATTGTGCTTGAAGATGTTTTGCTCTAGTCCAATACGGATCTCTTCAACCACGCCGTCTACAATTTGCACGCCAAAATCCGTGTGATGGCGGTTTAATCCACTAGCCAAGATGGCCATCAAATGAATGTTGCCAAATTTCACCTTCCAAATCTTTTGGAATATCTTGGACATGATGGCTCGAATTGAGCTGTCTTCCCAGTGCAGTTTGCGCAATTGCTTCAGCACTTTGTCCAGCGATTTCTTGCACAAATCTTCATGGATCAGTTTGCGTATATACAGCTCCATGGTGGATCGCTCCTTGACCTTGATAGCAGACTTGTCGGGTGGGTTGGCTTGATAGTATGCATTTTCCACCATCGTCGCATATCGGCTGTCCAGATGCTGCACAGTCTTTTTACGCATCACAGTCTCCAACATGCCGTTCATGCGAGCACTTGTTTCAGGTGATTTCAACAAGAATCGGCCACATGTTTCCAGCAGGTTACAGACAATGTCAATGTTATGGTTGGTAAAGTCATCGAGAGCCACCTTGAACGCATGGAAAATAGTGTGAGCAGGGGCTACACGGAATTTGGCGAGCTCAGATAGGTAGCGAATGTTCTTGATGCGTGTTTCCAGCAGATTGTGGGTCTTTTTTCTCTGCAAGCCCTTAAACTCGTATGTCAATGCAGTCAGCACCATTTCGCCTACATCTGGGAAATAAGCGTTCAGTGTGGCAATCAGGCGAGCATAGTAAGGAAGCAGGTCCAGTCGTTGGCGCTGCACGCCGAGCAGTGTCTTGACAAGTCTCTTGCGCGCATTCTTGTTGTTCATGTAACAGAAATCAACCGCCACGCTGTCAATCAAGTCTCGGTTACCACAAGTAGGTAAACGAGCAAACAAACCATCCAACTGGACATTCTGTGTGCTGGGCTTGTTGACATCGTCTCCATCGTCATCCACTGCCGCTTCGAGTGCTTCGTCCACAAGATCCGTGTCATCTTCTTCTCCTCCTGCTTCCATTTGAACTTGTTCCGTCTGCGCTGGTTCTTCCTCCTCTTCTTCTTCTTCTTCTTCCAAAACTGGATCAGTGGCATTGGCAGCAGGTGAAGACACATGACTGTCATCGGCCGTGGCTGCTGCAGACTCGTCCAGCTCCTTGTCCTCTGCTTTGGCAGCGCTGGATTGCTGCGAGTCCAAAAATACATCAGGTACCAAAATACGGAGATCAGGCAAATCCTCATAAAATTTGCGGGCGTCCTCATCTTCCCAGATACCGTTACCCATATTCTCTTTTCCATCGTTAAACATGTTGCCTGTATTGGCGCTGACAATCGACTGTTTGGCTGCTGCTTCGTCTGTAGGGAGATCAGGCATATCAGTGTCTAATGCGTCGGACAATGTTTGTGTGTGGTTCAACAGTTTCTCGTACGCTTTGCTGGCTTTCTCTTGTCGTTGCTTGCTCTCCTCAGACAGCTCACCACGAGCAAATAAGACCTCGTTGTTGTGGCGTTCCATCTTTTGAATGACTTTGTGCATTTTCGTAAGATGAGCACATACGGATTTGTAGTAGGATTGGAATAGGTTGGTCAATAAGGCATGTGTATCGGGTGTCACTACGGATTCAGTATCGAGAGACTGCTGCTGCTGCTGCTGTTGCTGCTGTTGCTGTTGATCGGGCTGAGTGTCGGTCTCTGTGGATTCTGCTGCTGCTGCTGCTGTTGCCACCCGTTGTTTGCGAGGCACAATGTCCAACACACTGGATCCATAATTCTTCAAAAACGAAGCCACTAGGGGCAGGTTGATATGCTCGTTATCGTTGGTCAACATCTCCTTCAACACCTTGTAGACAAAAGGTTCCTTGGTTTGATTGCCTACATGTTTTGTGGTGGATTGTTGAGGCTTGATTTGCTGTGAATCGCCAATAAGTCCAGCCACGGCATCACGATGACTGGTTTCAATGCCACCCACATTGACGGATGATAATGTAGGAATACCATCCTCGACATAGCGCAAGACATTCACTAGCCAGAGCTCGCATACGATACGTAAATAGGTGCGTTGTTTGATGATACGTGCTGATTCTTCCTTCTCCTTCTGTTCCGCAGACAATGTCGCAAGATACTGTTTGCTGGGTACTTGCAATACTTTGGCGAGCTGATATGTTAACAACAGCGTGAACGTATCTGGAAATCGTTGGTGCAAAGCTGAAATGACCTTTTTGAAAAATGGGCTCAACAACATGCTTTCTCTTTTAAGATACACGGACATACCTCAACACCAGCAGCGATATCGACGCTTGTCTTGCATTTCAGCAATCCCTCCATGACACTTCCCACAATTTCAGAAATGTATTTCTCTAAACTAAGCTTGCTGATATCGTTCAAGAGCTGTGTTCGCATGTCTGTGCCCAGCGAAGTCTTGCATTTCTTGATAAATGTGGTGTTCTTTTTGATGTTGCTGTCGAGATTTTTGGGTGTTTCTGTACAACTCCTATCAGTGGGAATGACAGACAATTGCCAGGCGCTCTGCAAGCTTACCTCCTTTTCCTCGCTCCCAGGCAAGTTTGTTCAAGCGTCGAAGCTCCTTTTTACTTTCATCCATTTGCTTATGCGCTTCTTTTTTTTTTGTTTGTGCTGAAGAAAAGAGGTGATTTCTAATTTTGTGTCGCAGTCTGGTATGTATGTGATAACGGTGACTCCTTTCCCTGGCCATTGACCACCGTTACTGTGTCAACAAGCATTGATGCGGTTGTGATGGGCCTACATAATGCCAACCATGGATCACGGATCGGCAATGGCAAGCAAGCTTCTACAGAGCAAAATATTATTTAGTATTGAGTATCCATTTGTAAAGTAAATGCCAAATGTGCAACTTCTAGTATCATTTTTTTAGTGCATGTATTCCTGCTCAACTTATCTTCCATTTGTGTCTAATGATATCTCGTTGCACACATGTGTACTCATTGATTCGAAAGCATCAAGTTGTAGAGTAAGCTACCACGGAAAAGTAAAACGTAATTGAAGGACTCCTCAGTATATAAGGTTTCCGTCCATCCAGTTCTGCCATGTGAGACTTAAGATGAAGGGTCAAATTACTTTAAACAAGCACAGACCTGATCAACAAATGCTATCGCTAGTATCGCTTCAACTTGAATACGAATCGAAATTATTACCATTACCCTAAAATATCTCGGCACCTTCAGCCACACATTCGACGTTAACACCACACTCTACAAGCGTATCACTTCCTTAGAGTCAATGATCATTTGAGGGCTTTACAAATGGTCAGTAACGACGGGTTTGGGTCTTGTACTATGTTACGCATCTATATAGATGGAAATAGCTCATGTACGGACCGATAGTTTATTGGCATTACCTCTTGCCACTCAAATATATGCAAAATACAGCAAAACCTGAATGCATTTATGCCGTGTTTTCTCGCGTTCAAAGCTGTTATAGACTGCGGGAATAGCACCAAATAATTGCTCTCATCTAGCAGTTGCTTACCGACACCTTTACTCTACTTTTTTTTGGGGTCGTCAAAAATCGACTCCAAACCATGAGGGATACCTCATGGCTTTGATCGAAAATCAAACAATCGCGTTTTTAACCCAAAAAATGAAGACTTTTACTAAGGCATATATTAATCCAAATTGTTTCTTTCAACCCAAAGCAACCTCTGAAACTTAGTTTGTGAAACGTTTATATGCAAAATCTCAACATTTTCGCCAAAATAGTCATTTCATGTTTTCGAAAATTGCTCAAAACGCTTGTTCACAACACCTGCTTTATTCAGCACCACTAGATGCGCTTTGAAAAGTGCTTCAAGGAAGCTTAATGGAGTAAAGGGTAATCGTAACAGCTTACATAGTCGAACCTTACAAAATAGGTCGAATCGTGTCCAAAAAGATCGAAAACGAACAAACCAGGATAGAGTGTTAACCCGGAGATTAAACCAATTTTACGCGACGGCTGTGGTCAACATCAAAGCCAGGGCTGACTGTGATGCTGTTGTTGATACCTTATGAGAAGAGGAGGATTGTGACCTAAAAGATACCATGATATGGCATGGCTACTTTCATCTGCTTCTTTGAAACATTCATGCATATATTTGGCAGATTCTATCGTTGCAAATGGCTCATCCAAACGCGAAATGCAAAATTGCCGCCCTCATCAAGATTGCGTCTGGTACATTGATTGCTATACAACAAAGTTAAAAGCCATAAATGGGTTGAGCGTACAGTATTCGTCATTGTCTATTCAAATGAGGCCTTTTTAAGTGAATAATACGCAATACAGCAATTATCAGCTCATCTTGTACAAGGTGAAGCTTTAAAAATTACTCCATTCGATGAATATCACTCGCGCGCGATTACAGCTGGCCGATCTTTGTTATCAAAGTACAAGCATCATATGGATGAACAAAACGTCAATCTGTAAATACACGGCGTTTCAAAAGTATTATACCTGTCAAGACATCAGGATTTTCATACACTAAATTGAATTTCAATGGTAAAAGGGTAGCACTACGAACTAGCAAAATATACATAAACTACACTGGCGGTTACATTCGTATTTTAATACTGTTGATGTTAAACAGCATGGTAGCTGCTCTGTAGCTTCTTGGAATTCTTTTAGCAAGATTAGATTTCGCCAATGTTGAGTCATTTGAGTTGCTCCGAATGTTAAATCACTCGAGTTGCTCCAAATCACTGTTGATAGCAATGGTTCCGTCCTTCATTTTGCACGCCCCTTGCTACAAGAACTGGTCAAGCATACAAAACAAAATGCTTATTTCGCTCTTCAGATACACATAACTAGAGGATTTATATAGGCTCTCTCCTACTGACATGATCATTTACTGGAATGCCATCAGAGTGACACAAAGTTACGCCTTATTTCCATCATATTTCTAATGAAAGTGTACCGCCCTCTACGCTGCTGAATTAATCTTAATTTGGTTACAAATTAGTTGGCATTTTTCTCAGGTCACTGAATAAAGGCAATATAAACACTTAAAAGTAAAAACCTAATCTGTAAAAAGACCCTTTGTATCACGAAAATGGCCAACATTTGAAGATCCAAGGCAAAATCAAAATCAAAGAAACAGGAACAAATATGCATTTACTTGACTGACGAAACATCCAATATGACGCATTTTCTGTTATGAATACTATTAGGCTATCTCTGTAATCAGATCGTTGATCGTCTCGTTGGTATTCGATGGCATTTGAACAACAATCCATACAGAAGCCAAAGGGATGCTTTGGCAAATGACGCAACTCCGCAAACGGCTTCTTGGCCAATTGAAATAGAAATGGCAGCTATTGAAACAGCACAATTATTAAGCAGAGAACGGCCTGTTTATTGTCACTGCACAGCATCCTTTCCGCTGCCATTGGAAAGTTGTATGGGAAGACGCAGCCATTATGCAGAAATGCCATCTAGCTTGCATGGCGAGATCCACTCCAAATAACCAAGCTTACCTGATGATTCATCTTCTGATACGATTCGATTTGTCATATTGAGCACTTTGTTCATGAATTTGTAACACATTGGAAAAAATTCTTTCTATACCATGGAATATAGCCCGAGCAATGCTCATTCGAGAATGATGGCGTGCTCAGGCTAAAGACGAGCCTGCTGGCCTGTCTGATTGGATTACTCATGCTCGGTTGTAACCCAGGTTACGCAGGTTTTCATATTTTGATCTACGCCCTACTATGCTTTAGAAATGCTATAAATACAGTAGACCCTTTTTCTGACAAACTTGCTGATTCCCCCCTTTTTCTCCTTTGACTTTTGCTCATTCTATAACATAATATACACATTACAAATGGAAGTGGACAAGAAAATCCCTTCTGCGTACGAGACAACAGAAACACTCGGCAGTAGCGACACATCTATCGAGAAAGCTACCATTCATGAAATTGATCCCATCGAAGATTCACCCATTGAAGAAGTCAGATCTAGTATTCCTCCTACAGATGACCCCACATTACCTACTGCAACACTGAGAGCTTGGTTCTGGGGTATTATATTCTCTGCAGCCATCTCATTTTCCAACCAGGTAAGGATCCATTGCCATCCCCCCAATGCCAGGATGATTGTGTGTATTGACCTTTTTACATTGTAGTTTTTCTGGTTCCGTGCCAACCCACTGACCATTAAGGTTATTGTGGTACAATTGCTTGCCTTCCCTGCTGGTAGATTATCTGAAAAGATCCTCCCCAATTACAGAGTGCCTCTCGGTCGCTTCAGCTTTAATTTAAATCCTGGTAAATTCAATGTCAAGGAACACGTCTTGATCACTGTCATGGCAAATGCCGCTGCTACATCATTCGATGCCATTGATATCATTGTGGTGCAAAAGCTGTACTATAGTCAGGATTGGGGCTTCGGTGGTGGTATCCTCTTGGTGCTGACCACTAGTTTGTTGGGTTTTGGCTTTGCTGGTGTCTTGCGTCGTTTCCTCGTCCGACCCTCTGCCATGGTGTGGCCTATCAACCTCGTCAATGCCACTCTTTTCCACACTTTGCACAAGGAAGTGCCCAAGGAAGTCCAAGATGCCGAAGCCGTTACTCCTGGCTTGAGAATGAGTCGCAACAAATTTTTCGTTATTGCATTTGTTGCATCTTTCTGTTGGTATTTCTTCCCTGGTTACATCATCCCCGTTTTGACATCCATCTCTTGGATCTGCTGGATCAAGCCTGATAACGTGCTTGTCTCTCAAATTGGCAGTGGTATCAATGGCCTCGGTATCGGTAGTTTCACTCTTGATTGGAGTCAACTCGCTGCCTGGTATCCTAGTCCTCTTGCTATCCCTTGGGTTGTTCAAGCCAACATGTTTGCTGGTTTCGTCTTTTTCATCTGGTTCTTGGTTCCCATCATCTACTACACTGACACTTGGGAGAGTAAGAAGTTTCCCTTCTACAACACCAACCAATATGACATCTGGGGCGAAAAATTCAACCGTACCCGCGTCCTTACTCCTGAACAATACCTCGATGATGAGGCTTATGCCAACTACTCTCCTATTCGTATTACTGGATTCTTCGCCATCTGCTACGGTCAGGGTTTGGCTGCTTTGGGTGCTATCATCACTCACACCATCTTGTACAATGGTAAGGATATCTGGAACCGTCTCAAGAGTGCTCGCCAAGCCAATGATGACATTCATGCCAAGTTGATGGATCACTACAAAGAAGTACCTGACTGGTGGTATTTCGCCCTCTTCGTGTGTGCCCTTGGTGCCAGTTTTGCCACCGTTGTTGTATATCCCTCTGATATGCCTTGGTGGGCTTTGATCATTGCTGTCGTTCTTGCCTTTGTCTGGCTCTTGCCCATTGGTATCATCACTGCTATCACATCTCAAGCACCTACCATCTCCATGATCACTGAGTGGGTTTATGGTGCTATTCGTCCTGGCCATCCTATTGGCAACATGATCTTCAAGACATACGGTTACATTACTGTTCGTCAAGCTCTTTTGTTTGCTCAAGATCTGAAGCTTGGTCACTACATGAAAATCCCTCCTCGCGAGATGTTCTCTTTTCAAATCGTTGGCACTATTATCGCCTCTTTTATCTCTCTTGGAACCACTAATTACTTGATGAACTCTATTCCCGATGTTTGTACTCGTGCTGCTTACCCTTGGACTTGTCCTAACGCTGGTCTCTTTGGTGCTTCATCTGTCATTTGGGGTCTCATTGGTCCTGGTAAATTCTTTGCCTCTTCCTCCCTTTATGCAGGCCTTCCTTACTTCTTGCTTGCTGGCTTCCTTCTTCCCATTCCTGTGTGGCTCTTGGCTAGAAAGTACCCTGATACCTGGGTCGCAAAGATTTCTGTGCCAGTCTTCATGCTGGGTCCTACTCCCTATCCTCCTGCCCCTACTAATGTTGCTCCCTGTTGGACATTTATTGGCTTCATCTTCAACTATGTTATCAAGAAGAGAGCCAATGCCTGGTGGAAAAAGTACAATTACGTTCTCTCTGCTGCTCTGGATTCAGGTGTTGCTATCTGTGCTATCGTCATCTTTTTCGCATTCCAGAATACTGAAATCCATTTCCCTCAATGGTGGGGCAACAATGCTGAATCCGTAGATCAATGCCCTTTGGCCATGGCCAACTGGACTGGTGTTGATGTTTACGCTTAGTTTTCTTCACTTTCATTTCTATCATAACATTTTGTAATATCATTGTATTATACCCATACACTACATTAACAATTAATAAAATTTCATACAAAAAGTACAAACCATACTCAAATATACCACAACTAACCGATCAATCTCGCTATCCTCGATGACGGCGTTGCCCTGAGGGGGGAGGAGGGGAGCTCTCACCGAAGCCATTTCAAATCAGAGACAATAAAAACATGCTATTTAAGTAATCAATAAATAAATAATAATAAAAGAAGTATCATATCGCAGTTAGTAAGAGGGAGGTGTTTCTCCCTTCATCCTTTCCCTTTTGCGTATACACTGGTATCAACGGAAGCTATTATTGAAACGATGTGAAAGAGAGTTCAATCTTTATGCAGCATTTGTATACTACCTTCTCCGTTTGTGCCACATTTTTTGGCAGAAGAATTGCCATACCATTCGCTGATGTTGCTCTTGAGCTGGCAACATAAAGCTGGATATGTGTAAATACAGGGCTTGTGTAAGATCTATAGCGATTTTTTCCAAATTTTGTCATTGCAAAAGGTATATGGGTTAAACAATTGCCGCCAAAATTATTTCAAATTCAGCTTCCTTTTTTTTCAGTTCAAGATTGGACAGATTTTGTCATTTTTCGACTTCTTTCATCAATTTTATGAGATTCGACTATATAAACTGTGAAGATCACCCTACGCTTCCTAGTACATTCTTGAAGTACTTTTCAAGGCGCTTTCAATGGTGTTAGTTGCAATAAGTGTTTTGGCTGAAACCATTGAGCAATTTGGTAAAATTTGAAATGAGGTTTTTAGCGAAAATAGCCAGATTTTGCATATGAAAACCTCAGAAAAGTGGTTTCAGAGGCTGCTTTGGATCGAGAGAAACATTTTGATTTGATATATACCGTAGTAAAAGTCTTTATCTTCAAGGTGAAAAAAGCGATCGTTTGATTTTTGATGAAAACCATGAGGGGTACCTCATGCTTTTTGGTCGATCTTTGGCCATGTTTTTTTTTTGGCCCAAAAAGTTGAGCAAAGGTGTCAGGAAGTTACTACTACTCAAGTACAATTGTTTGGCATCATTCCGGTGACTCGGAAAGGTCTACATGTCAATATATGAAGGCTTGAAAGCTGTCAAATGCGGTTATGTTTTGTTGTATAGCTTTTATTTGCACGGCATAAATCACATCTTTAGTAGCTGCAAATTACTGGAAAGGCAGTTCTGTAGCTTGAGCAATCTTTAATTCGAACAGGAGGCATATTGATTTTGGTAAAGTTGAGTCATGCAAATTTTAATGCGCTATGTTGCTGGTAAGCTTATTAATAATGGAAATGAAAAACGGAATTTGCTGCTTGAATACTATGGTTTTTCGCCTTCACTTCGCTACGGTAAAACTGCCTCATAGGTCAATGTTACCAAATGTTAAATTAGATGCGTTATGCTTTTGGTAGATGGACTTAGCATCTCCACCAAACCCTCTCCCCAATGCCGGCTTCATTCATCTTGTACGGTACTCAATTCTTTAAATTTTTGAAAGGATATGATTTATTTGCCTACTTTTTTTTTTTTCAATGTTGTACAGTATAGATAGTGAAGACTGGCCACACTTCCGGCTTTAAATGCTCATGGAAAACTAACTTTCTAGAATAGTTGACTATGATTAGACCTCAATTCCCATATTCTGATAAATTTACCGTTTTGTGCAATAACAAGTGTTTCATATTCCAAACACTTCAATATGATCTTGTGTCTGTCGATTTGAAATTGACTGAGTTGGTGGAGCGTGATCTGTGTGTGATGTGCCCGCTAAGATGGTACATTATTACGGAATGGTGTGTCTGACTACTTGGGCGTAATGCTGTACCCGGAAAGCGAGATGAATGTATAAACATGGTTAGAATGAGTAATTGTGCGTGTCCCTGAGATCGTCTGGCTTGCTCGCAGGCCAAAAGGAGAATATACCACGGTAGAGTAGCCGGCAAATAAAGATGATTAGAAGCAATCTCCCATTTACGCAACTATGGAACAGCATATGGTGCATGAACAAGCCACGTATCAAAAATATACGTATAAACAAATGAGATGAAAGATAGATAATTCAATGTATTGCATAGAAACAACTTGTTTTTCAGTTGCTTTCGGGAAGTAGCACATGATAAACAAACAAACATCAAAAAACAGGTACATGATGGATTCAGAATACACATGGCACATACATCAAGACACGTTCAAGTGGTTGTGTGTACATACACAGTACATGATGGCAGTACATGGATGAAATGTCGCTGGTATTCACCAACCCAATCTGAACTGCTACGCGCATTCTCTTGGCCTTCCTGTTGTTCTCTTGTGTAAAAAATGCTTCAGCGTTTCAACCTTATTGTTTATAAAACTTTGTTTGATGTATCACAGGGTTCGGATGGCATTTTTGATACCCTTTTTCTTGTACAACGCCTTGTAACAAGATGTATTAGTCGTTTTCAGTCAAATTTGAAATGTTGTGATAGATGATTTAATTTATTCTTTAGGTATGAGACATGAAATGGCAATGGATTAATAAATAAGAATGTTGAAAGGTATACTTGAGAATATGAGACAGAGAAAAGTGGAAAATGCAAAGGAAACTGAGAGAATATTTACAAATACATACAGGTGAAGAAGGCGCAAAAGAATAAAGAGAAGTGACGACGATACAATCATTAGATAGTTGGTTACATTAGCTGTTGTTGTTGTTTTGATGTTGTTGAGGTGTCATCATATTACAGTAGTAGTAGTGTCTCATTACGAAAGGAATCCAGACCTTCTCTTCCGTTTTGCTTAAACCATGCTCATCAATTCAAGCTCAAGGGATTCTTGATGTTCCTCGACGTATTTGTCCATTTCAGAGATATCAACATACAAATCAAACTAGGCACGCTGAAATTAGAACATGATGACTCTATGTGCATTGCATTTATTTACCTTTAATACGCCCAAGAAGCTACGTTCCATCTCGTTCAGTTCTCTGGATGTATAAAGCGGTGCTACAATTCGGTAGATCGACACTGCATGGGAAGCACAATCTTCAATGTACTTGGTAGCGACAATCATGGCCGCCAAAAACAGCTTGTAAGGCGTGTCGTATTCTATAGGATGCGTTAATTACAGGCTCACCATCTTGTATGTCTGCAACTTACCTCCTTGAGCTTGATCAGGCAAGTTCTTCTTGAGTCTTTCAAGGTAGATGAGGCCGATCACCAAGACAGTGGGTGTGAGATGACATTTCTGATAGACGAGCTTGATGAATGTAGGCAAATCAGGAAGCAACATGTGTTGGTAGTATCTGCGTTCTTTTGAACACTGCACTAAATCATCAATATTGGACACCATGTAAGAAAGCAAAGGCTCAGGGCTTGATCTGAATGTCAAGGTTGGGGAAGCTGTTTCAGTAACCATCATCATTTTGAATTGTGTTTATATAAGTTGCTTATCAGAGTAATGATGATAGAAAAAGAGGGACATTCAAACTGAAATGTCGACCCTATTTATATCAGTTCGGTTCAGCAAAGAGCTCTCAAACAAACAAGATGTTAATGATCCAATTTTAGACATATTTTCTCTCTCTATTATGATATTTATGAAACGCTGTGCTCATAGAGAGATCATTTGATTAAGGGATCTGTCGACATTTGATTATATGAGTAAACAATCGTAGAAAAGAACCCGGTTCTTTATTTTCCAAGTAGTTAAACCGGCTGTATGCCATCTCTATAGAGCAAGGAGATGATGCCAATGATGATGGTGGAGCTACTTATACTGATGATGGTGATGATCCCTAGATTTTAATGATCGTTTCATTCAATGAAATCGTGTAGTGCATGTAAGAATATCATAGGATTTCAGGTACATGAACACACATGATACACAAACAAAAGGATTTGTTTTGCAGAAGTACGACGCGCCTTTATCGGAAAGCCCTTATCAAATTGTTTCATGTCTCTCTCTCTCTCTCCCCTTGTTTCCCTACACAGTGTGCCATACAAGAGGAGATCTCCTTTCTCGCTATAATATCTCAATTTTCGCGGTCGTTTAATAATTGGAATTTTGTCTGCCAAATTAATAACGATGAGTCAGTTTCTTACCACACTTTCATTTCATATTAAAAAAAAAAAAAAAAAAAAAAAAAAAAAGATTTTCCCTTTTCCACCCCTTGGATTGTTTTATTGCCTCTTGTCGACCATCTTTAAAACATCAAAAACATGTCTACACTTGAACAGCAGCTCGAGGCAACCTTAAAAAAACGACGTCAGATATCAAAGATCCGTAGATTGGTTGTAAATCCATCTGATGCCATCGATTTTAGCTCCAATGATTTTTTGGGTTTATCGCACAGCAATCACTTCAAGGCAGCGTACATCAAGGAACTGCATCAATTACCCACCGCATTGGGATCCACTGGGTCCAGATTGCTAGATGGAAATTCAGCCTACTGCGAGCAATTGGAGAAGAAGATTGCTAAATTCCACCATAGCGAAACAGCCTTGATCTTCAATTCAGGATTTGATGCCAATGCCGGCTTATTCAGTACAGTGCCTCAACGCGGAGATATCATTGTATATGATGAATTGATTCATGCCAGTGTTCATGAAGGAATGCGCATGTCGCGTGCAGCCAAATGTATACCTTTTCTTCATTCCAATGTGCAAGACTTTGAGCGCATCATTCAGACGGTGATTGCCGACTATCCTGGGAAAAACGTGTTTGTGGCCGTAGAAACTGTCTATTCCATGGATGGGGATATTGCCCCATTGAATGAGCTCGTTGCTGTGCTTCAAAAATACTGGCCCCATAAAGAAAACGGATATCTGATTGTGGATGAAGTAAGTACTATTTTGACAGCTTGGTTACAAAGAGATTCCGCATATTTAATTTAAAAAATCAAGGCACATAGTACCGGTGTGTATGGAGATCAAGGGCGAGGCGTTATTTCACAATTAGGACTGGAAAATGAGATATTTGCTAGATTGCATACATTTGGTAAAGCATTGGCTAGCAATGGCGGTATGTTCAACGGTCAGTGTGGATCCAATGCGTTCGATATACTGACCTGCATCTTACTGTAGCTGCTGTGCTTGGGTCTGAAACTCTGCGCCAGTATTTAATCAACTATGCTCGTCCCTTGATTTACTCAACCTTCATGTCATACAGCTCATTAGCCTCCATCAAATGTGCCTATGATGTACTTGAAAATGGAAATACTATACCCGTAAGCATTAAACAATCATGATGTGGATGGCGTAATGCACAGCAGCTCATCCGTGATGAATAGATCCAAAAGCATGTCCATGATATCATTCAGCGTTTCAGGGGAACTATTCGCCTACCCTCAGGAACGCTTCTGCCATCCTCCAGTCCCATCCAAGGCGTTGTATTGAATGGCAATGCCCCTGTTCGAGCATTGGCAGGCTATCTGAACAGCAAAGGCTTCATTGTAAAACCTATTTGCTCGCCCACGGTGCCCATTGGACAAGAGCGAGTCAGAATATGCCTTCACGGGCACAATACCATGGACCAAGTAGACAGCTTAGTCGATGAAATCCATCAGTTTTTTGAAATCAGCCCTTCATCATCATCACCATCACCATCAGTGGAGGCGGCCAAACTTTAAATCATGATGATTATTCATCATATCGACTATTTTAAAAGTTTTCTTTTGTTTTGTTTTACAACGATAAGATCACGACCTTTGTGCCTCTTTATTTCTACCATTCACACTGCCAATCTGGTTATTGGATTTTTATATTTTGCATGAAACCACAAGCACATACTCGCAATAAAATCACTTTTTTTTTTTTTTTTTTTTTTTTTTCGCTCATCATGAGTCTTGTGTGCACAATCAATAAAAGAATCACGTAATATGTTGATTCTGTATGTGAGTATTAAAACACAAATATTTACCCTTGTTGCGATCAGAAGTTTCAAGGATCTAGCCACAGACCATAGGATGATTTGGAACCAAAATCAAAAATTTAGCATTTGCAGCAGCAAGTGATCCGATAGGACAGCGAATGATGGGCTTTTTCTTACTATATATATAATTATACATCAATGCATGCATTACAAATATGATCAAATGCCTGGAATCTACCATTGGAAGATCAACAAAAAAAAAAGGATTGGATCGCCAAAGAGTATACATGTACTTGATCAAATATACCCCTATATAGTTTATTCTGTAGTGTATAAAGAAGCAAGAGAAACATGGCTGGTTTCACTACATGTACAGAGCATTGTTGGCTACAGCACAATGCACTGTACCTGTGCGTGTCCCACGTTTTATCTGTAGATGTTATTCGATGCATCTTATTTGAAATTAACTTGAAACGTGTACATGCGCCTGGGATCTCCGGGTGCTGAGGCTTTTATTATTGAATAGCACCATGTAATGCACACTGAATGCAATACAACAGAGATCAGCTTATATGCAGCAGGAATAAACTGAAGGCTCTAATCCACACGATACACATCTCATAATGTTTAATCTTGCAAATGCATATACACATTCTCACACTATATCAGCATGTAGAGAAGCCTTCGCCATCTTCCACAATCAATTTCTCGAGTATAAAAAAGAGAAATACTTACTAATTTGGGCAATATTTGCATGAGATTCAAACGGATGATGGAATGACTATCATTGCTAATTGCACCATCGTCTTTTACGCCAAAAATTAATATAATAACGTGCTACTTTCAAAACTCGAACTTCAAAATCGAAATTTAAAGAGAAATTATGAAAGTAAACTGTCTTGTGGATAGGATTAGGACGATGAGATGAGATGGAATCTTGATTTGAAATTTCATTTGATGTCTTCGCTAAGATTGCGTTATTTTTGTATACAGAGAATGCGCAATGCGCATAATCTTTTCGCTAACGATAGGCTTGAAAAGATGAAAGATGTCGAAACACGATTATCGGTTAACCTTTAGTACAATCCAAGTGGATGGTCAGTAAAGAAAAGAGGTTCAGCCAGCAAGTCTTTTTTTTTTTATCTACGACGACACGAATAAAAGCATGATATAAAGTGATTTAAAAAAGAATGACAGATTCCCAGTCCATAGAGCTGATGGGGTTTGCCAGATCCCAATTCATCCTGCGATAGCAAGTAACGTAATTCTTACAATTTAAGGACTGAAAAACTCGAGAGGTATTATACCATGACATTGTTTTCTTGAGACAGCAAGACTTTATAATGAATTGGTTTCCAGGTGCTTTGTTTTGAAGCTGTATTTCCCAATGGCTTATTTAATCAACGCTTTTTTTTTTAAAAAAAACATGCACCATTTTATCAGGGCTTATGTCTCAGTTAGTTGCTAAACCGTCAACATGTATTGTGAAAAAGGCCATCAGACCTGGTCATTTCTTTGTGGATATGATGGAGCAAGATGTTATTGACATTTCCTTGATTAGACTGTGAGTTAATTGCAATGTTCAACATATTTTGAATCTACAGAATAATAATGGACTAAATTACATTGACCTTATGATATTCCAGCATACAAATCCACACTGAAATTAGCTGTATTACTGTGATAACACAAGATGTGTTGATGAATTATGCAAATTGACATGCTACTCACCCTTCAGGTTGAGAAAGGCAACCCCTCTTTCATGACTCGTATTGTGACGATTTTGCACTTTTTTTTTTGCTGGATTGAAGAGACATCAAGTGTCAAAAGTTTTTCTTTTCTTTCAAATTCAACACACACAAATCAGCAAACTAAAATGGGAGCAAACGATGATTTCGTAATGACTATCGACGATGATGAGGATATCGTCATTGAGGAGGAAGCCATGGACATATCAGAGCCCGAGGAAGAGCAAAAGAAGGAGCCCATTGACAAAAAGACTGCAAAGAAGCTGAGAAAGCAGGCTAACAGAGACCAAAAGAAGGGTATCAAGCCAGCTGCCGTGGAAGAACAAAAGAAAAAGCAAGCTGCTAAAAAGAAGGAAGATGATTTTGATGAAGAGTTCACTTTCTCCATGGATGGCGGATTTGGACGTGCTCAAAATGCCTGGGATTTCTCAGCTGCTCGTGGCATGTTGAAGGGAAAGCAGGTACAGTATGCATGTAGCCACAGGCTGAAGTATATGTATTTATCTATTCTACATTAGGGTGATGCTGATAGAACTTCGATTGACGATATCATTGCCAAGAAGAGACAGGAAGCCAAAGAATTGAAAAAGATGGCCAAAAAGGGAAAGAAAGAGCCAGCTGCCGAGGAAGTAAAGCAAGACGAGGACAGCAATGAGGATGAGGATGACGAATTTGTTGGTGCTGACCAGGACGACGATGAAGAGGAGAACGATGAAGACTTAGCGCTCGATGGCTTTGGTGCAGGTGCAGAGAGAATCGAACAAGAGGAAGATGATGATGATGAGGACAGTTCTGACAGCGAGACAGAAGAAGAACTCACTGATGACGAAACTGAGGATGTGCAAGCCAACAGCGACAATGAAGCAGTAGAAGATGAAGCCGAGATTCAGGTAATTTGTGGATTTGCAACGGAAAGCACTGGTTTGATATTAACGCAGCAGCAACATCCATGTAGCGTAAGAAGGCATACTTTGCTGATGAATCAGAAGAAATCAGAAAAGAACATGATTCATTTGCCTCTATGAACCTTTCTCGTCCTATTCTCAAGGGTTTATCCAACGTCGGTTTTGTTAAGCCTACTGATATTCAAGCTCGTACGATTCCTATTGCTTTGATGGGTAAAGATATCTGTGGTGGTGCCGTTACTGGTTCTGGTAAAACTGCTGCTTTCATTGTCCCCATATTGGAGCGTCTCTTGTACAGACCTCGTCAAACACCTAGCACCCGTGTGTTGATTCTCTGTCCCACTCGTGAATTGGCTGCTCAGGTCCACAGTGTTGCTGTCAAATTAGCCAACCATACCGACATCACTTTTTGTCTCTGTGTGGGTGGTTTGAGTGTGAAAACTCAGGAACAAGAGCTAAAATTGAAGCCTGATGTCGTAGTTGCTACACCTGGTCGTTTAATTGATCATGTTCGTAATTCGTCTGGTTTCCATTTGGATGCTTGTGAAATTTTGGTCATGGATGAGGCTGATCGTATGCTGGAAGATGGTTTTGCTGATGAGTTGGGTGAAATTATCAAGGCTTGTCCTCGCTCTCGCCAAACCATGCTTTTCTCTGCCACCATGACAGACAATGTGGATCAGTTGGTGCGCATGTCTTTGAACAATCCTGTTCGTTTGTTTGTGGATCCCAGTAACCAAGCTGCTTCTCGTCTTATTCAAGAATTCGTGCGTATTCGTCAAACCCGTGAATCCGACCGTGCTGCTGTGTTGTTGGCTTTATGTAGAAAAACATTCAAAAAGAAGGTGATTGTGTTCTTTAGATCCAAAGCTGCTGCACATCAAATGAAGATTATGTTTGGTTTGATGGGTCTGTCTGCTGCTGAGCTCCATGGTAACCTGACACAAGAACAACGTCTGGAGGCATTGGAGAGATTCAGAGACAATGAAGTGGATTATTTATTGGCTACTGATTTAGCTGCCAGAGGTCTTGATATCAAGGGTATCGAAACTGTCATCAATTACAACATGCCTACACAATTTGCTCAATATCTTCATCGTGTGGGTCGTACCGCAAGAGCTGGTCGCAATGGTCGTTCCGTTACATTGGTGGGTGAAGCTGATCGTAAAATGCTCAAGATGGCCATCAAGTCATCTGTTGGCGCACAAGTCAAGAACCGTGTGGTGAATCATGAATTGGTGCAAAGATACAAGCAAAAGGTCGAAAGCTTAGGGCCTCAAATCAAGGAAGTATTGGCAGAGGAGAAGGAAGAGCGTGCTATCAGAAATGCGGAAATGCAATTGAAGAAGAGTGAAAATATGCTCCATCATGGTGCTGAAATCTATGCTAGACCTGCCAGAACTTGGTTCCAAACAGAGTCTGAAAAGAAATCAAATAAGAATGCTGGTAGAGCAGAACATCGTGCCAAGTTCGGTCTTGAAGATGCGGAAGCAAGCGTGGATACCAAACCTAAAGAGGTACGTATCCTAACCTACTGTGTATACGATGTATAGTGAACTGATTTGGATGTGGATCTATAGAAACGTGGTAAATACGATGGTATGAGTCGTCAAAAGAGAAGACGTTTACAAGCAATGGAAGAAGATGATGTGGAACAAGACGGCCGTATGCAAAAAGCAGCAGCTAGAGCCGCAAAGAAATCATCACGACCAGCTCCCATTACCAAATTGAGACCACAGAAATCCAATGGCAAGAAAAAGTCAAAGAAATAGATAGGCATAATATATTCACACCATAGACTATTTGAAAAATATACATTTATATATATAAAAACAGCCCTTTTGTATTCATAGTGATTGACATGACACATTGGATGACCCCCACATTTAGAATTCAGTTACCATGGCAACGGTGCTTTCGGAAGTGCTGCTTGACTATGCTTCATTGACATGTGTAATGCCCCTTCCATAGCATATCCAATGCTTCCAAACCCTCTCCAATACAAAATCAAACCTTTCAGACAAACATTCATATACTTTAATCAGTTTTTTTTTTTTTAATAATAATCTTTTTGTGTTGATGTATTTGTGATCGAGTCGTATAATTTGGCAAAATGTAGAAGGGGGTCGAGTTTTTGTAGTTGTATACACGTATATAAATATATTAGAAAGATCTCTTGTTGATTCTGCGTTTAGTGTTCGTGATGAGCAGCTTCTTCAGACTTGACATTATAACCGATCAAGTTTCTACGACCAACAATTTCACCAATGAGGAAAAAGGTATAAATTTCAGCAAGGACAACACCACCCTTTGCAACTTGAGAAAAGGTCAAGCTCTTGAGGTTCTTGATTTTTAAGGTGTTTTGGAGAGTTTGTTGAGCTTCGCTGAATTGTGCGCCGGTAGGGAAAGCCATACCTTCCTTGGTATAGACTTGCTTGGCTACCTCAACAGCAACCTTGGTGTTGTAGATGATGGGCTTTTGGAGAGCTGTAAATAGATGATTAGATGTTTGAACCATTTGACCGAATTGCACAAAATCACTTTACCAACAAACTTGTTGAGATATGCTTGGGCACAACCGATGAACTTGGAAGCCATTTTGTTTAATGTGTGTTGTAGGGTAAGAAAGAGAGAGAGGGGTGCTTCAAAAAGTTGAGGGGGGGTGTCCAAAAAAACTTTTGATGGCAGAGATGAGCTGGGATCTAGTCTGGATGGGCAAACAAACCCCCCCTTCTTGATTGCTACATCCCAGTGACGTCGTCGATGTGCCTTAAATATAGAGGATGTTGATGTGCTGGATGCTCTTCTTTCTCAATCTCAATTTATAATAATGTCAAAAATACTCTCTGGCATCAAGAACAACATCTACCCTGCGATTGCATTGATGATTATACCCTGCGGCTATTACATTGGCACTGAATTAAGAGAGAGAAACGATCTCAAGAAAGTGATAGCACAAACACCACAAGAGACAGAACAAGACATTGAACGCTTAAAACAGCAACTTGAGGCATTGAAAGAAGAACGTCAAGCAGTTCTTAGCAAGATAAATAAATGATGAAACACATCTTTCATCTGTCTTGTATGGGTAAATTAAATCATATTCACATATGATGATGCTTTTTTTTCCCTCCCCCCTATAAAACAAACAATTACACAACAGAAAAGAGCTTCAAGGTGTTCCCAAAGCGACTAAAAAGCTAATTGCTGATGGAGAAAGTACCTGTAATACCATAGTTTATCATTGCATTTAGCCCCTCATATATATCTCTAGATTTTCATAGACCTCCCTTCCAACTTCTCCTTTTTTTTTTGTTTCTTTCTCACTTTTTTTTCTCTTGATTAAAAAAAAAGAACCATGCTTAAGCAATCCCATACGACAAGGTCTATTGCGTCCTCCAAACGTAGCAATCTATATGATAAGGTTAGACAGGATTTGTTTGAGGACAATGCTCATCGTCACAAGCGAGAAACTGTGAAAACGCCATCCATCACAACCATTTGTTTACTCCAAGTCCAAGCATACATTATTCAAATTCTCACTAATTTACCAACATTTACCATCAAAAAATCACCAAATCAGTCATTGTCCATTTATTATCTGATCCAGCAAAAGAAGCTCTATGCAATCTCATATTTAAAATCAATCTTGATTCAGTGTGTACGCTGGTTTCTGCTCATTGTCCTCCTGCTGCTGGACAACATGGCTCGTATCCTAAATGTCGAGGCTGAAATGACTGACATTACCGCTCAAAAGGAACGTCCATTGATCCCGCAAGAACAAGATACGGAAGAGGACTATGATGATGATACCTACTCGACAGAAACTTACCATCATGATCCATGCGCAAACACAAAGCCCGTCAATAACGGAAGCTCGGAACCATCCTCACCGACTAAAAGAACATTGGTATCACCTTCCTCGCCTATCAACTCTCCCACTCCAAACTTTGTTGTGCGCAAAACCAGGCATTCTTTTACCAATGCGCCTACACCTACACCTACACCTACACCTGTATCCACTTCAGTAGTAGCAACAACAGCTACAGAGGAATCGCCTGTCTTTGGTCCTGCGCGCACTCGTGTAGGTCACATCAGATCGCTCTCCAACAACATGGTTGATCAAAAGAAGCCCATGTCACCACAAAAGCTGCGCCGTATTACAGCACAAAGAGAAATCACTCTTCAGAACGGCATCTTACCCATTGTCCCTAAAAAGAGCAACCACGCTCATCATCATCATCATCATCATCATCATACATCTAAGAAACCTCCTGTTTCAAGTTCAGTGGCATCCCGCTCATCATCTGAATCGAGCAGCACTACTAAAGAAACGCACGACAGACCTCGAATGCAAAAGACAATGTCATTATCCACAGCTCAACAGTACCAGAATGAGGTAAAGTGTGTCTGGTTGGGACAATATGGAAGAAGCTCACAAGAAAAAAAAAAGAACAATTAATCTTTATACCAAAAGTTGAATAGTGTAGCAGGAGTAAAAAATCCTCTATTAAAACGACACCAAGACCCTACGAACGATGTTGTTCAGCGTGTACAGCATCAACACTAAATTGAATACGTATATCTATTATTTGAATAAATAAAAAAAAAAAAAAGCCCTCTATTTGCATGTCGTTAGTATATATATCTTTCTACTTGTTTTGCCACAACACTGAGAACAAGGCTGATTTGCGCGCCTTCAATTGACACTGTAATAGGGGCCATGAATTTGCCCTCAAGGTGTGAACATCTCCAACAGTTTTATATTTAAGGTTACATCAATTAATTTACTACTACTTGACGAAAAGAGAGCCTGAATTAATAGGGGAATTTATAGCTATCGATAAAGAGACAAACGGGAGAAGATGGAATTCTTTTTCTCTTCCCCCCTTTTCTTCTTAAACATTGTTGCAACAACAGCATGCTTGCCTCATCATCGTCCTCAGCGACTACCAATGCATCCACTGCCACTATCTATGCCATTTGGGATAGCTTCAAGAACAAACGCACAAACACAGAATTGTACAGTGAGAATGCAGTGGTCATGTATGTACCTACCTCTGTTGGTGTTCGAGGAAACACACACATCCGCAAGTTCTTTTTGAATCCTCAGTTCTCTGAAAAGGTCAATTCGGTGCAGGAAATTGTTTACAACACGGTAGCATCCAATAACAGATTGATTGAAGAGGCTACTTGGACAATCCACTTTTATACAGGTGTATGCAAATGGCTGGTGCCTCAATTAGACGAGAGATATTTGGTAATGTTGCAATTAATGAAATCTACAGTGATTGGTTGTACTAAATGTAACTGTGATTTAAGATGAATGCAACCATCAAGATTCCTGTTGTAGGTTATGGTATGGAGATTGCTAGATGAATGTTTCGGTAACCAGTTAAATTTAGACTACGTCAGTTGCCTTTGACAAGGCCGACAACAAGATTGAATCCATTCGATACACTTGGGATCAGGCATCTGTCTTGAAGCAATTGAAGGTAATTTCAGAGAAAGTACAATGGCCAGTTATTGGGGAGCAACAAATTGAAGCACTTCGATCTCCACAAACAATTCGTTTAACTGGTCTAAATGCTGAGGAGGTGAATGTGGATCATCATCAGGTACATCATTTGAATTCCAAATGCTGAGAGAGAGAGAGAGAGAGGACAGGCGTACTCATTGTGTTTTCTGATTAGACTCAAAAAGAGCAACAGCAAAATCAATTTAGTAAGTCTATATATATATATATATATGCAGTGAAATATGATCCAAGCATGAATCTCATCCACGTATTCAACCTCTAGTGCCTGGCAGAATTTTCGGCCCTGTTGATCCCAAAGATCAAGTGCGTAGCCCAGTGCGTCATGCAGAGCCCAATGCTCCTCCTGCTCGCAACATATTTACCTATCAACCACCCACTGAACGTCCACTTGTTGCACCTACAAACAAGCTCAATTCATCCTTCTCCTTTACACACGATGATGGAAGCAGCACCATCAACAAACTGAGCTCCACGTTATCCAATACAAACATATCGCAATCCAAGAGCATGCCTGCTGCTGGCAAAGTTACTCCCAAAATCTCTCGTAACATCATTGGATAACGTGATTTTTCAAATAAATAAAAGGATATCTCTATATGCGTTTTATTGACTACTGTTGTTACTGCCGCTACTACCTGCACTTGGCTCTGTTGTCAGCAGGATTTCTGCTGCTCGATTCAAGTCGGATTTGGAGGAGACTAAAGCGTTTTTGATATCTTGTCTTGAGTAGTTGGGAAACATGGCAAACATGGTATCAATGTCTTCTTCCTTGATAGGTGGAGTTGGCGGTGGTGGAGGAAGGCGTGATGAAGGCACATGTCTTTGTCTCGTTGCGGATGACGAGGAGGAGGCGGTGGTAGTAGATGACTGAGCAATACCAGGTGTTCTAGTCAATGTAGAGGATTTCTTTTTGTTGTTTGTGGCTAATACAGGTAGAATGTATTTAGTAGTAAAAGATCGAGTCCATTTAGGGAAACGCCATTGCTTGATTGAATCTGTCATGTCGTATAAAGCGCCTACTGCTAATCCACACATCGATGGAATGATGGAGGATGATGAATTGGAGAGCAAGAACTGTTGTTTCTTAGTATAAGCATGGTATACGGCCCTGATGATAAAGAAGTAGGATCTTACCTGTGCTGCAGCAGCGTAAACGTAGATTTTGTCACTTAGAGTTGCACCGAGCATGCTGACTTGATAGCTAGCAGGAATTATTTTTTGATATTGATATAAAATGGAGAATAAAATAGCGTATCTATCATATACACACTGTGAATATCCTATTGCCAAATCGACTCTTCTTTAATGCACTTACGGTCCACTGGCAATTGACTTGAATCCATATCTTGAACTCACCGCTAATACGCTTGTTTGTAGTAATGTAGACGCGACAAACGAAATAAACACCAAAGCCTATTCACAGACGAGTCAGCGTAAAGCAACGCAAAAATGACCATGATACATACAGCATATCGAGCACTTCCATAGCGTCTCTCAACAACCTTCATCTTATAGATCAACCATGTGCCAACAACGGTTGTTCCAATACTACTAAAAGCCCAATGCGACGTGAACAATCTCCACACCTACACACAGTCATAAGTCAACTATGCCTCCCATTCACTTTGATGGTCGTCTTGTACCTGTCCGTTTTCGATGCCAAGATGAGATAGTTGAAGTGCCATGTGAGGCTTGAGGTTGCATGCAATGGCTAGAGCTGAGCAGCTGCCTACTACAGGTACTAAAAACTTGGTTACAGGTGCATTTCTAAAACCTACGAGTTGCAAATAATGCGTATGATTGAATAACCAGTATGGTATTTCTTGATATCGATGGTTACCTGAAGGTCCATCAGCATCCATTTTGTTTAATATATCTAAGGGCTTGATACAGCTTGACTATCTATCGGCTGAAAATTTGTTTACAAAAGTGAAAGAAAAGAACAAGAATTTATATCGAGGTCGGCATCCTTATTTCACATTGTGCATATTTGAAGCTGGGCTCAAACATATTCACCATCATCGTTTGTTGGACAACGTTGAATCAGGTGGATGCAATACACTTAAGAAAGTTGCTAAATAAAAATCAGCTTGTTGAATATACACATCTACAATGGGATTAAGAAGCTTCATCAAACTGATTAACTACACTTCGCACCAAGATTCACATTTGGATAGGGAATTTGCAACGCTTTAATCTGTCAAATAGAATAATACAAAGCAAAGACAAAAACAAATAGCCAGCGCAAGCTAGGGTACTGCCATAGCTCGCACTGACTACTCGATTAGCTTCAACAGCATTGATTACCTTCATGATGAGGACATCATTTATCCAGGCAGCAGCAAGCAGCCGGCCTAAATCGGTTAAAAGTCAGCTTGCAATACTGGCCCGATTCGTTGATTTTAGATCAGTTTGCGACTTGATTAATCTACTTTGCTCGATTCGACTATATGAAAAGTAATAATCACCAAATGCCTCCTTAAGCGTTCTTGGAGTACTTTTCAAGGCAAATCTAATGATGTTACTTATGCGTGGTGTTTTAAAGAAGCTTAGTGAGCAGTCATGGAAAATATGAAATAACATGTTGGGCCAAAATGTCGAAATTTTGTGTATCAAGGTCCAGTAACAGTGGTATTAGGAGTTGCTTTGGATCGAGAGAATCATTTTGATAGCATATATGCTATAGTAAACGTCGTCATTTTTAAGGTCAAAAAACGCGATCGTTTAATTTTCGATGAAAACCATGAGGTACCCCTCATACTTTTTGGTCGATTTTTGGCCATGTTTTTTGGGTTCTCAAAAAGTTGAGCAAAGATGTCAGTAAGTAGCTGCTAGATGAGAGCAATTGTTTCGTGCTATTCTGACAGGCTAAAGCGGTTTCTAGCACGATAAACCGCTGCTTGAATGCATTCAAATCTCACTGTGATTAGCTTACTGTTGGGGTATCAAGAGGCAACATACGTATATTGTCTGTATTCAGGTGAATCGTTTCCATTATTGCAGGCTGGGGGGGGGGGTATCACAGAAGAGTCAAATCTAGAGTAGCAGATTGTATGTGGAGGATTTTACGTCGTAGTAGAAAGCGACTGAGCAATAAACGATGGACATTCAGTGAACATCTAATGTATTCAAGGCAATTTTTAACAGTGGAATCAACTTTTTGTTTGCTTCCAAACTGGACTTGGATGATGTGGATCTATTTAAACAAAGAAAAAGGACCATCCATGAGAGAGAAATCAGCAGCTATAAAGCGTTATTCATCCTTGATCCGTGTGCATCCAAGCCAGCATTTGCAAGTTCCCTGCTTTTTTTTTTTTTTTTTTTTTTTTTTTTTTTTTTTTTTAACCATGGCAAACTTGCCTTATTTAGAGTTTGAATTATGCTGCTGGCTTACCGCATTTTCTCCCCTTCTTTTTCTCTCACTCTTTATATTTTTTTTTTATACATCCTCTTAGGAAAAATATCATGAACTTATCAAGGACTTCTCCCAGCTTAAATGATGCGCCTGGCCTGCTATATGCTGGATTCAACCAAGATTACGGCTGTTTCGCAGTTGGTCTTGATAATGGTTTTCGAGTCTACAATTGCGAGCCTCTGATAGAGCAAGCAAGAGACGGTAAGAGGAGCTCATTCTGGGCAAGTAGAATGACATGGCAACTCATGCGTGTGTGAATTTCATAGAATCGGATGAAGGCGGCATTGCACTCGTAGAAATGCTGTATCGTACAAATTACCTAGCACTTGTGGGTGGAGGCAGAAATCCAAGATATCCACCCAACAAGGTGATCATTTACGATAGTGTGAAAGGGAAGCCAGTGCTAGAATTAGAATACAAGAGCGAAGTGAAAAACGTCAAACTACGAAGAGACAGGTAAAAGCCTCACACCGACTCTATACGCTGCTATTTATATATACGACATGTTAAACGCTGTGTGTGTCCATAGACTGACTGTAGTGCTGCAAAACAAAGTATTCGTATATCATTTTGCTTTACCACCACAACTATTGCATACATTCGAAACATGTGACAATGAAAGAGGTAACATGCTTCATTCTTGCTAAAGTATGATTAAAAGCTAAATCCTATCTGTTCAAAAGGCCTTGCAGCAGTATCCACATCGCTAAATCATGCAATACTGATCATTCCTGGTCGACAAAAGGGACATTTACAGATCATTGACTTGAACTCGCTAGGCTACTACATATCCGTAGGCGAATCAGATCCTTTATTCACAGCAGTACCTACACCCAATAACACCAGTAGCAATACGAGAAGATCGATCAACGTGAGTATTATAGCAGCACATTCAGGCAAACTGAGCTGTTTATCGCTGAATCAAGACGGATCCAGATGCGCGACTACGAGCGATAAGGGGACATTGATCCGAGTATTCAATACTGCAACTGGCATACTATTGCATGAACTACGACGTGGTATGGACAGAGCAGAGATATACTCCATCGCCTTCAACACAGAATCCACTCGCATCTGTGTCTCATCAGATAAAGGGACAATACACATCTTCAACTTGGATCCATCTGTTGTAACGCATGTAGATCATAAACCTCGTGGCCCAACCTATGGTGAGGTGGTTGACTATCCAGCTGAATCAGCTACCCACTATGGCTTGACGACTACGGGGAATAGAGGCAGTGCGCTCAGTTTTATGAAGGATTTGCTGCCAAAATACTTTAGTTCGGAGTGGAGCTTTGCTAATGCAAAGATTGCGACTGAGAGTAGGTGTCTGGTGGCATTTGGAAATCAAAAGAATTCATTCACAGGTAAAGCCATGCCTTTGCAGCTTGAAAAAAAAAAAAAAAAAAAAAAAAAAAAGTGGTCTAATGCAATTGTGTCCTAGCTATTTGTGCTGATGGCAGCTGCTACAAGTTTTACTTTGATCCAAGAAAAGGTGGCGAGTGTATAAGGGAGTCCTTTGTGCGTTTTTTGAAGCGAGATTAGTGCGTGTTGTAGTCACTTGAGTAGGCTACATTCGTTTACATACACCCCACTCTATCTCATACTAAAATAAAACTGCAGTGCTCATACAGCTTGTTTTTTTTTTTTCTCCATTCAATCAGACATAAATAATGGATGTAGGTGTCGAAAGTCGTCGTCTATTCAGCTTGTGTTTATTGATGTGTATCTAGTACGACTATCAAAATACCAACAATGATTCTGATTTCGTAACGTAAGAGCCGAGTCATTGCAGCCACTTGTTTGCCTATTGACCGTTTGCTGTAGAGAGACATTGGACGATCAAGTGTTGTCGGATAAACCTCGCATTCTGCTCATGGGGTTACAGAGGTACTCAAAAGATAGCACAGACTATGAAAAGTACACACACGCTGACAAGAGCCCTGTAGAAGCGGAAAATCCAGCATTCAACGTGTAGTGTTTGGTAAAATGCCGCCCAACGACACTTTATACCTTGAAAGCACAACAAAGATCCAAAAGGAAGACATAACGTAACTATACCAGACAGAGTCGCTTATCAACTTGTGCGTATTAAACACATGGCTTCATAGTCGATCTTTTATTGATTTTCAGATTTGGGATTTCCCTGGGCAAGTCGACTTTTTCGATGAAATGGCATACGATCCACAAGACATCTTCGGCACTGTGGGCGCATTGATTTTTGTGATTGATGCTCAAGATGATTACAACGAGGCGTTGCATAGACTATTCACTACAGTCACTAGTGCTTACAGAGTCAATTCCAACATTACATTTGAAGTGTTGATTCACAAGGTAGATGGTTTGTCTGATGACTACAAGATTGGTAAAGAGTACAGACAGACAGGAATGTATACACACACACACACAGAGGCTGACGGCAATGATAGATACGCAGCGCGATGTCCAGCAAAGAATGAGTGACGCCTTGGCCGATGCTCAATTAGAGTACATTCACTTGACCTACTACCTCACTAGCATCTACGATAATTCCATCTACGAGGCCTTTAGTAAAATCATCCAGAAATTGATCCGAGAATTACCTACATTAGAAAACTTGCTCAACGTCTTGTGCTCGGTAAGGATAGGTAAACTGTATGATAAAACGACACAGACGTCTCATGGGTTTATTGATAGAATTCGGGCATTGATAAAGCATATCTCTTTGACACATTAACAAAGATTTATATCGCCACTGATAGTTCGCCTGTGGATATGCAATCCTATGAGTTGTGCTCGGATATGATTGACGTTTGCATTGATGTGGAGTGCATCTACGGGTATGTCATCTAGTCATATGGGCAACAGTGGTTGTAACTTTTCAAAGTAGCGCTCAGGGGAACAGTCCAAACGATCTGTCATTATCAGTTACACCTGATCGTAGCAACAACATGTTGGATGGCCAGCACACACCCGTATCGCTTGATCACCAAAACGACCCGGCAGACAGTGAGAGCCTGGAGCGAAGATTGTTAGAGCACCAAAACGAACAACAGCAACAACATGTTACTACAGCAAGCTCAGAGGCCGAGGCTTCCAGTTTGATCAAATTAGACAATGGCGATGTTCTGTACATGAGAGAGGTGAATCGATTGTTAGTCCTGATATGTCTCTTGCGTCAAGACAACTTTGAAAAGCACGGCTTGATTGATTACAACTTTCAGTGCTTCAAGGAGGCAGTTACTGAGGTTTTTGAGTTCTCGAGGAAAAGAAATACCCAACAGCAGCAACAGCAGCAGCAGCAGCAAGATTAAGTGGGATGAAAATAGCCAAATAAAAGGATGTTTATTGATTGATATATATATATATATGTGCGTGTGCGTGTGCGTGTGCATTTGCTTGTAAGAGAGTGGAAGGGTAGTCATGGGGATAGCTCTATATGGAAAATAAAAAAAAGGGAAGGGGGGCAGCATTTAGAGAAGAGGAGGATGTGCTTATTCAAGGTCGAAAGAAAGGTGATATGTTCATAGAAAAAGTGATGCGGTTGTGTTAATAAACAGGATAGATTTTTTTTTTGTTTAGTTGTTGGCAAGCACCATGGAGTGTTGAGCACCAGCAGAGACACGAATGACCTTGTGTCCTTCTAATTTTTGGCCAGTCAACTCAGTAGGAACAGGCTCATCATCGCTGGAACCGTTGCCCAAAGCGTAACACTCACCAAAGCCCCAAGTGTATGCTTTACCAGAGGAAGTAGTGGCAACAGAATGGTTTGTACCAGTAGCAATTTGCACAACATTTTCCAAGGAAGGGATGCGAGTGGGGATACCAACAGCTCTCTTGAAAGCAGAGACCTCAGATCCCTCTTCACGAGTCTGGTTCTTTTCAATCAATTCATTAGGCAAGCCCAATTGATTCGAATCAGCACGGCCAAATGCATACACACTACCGTCTTCCATCAAGACAAGCGAATGATGCTCACCGCCTTGAACAGCGATAATATTACCTTTGCCTTCAAGACCTTCAACCACAGTGGGCTTTGTAATGACATTGGCGGCAGGTTCGTTATCGTCCTCTACAGCGAGACCACATTGCTGGAAGTTGTTGAGACCCCAAACGTAGAGTGTGTTGTCATGAGAAACAGCGAATGAGTGGTAAGAGCCGGTGCCGATTAATTTGATGTTCTTCAAGTTGAGGGCTTCAGGGCGAAGACCGTTGATCAAATGGCGTTCCATGATACGACGACCCAATTGAAATTGCTGACCGTTACCCCAAACAAACACACGCCCATCTTTAGTCAATGCTAAACAATGATCTGTACCAGCTGCAATGTCGGTAATAACGTATTTGGCAAAGGGTTCGAAAATAGCAGGCACTTCTTGAACAGCCTTGTTGCGAGAGAAACCCAGAGGTCCTTCAGCGCAACGATATGTACCCCAACAGTAGAGTTGTCCTTCTTCGCTCAATGCCATGGTGACGGAATCACAGCATGCTACCTTGACAATCTTGACATGATCCATGTTCTCCACCTTTGCGGGTTCATACTCTTCACCGGATCTACCTAAAGCACGTTGATCATTGCAGCCCCAAGACCACAACTTACCAGAGGGTCAGTCGCCTTTGTCGACCTGCCAATAGTGATGCATTGCTGCTGTTACTTACCTTTCCGTCTTTTGTAATAGCAATGGAATGCATACCGCCAGAAACAACGTCTACAATGTCCTCATCGTCGAGCACCTTGAGTGGCATAGGTCTCTTACGCTCCAACATGTCTTCGCCCAAGCCAAGTTGGCCGGTATCACCGGTACCAAACACGAATACTTTACCAACAGCATTTGGTGCCTTGACGATTTGGTTAGCGACAATGTGTCTTCTCTTTGAACTAGCATTGTCAGTGGAGCGAGTACGCTTGACAGCTTCAGGCGATGCCTCGGCCATTTCGATGTCTGTATTGTGTCTCTTCAAAGGTGCTACAATAGACAGCATGTTAATTTCGTGTTTCTAGTGTGTGACATGATATAATTACTTACACATTGTTTAAATTCTGTTATATCTCGGTGGATTATAAGTTATAAAGAAAGAAAAGAAAGAAAGAAGCTTGTTAATTCTTTGTAATCCTGCTAAACTTTATAGATATAATAAAATGGGTTCATTTTTTTCGTTCTGGAAGGATTACAGCACTAAGGAAATCGAGTCACAAAGTAATGTAGTTTTTAAATCATGAGAAATCCCATTCATTGTTCATGCCATTGATCCGCAGCTTCAGATATAGGCGAAATCTCCATTTTCAATAACAAGCCCGTCTAGATAGCGTGGAAAAAGCTTGGAAAAATGCTCTCTGTGATCCGTTGGTAAGCTCTTTTTTTTTTTTTTTTTTTTTTTTTCAGGCACACATCCAGGCCAATGCCCCATGTAGATCTTCTACTCACTTAAATGTTGTCAGTGTGAGCCCTTAGCCTTCGCAACTGCAGCCAATGCGAACGATACCTGCCTAAGCTTTAACAAGGCGAGCAGTAGTGTCTTACAGGAGTATGTCATATCAACAAAACGATCCACAAATGTCAACATCCAATGTCAAACGCAGTCCATTCGTTTCAAATCAGATTGGAGATTCATAAAAATTTGCTCCAGTGCCATTGGCAGGGTTTGTGCTAACTGAATAGGATATGAATTGAGGGGTATCGCAGAGAGCAGAAATATTCTTTTTTTCTTTTTTTTTTCTTTTTTTTTTCTTTTTTTTTTCTATCCATTTCACAGCTATATATATATAAGATGACCTCCTTCTATGATGAGGTAAGAGTCTATAAAACCGCAAAATGAGGATTATTGTTAACATTCTCTCTACTAGATTGAGATTGAAGACATGGAGTTCAATGAAGAAGAGCAATTATACACATATCCATGCCCATGTGGAGACAAGTTTGAGATCTATGTCGTAAGTAGCATCCCACTGGCTTTCTAGTACTGCCATACTAACATCAGTAAAGGATGATTTAAGGGATGGTGATGATGTTGCTCGATGCCCATCTTGCTCACTGATCATTCGAGTGATTTACGATCCTGATGAATTTGCCGACGAAGAAGATGAAGATGGAGAGACGACATATGAAGTGGATACAAGCATCATTGTATCTTGAAAGAAGCATCGCACGAATTCAAAAAAGCATTTTTATTACATACCAATACTGATTTTATTTTCTTTGTACATTTTCAAATAAATCAAGAAACCACACACACACTGATCACATACTTGAAGAGGCAGGGTCTAATTTGGTACGCTCATCAGCAAGTGTGTGGTAATCCGCAGCCTCCTGATCAATCTTCTGCTTCAAATTCTCGTATTCGTTCTTCTTGCTCTGCAATGCTACAACCTCACTTTGAAGTGATTTGATCTTGTCTTCGTAGGATCGCTCCATTTCCAGCAACTTCTTTTCATCTTGCTTGGAAGATTCATGTTCAGACTTTGCATGTTCCAATTCCTCTTCATGCTTCAGCATGGCAATGACCAAGGTGCTTGTGCGCTCGAGAATCCTGCACTCATGTTAGATGACATTGAGAGCGAGTGGAGCTCATGTTTACTTACAATGACAAAAAGAGAGTGAAGCCAGTCAAATAGAGGTTTCTTTGGGCATAGAATTTGCGAGCCTTTTGACTTGCTTCGTAACTGTAATCATGGTAGGGACGACTAGCATCGTCAGGTTGCTCGTCTTGGTCAATACGTTGCAAACGGTTCACAGCATCTATTGACACACATATCAACATCCAATCCCACTCACAAACTCTCTCTCTCTCTCTCGAGACTATGCCTCTTTACCAATAAATAACACAAAAATAAAGCTATGAAATCATTCGTTAATATTTGTGATATATTAGCCAAACAAAAAAAAAAAATCAAACTTACCCAAAGACAATCTTGAGGATTCTTACAGCCTTGGCGACCTAATATTTATGAGCGTTCCATGATGTCAGTGGGCGAGAAATCTCATTATTTTGATTTCAATCATACCATTGGAGATCCTGATACAAATTTAAGCATTGCTCTGCGCCAGCGAGAAGGGAAAGGGAACTAGAGCGTCAACATGCATAAGGCGCCTGTACCGTTTCTCTGAGCACACAACTTACCACAAGGATGCCAAACGAGAGCATCTACAGAACGAGCAGGTTAAATTTATGCGCCATCTTTTATGCCGTCAACACAATACCTCGAGCACCAAGATGAAGAAGACTGTGGTATAGTAAATTGTCATTCTGGATATATAGGTTGCAAGAAAAAAAAAAGAGAGAAAAAAAAAAAGGATAGAAACGTGAAAATGAAACCTTTTTTTATACACCCACAAAATAAAATCGCGCGCTATTGCTCAACAAACCGAAAACAAGGCACATACACACAAACACATGAAAAATGTCGTATTATCAATTGTATATAAGTTTTTTTAATTCAAAAAAAAAGAGGTTGTTTTGTATAATTTTACATATCATCATCACTAGCAGCAACAGCATCACCTTCGTCTTCATCACCACTAACGAGCTCGTTCTCCTTCTCTGCTTGTGCCAACAAGGCAGCGAAATCTTTATCATCAGAATCGGATACCAGTTTAGCTTCCTTCTCAACCTTGAATTTGGTCCAAGCATGCTTATCCAATTCTGTCTTTATTGCCTCAATACTCTTCTCAATAATATCAAAACCGAGCTTCTTATCCAAAGAATCGACAGTGACAACGTAGAAGGGTGCAGCCAAATATGTAATCTTGATGGGAACTTCCTCTGAACCAACTGATTCACCTGCCTTTAAAGCAGCCTTGATGGCATTGACACCATCGATACCAGTACATCTTAAATCAAGTTCTGCCAACAAGCGTGAGTCAAAAGCAGACATGATTTTGCTGACACACATTTATACTTACGGGCACGGATCTTGACGGGATGAGGAGTCATTCTACGCTTGATAATTGACAATAATTCCTTTTGGACGTCATCAGACATGGAGATGCCGGCAAAGACAGCTTCAGAATCACTGTTACAAGCCATGTTAGATCTCTCGTCTGCAATCTCTTGACTCTCATTATGCTTACACAATAGCCATCTTAAAGGCATCATAAGCATGGCCAAACTTCTTGTACAAAGGCCAGCCAATGGCCTCGTATAAATCTTGAAGAGGCATGTCGTTCTTCTCAGCAACGTGACGCAAAATGGAATGAACAGCCTTTGACTTGTTGTATTTCTCTTCACATTTGATGATATCTTCGGGAGTGACACGACGCTTGGATAAATCAATGTAACCTATACGTTGTAGGTATATGTATAAGTCGACTATGCCATATAACGAAACACACGCGTGCGCAATCATCTAACATTACCCTTCTCTTCATCAACTCTGAGAACAACAACAACTTCATCTCTGCCAACACGAATCAACTTTTGGACTGAACGGATACGTCTTCTGGATAATTCAGAGAGCAAGATCATACCCTCTCTGTCTCCGTATTCGAGCTTTTTGTACATGTTAGTCTATTGTTTAAGCTAGCCCATACACAACTTACAAGTTTAACATAAGCACCCATATCGGCAATTTGACGAACGTTGACCATGACAACATCGTCAACCTTGGGAAACTCGTTCTCGTACATGCGACAAAAAAACTTGTTGTCAGCCATCTTTGTATATGCTTTTTTTTGTCTAATTTAACTAACAAGAAGAAAAGGAAGAAATACAAAAGTGCAAAAAAAACTTGGGTGTGATGAAAATTTTTTGAGGCTTTTTGCGCGGAGTTGGCCCTCCATCAAGAGGTTTGGCATCAGAGAAGCTGCGGTAGGCAGTAAACTTGGTAGCAGAGGCACATGAGCTTGATGCTTGTACCAACATCTCGGCATGGGATAGGTTAAGAATGGCATGGGGAGCGTTAGAGTCACTTTATTGAGTCTGGCAGTCAAGTCATTGCTCATATCTCCCGTATCATTAGCATGTACACTGGTATCATTGCAAAAAAAAAAACATCTTTTATTGTATTAAACTTGGATTTCTGTTCTATGTCAAAACGAGAAAGAGAGGTATATGGAGAAAATCCAACATCTAGATTGCTTCATCACCTTCTAGTCCATGTATACCGAAATCCAAGACAATCAATTGAGTCTTATGCTCACTGTAAACATGTTAGTGTCTGCTCATACGCTACGGACAAAATACATTACTTTTTAACAGCTGCTATACATCTTCTTTCATCAAAGCACACTCTCCATACGCCCGCGACATCTTCAATGAGATCATACATGAGTTCTCCCGTCTGTGTGTCCCACATTTTTACGCCGCCTTCAGAACCAGAAATGATCTTATACTTGTCATGCTGAAATGATGTGATGGGTCCTTGATGGCCATTAGTTCCTGCTAAAATATGAAGACGATCTCCATTTGAGGGGTCCCAGATTCTCAGAGTGGCATCTGCAGCTGCACTCACCAGGCAGTCGTCCACTAGGCCCAACAGACCTACTAGAATAGCATGTCCTGTGCAATCAACTGATCAGCGTCTACACTGGTTTAAATGCCAATGATGTGTACCTTGTAATACAAATTTACATTCACCGTCATCAATGCCCCATATCCTCACAGATGCATCCAAACTGCCACTGATACAATGTCGACGCTTGGGATCAATAGCCACACAATACACCTTCATGGTATGGCCCTTCAAAATGTGCATCTTTCTGCCGGTATCCAAGTTCCATACAATCACATTGTTGTCATAGCTGCCACTCACTAAAATGTTGCCGTAGAGAGCCAAATCCCGCACAGAATGCTCATGCTCAACCAGCTTGTACTTGAGGAAACGCTGTGATATCACATCGTTTTCTAAGCATGTCGACAATGGCACCTCTGGCTCCTTTTCGAGGTCAGGCAATCGCCACACACGGATGGTCATGTCTCTGGAGCCACTGACAATGATCGGCTCACTGGGTTCCATAGTAACCGAGCCATCGGGATTGACAATCTTGGTGGGCATGACAATTTTGAGACAGCGCACCGTACTGGAATGACCTCGCAAGATGAATCGACATGTACCCTTTTCAATATCCCATACACGAATGGTTCTATCAATGGATCCGGTCACCAAGGTATTGCCAACATACTGCAAGGCCCAGACTCCGCCATCATGGCCATTGAGAGCACTCTTCAACTTGCCGGTTTTGATGTCGTACACATTAATGCTATGATCATCTGATCCAGTAATGATTTTCTCGTCGTCAAACTGCAAGCAAGTCACCAAATCCTCTTCATGGCCTTCCAGCAGCATTTTGTGATGCAGGTTTTGACGCCAGTTCCGTCGCATGATGGTGTGGCGACGCACAATTTGCCTGTAGTCGCTTTGTAATGTCTCTGTTGACGTAGGTACGAAATCCAATTGCTTCATTTTTAATTTCCAAACCTCCGAAGCATTGTCAATGAGATGTTTCCAAGAGTGATTGACACCCGATGCACGGCACAGGGATCGAATGTCCAAGTAAGAGAGAACAATCTCTGCAATGCTTTCAGGCAGGCTGGTCACAATGTCCTTTTTCAAGGCTTGCATGATAGTAGCATTGGCCATACGCAGGGCATTTCGAGGAGACCGTTTGAGTAATTGAAACATGAGGTAGGTCTGGATGTTATCTGGTAGTGTATCAAACATTTCAAATAACGAAGATGTGTCGAGCAGTGTTAAATTAGTAGTGGTATTAGTGAGGTTGGTAGTAGCAATAGTAGTAGGAGTTGTATTATCGGTTGTGGGGGCTGTATTCATAGGATCGTCGTCCTCTTGTTCATCATGATGTTGCCAAACGTCTTGATGATCTAAATCAGAGACAGGCGATGGAAGCGCAGAGTTGGGGCTATCAGGTATAATATCGACCATAGCATCTGTTGGAGCATAAGAGGGTCCAGGTGAATATGCGCTGTTTGCTGGTGCTGGTATTTGTAAGGCGGTATTGTTTGTTTGGTCTATTTCTTCAATATTCTCTAATTCTGTTCGTTTGTAACTTCTTTCGTCATCCCAAATAGAGGCTGATCTTTTTCTGGCTGCAGTTGCCTATAACATGTTTGTGTTTGATCAGCCTGAATCACTCGAATTGAAAGCTTGATGTTTACCTGTATTTCTTCAAAAACACCATGCTTTTCATCCACTTTGAATGTAAATTTCTTGATGGCATGTGGAGTTGTAATATTAGCTAGAGGGTATAAGTCAGGATTCAAAGAATACGGTGAGTCAAAATGGAGCTGAGGAAGAATGGTTGCATTGGAAGATGAGGCCTCTGTGTGAGCAAGACGAGTCGTATGCTGTTGATGCTGTTGTTGAGCGGTGGTATTTGATGGATGTCTGTTTGGAGATGGCAAAGGTGATGATAACTGGAGTTCAGCAATAGTTAACGGTACACCTGGTGCACTTTTCATACTGTGTATTGATTACAAGAGAGAAAGAGAGAGAGAGAGAGAGAGAAAATGATTAAGGAGAAGGCTGTATATAAAAAGGGAAGGGGTCAGAATTTACACAAAAGAGAACAAAACGAGTAGAATATGGTGTGTACTTATGATATTTATATTTGATCGAAAGTTGAATTTCTGCTTGCAAGATACACCAATGAATGGGAGCATGTAGTAAGAGTGACACAAGCAAGCACAATATAAGCTGATATTATTTATGTGGAGTCCCAATCGAATGTAGCATACAGAATGTCTTTGAAGCATATATATATCCGTAGACCACGGGCCGAAGCATGGCCAAAAGAGGTCTATTTCAGGAGCGATTTAGTACTGCAGATCCATCTGTGCAAGTGTATGAGCCACGAGATGGGCATGTAAATCCACATTAGCAACAGTAGAAGCCAAAGCCACTCCCCGCAACCGTTCAGCATGATACAATCTAGACATGTGCAATGTCGATCATTCAGGACAGTCTATCGTCCGTATGTATGCTCGAGACGGAATTTAATGCACTGACATTTGGCCTTTTTCTCGTTAAAAAGAAAATGCCCATAAGAAGGATCGTCGTTGGCAGCAGACATTTCGTATCCCAGGTTGATAATGCATACCAAGAATACACCTGGTTTCCTAAAAGATTGATTTGACTGTAGGCATTCATTCGGCTATACAACTGAGTAACTGTACAACCTGCAGTGGGGTAAACATATACACAAGGAAGGCTGAACAAACACTTCAGCTCCAAATATAGGTTGTAAATTGAAGGACCCATCTAATAAGACCATTCACATTATAGGATATATGGCTGCAATATCAGCATATAGCACATTTATGTTTATTAGTCGTGCTTGTCCATAAATATAGAGTAGCCTGTCTCTTTGGCAATGGGATCGTTTAATATCAAATTACAATTTAGCACCCATAAAAGCAGCAACTTTAACTGACTGTCTGACACCGAGATCAAGCATGATTTCCTCTGAGCCGCCTAATAAAAGAAGCATTAGTACGGCCAAGTTACCTATTACGTAAATCACAGTTCAGTTACCTGGAATTGCATAAGCTAGTGGAATGGAAATGTGTCATAAGGATTGAGTACAAAGAGATACATTTGGCACACAAAAATAAACTTACCTCTGACTTCTCTGTACAATCGCTCGATCTTTTCACCTTGACCACCTCTTGTGTATGCTAAACCACCAAAGATTTGAGCAGCTTCTCGGGCACAGTATTCAAAGGTTTGAGTAGATTGAGCTTTACATAAAGCAACGGGACCACCCTAAATATGTACCGCCGCTCTCAGTATCTGTTGGACATTGCAAATGCCTACATAACTTACCAAACGGATAGATTGAATTTCGGAGGGCATGTGCATACTTTGATAAGCAAGAGACTCCATCCAGGCATGCGTAGCTTCGACTTGTCTGATCATATGAGCAATCTTGTTACGAATTACTGGATGGTCAATCAACTTTTTGCCAAAGGTCTTTCTCTTGTTGGCATACTGACGAAGGTAGATGTGAGTCGGTCGAGTTCAATACGACGCTTATGCGAGGCAGTACATACCTTGATGGACTCTTCAATGCAAACGCGAGAAAATCTGGTAGCTTGGATAATAATTCCCATTCTCTCTGATACAAAGTTTTGCATAATGTATTTGAAGCCCTTGTTCTCCTTGCCGATCAGATTCTCTTTGGGTACACGCACATCTAATGAAGTCTTGTGAGTTATTTCGCTTTCCAGGCATTAAACTAATTTATCAATAAATACCTTCAAATGTAATGTAAGCAGTACCAGAAGGCCATACACCACTGCAGTTCATTTGTCTAGTAGCTAATGCATAGGCATGTTTAGTTGGTCATCTATTGATCGACATGCACTCCAAACTTACAAACACCAGGCATGTCACGTTCGATCAATAAGAGTGAAATGCCATTGAAACCAGAGCCTTCTTCACCAGTTCTGACAGCCACAGTCATGAAGTCAGCAAAGGTACCATTAGTGATCCACTTCTTTTCACCATTTACAAGGTAGTGATCACCCATATCCTTGGCTTCAGTCAAAAGACCAGCAACATCAGAGCCACCAGAAGGTTCCGTGATAGCCAGACAGATATTCTTTGTACCAGCCAAACAATCCCTGACCACCTTGTCTTTGAGATACTTGGATCCAAAGTGAATGACAGGTGGAAGACCAATACCAAGACCACCAATGAGACCCCAAGTGACCTATTGAATGCATAAGTATATGACAGCATCAAAGCGCAATGATTGTTCACTTACACCACCAGAGGCACAACGAGACAATTCATCAGCTACAATAATGTGATGGAAAGCATCAAATTCTTCTGGCTTCACATTACCAGGCAAGGCATAAGGGACATATTCACTTTCCACATGTCCAACACAAGCAGCGAGGATACCAGCCTTGGCAGCCTTTTCATAGATGGCACGAGGCAACATCTTTTCCTTGGATTCATCCCATTCGTAAGTGTTGGGCATGATCTCACGTTCAACAAATTCACGTACAGCTTGTCTGACAGCACGGTGAGAGTCGCTGTAGTAAGGACTGTACCAATCTTGATACCACATGGGATCACCAAAAGGCACCATGTCACCATAGGTCTCACCTACTTGAAGAGGGTTTTGGTCAACGACATCGTCAGTATCAGGAACATCTGCTGTCTCAACACCGACTTCGCCAATGAGATATTTAGCACCAATCTTGGTTAAAACAGAAGGGGAATGGAAAGCATGGAATTGCTTGGTGGCATCAGTACCAGCTGCCTTTAACAAAACTTTCTTTCCTCCAGGATGGTCATCCAAGAACTTGGAAACATCGTAAATCTTGTCATCGACAATGATCCAGCTAATGTAGCGTGAATTAGTATAATAAAGTGCTTGTAATGATTGATATATCTCACCAGTCATCGGCTTGCTTGTGCTTGGTAACTTCCTGAATGGTATACTTCTTTGACATGTTAATGCAGTAAATAAGAGTGATGAATATGTGCGGAGCAGAGAGAGAGAGAAAAAAAAAAAAAAAAAAAAAAGACAAAGAAGCAAACTATCTATCATTCTGATTATATAGGCCAACTTTGATTCTCTCTAGGGTGAGTATCTCACATGCTTATGAATTATAAAATGAGTTGATAGTTACATTAACCTCATGACACTTTAATTTAATCTGTGTGTGTGTGTGTGTGTTGGTGTGTGTGTTTGCGTTGGTTATAATTGCCTTTACACAGCAATCAGGGCATAGACATGTGAAATTTACCCTTTCCTTGGACCCACTACCCCACATTGATTGTGTGACAATGCATCATATATCAACAATGCCATATCAAATGTGTAAAATGATAGCATCATCAAAAGCTATTCATGTTTGAGTTGTTTGGTTATCAAAGTATTGAGTTTCTCTTGCAAACTGAGAAATAGGGTAAACATGTGTCGTTCCTGGATTGAACGCAAGCCGGTACCTTGGACCTTCCAAATTAAGCACATAAAACTTACTCATCAGATGCTCTAAATAGCTACATTTAGTAAGATACATGTACATATCATTCATCCACAACAGCATCAGCAGCACATAAATAAATTATTCGCTTGATCAGATCTTATCTTCACTCATTTGAGCTCATGATTTGGGTATCATTGTTTCTGGATTGGATTTGGCCTTTATGCAATGCTCGGCGTCCTAGCTGATGAACACAATCTATTTCCGTCCATATATCAGACCACTTTGGCCATTGATCTGCGATAATCTTCACCATATATACTGTAAAAAAAAAAAAGTTGAGAAACATATCATATCCTTTCAAAAATTTAAAGAATTGTGTGCCGTACAAGGTGAATAAAACCGTCGGCAAAGCTGGCAATGAGGAAGGGGTTTGGAGGAAAAACATAACGCGTCTCATTCAGCACTTGATAGCATTGATTTATAGGGGGATTTTACCGTAGCGAAACAAAGGTGCAAAGCCATGGTAATAAGGCATCTAATCCAGCATTTGATAGCATTGATCTATACGAGGGCTTGATTGCAGCGAAGCGAATATGCAAAACCATAGTATCTAACCAGCAAATTCGGGTTTTCATTTCCATTGCTAATAAGCTTACCAGCAACATAGCGCATCAAAATTTGCTTGAATCAGCTTTACCAAAATCAATTTGCCTCCTATTCGAATTAGAAGCTGCACAGACTGCAGAGCTGCCTTTCCACTAAATTGCAGCTACCAAAGACGTGATTTATGCCGTGTGAATAAAAGCTATAAAGCAACGCATAACCAAATTTGACAGCTTTCAAGCCTTCATATCTTGACATGTAGACCTTGATGAGCCTCCGGAATGACGCCAAACAATTGTACTTGGGTAGTAGTAACTTCCTGACACCTTTGTTCAACTTTTTGGGGACCTAAAAAACATGGCCAAAAATCGACCAAAAAGCATGAGGGGTACCTCATGGTTTTCATCAAAAATTACACGATCGTGTTTTTGACCGCGAAAATGAAGACTTTTACTAAGGCATATATTGGATCAAAACGTTTCTCTCAATCTAACGCAACACAAAAAACTATTTTTGATAGACTTTCATACGTAAAATCTCAACCTCTTGGTCAAACACCTCATTTCATATTTTCCTTAATTGCTCAATAAGTTTGTTCTGGATACCTCTTTTAATCAGTACCATTAGATGCGGCTTCAGAAGTACTCCCAGAATGCATTAGGAAACATGGGGTAATTATCACAATTTGCATAGTCGAATCTTACAAAGTAAATTTTTTTTTTTTTTTTAAATTGTGTTTATTGATTGAGCCGCGTACACTAAGAGTAATAGGTCAGAGTGAAGAGGCGGGTGCAATTGAGAAATGAAAAAAATATAAATATAAATGGAAACTAAACTAAACTAACAAAAGGAACTATCTAACTATCTAAATTACAAGAGGGAATGGATTTGATCTTCATCCACTGTCTGTCGGACAGTGGAGTGGATATGTACCAGAATCGCCTCAGGGACAAAGATAGTGCCGTCAAAAACAAAGCGCATATGGGCTAGCCATATTTGAGACAGGGTGATGAGTAGGATTCTGTATGGATGGATGCCTTTGACTTGGGAGTACCAGATATCTGAAAAGTCTAGGGACAGAAGAGCCTCTTTGATGTCAGTGATGGACGTGGTGGGCCATAGGAACTCAAAAATGACGCCTTGCCATACCTTTTCTTTGGATGGACAGTCAAAGAGCAGGTGGCTGGCAGTTTCATTGGGGGACAAGCAGACAGGACAATTGTGGGACTCGAAAAATGCAGGCATCATGTAGTGTAATCTGCTTCTAGAAGGGATACAGCCTGCGATGAATCGGTATATCACATTACGTTGAATGTAGGTAAGAGACAGGGACCAAAAGAATTTCCAATTAGCAGCAGAGACATTTTGCAAGACCAAGGGCTGTTCCACCGACGACAGTACAGACAGACGAAATGTTTTGGCGGAAGCCTGAGCGTTTCTAAGGGATTGGCCATCGTGCAGACAAAATTGATCCACCAGCGGCGCAAAAGAGACTCCAGGATCTACTACAGGGGCTGGATTACACACTGGGAGGAAGTAGGGCTGGAATTTAAGAGTGCCAGATGCGAGGCCTCTGAACACTGTCGAAGGAGCTCTCTTCCACCTGAGGAGGGAAGGGTCACGAGTGTCTCTCCAATGTACAAAGTTAAGCCGGGCATCGTACTGAAATACATCAGAAACCATCATCTCTTTGACTTTAAGAGGAACAACCAGTGAGGAGGATGGAGGAACATAGAAAGCCGCCTGTAATGGAAGAGCCATGGCAGTTGCAGAATTGATCGGTGCCGCATCAAACGACTTAGGAAGATAGTCAACTGTACGATATAACATATCGACAGTTCCCGTGCGTTGCTTTTTCAACCCCTTAGTACGACGAGCAGAGGGAAATAGCAGCGGGATTTGATGGTGGGGGTAACCATTAACATTGCGAATGTGGTAGCTTAAGAGGTACGACACAGGATGGGAATCTATGACATCTTGATCTTGAACCAGTATTGGGTGGAGCCAACGAAAATACAAAGCTGAAGCTTGTATTTGGATGTCTACAACACCGAGACCACCTTTGTCCTTTGGTAGAGTCCACACCTTCCAAGGGATGACGGGGAAGATGTTTCTTCTCAAGAACTGAATAGCCAGAGAACGCAGCTGCTTGAAGTCAGCTTGAGTCAAAGGCGTAACACGCAGGATGTACCATAGCTTGGAGAGCAAAAGAGAGTTCAGCACTGTAGCCTTTCCAACGACCGACAGGGAGCGACCAGAATGAATCTGGATGGCAGTTTTGATCTTTGTTACCAAAGCACCCATAAAGTGAACTCGCTGAATCCTACTTTGGACGAGAGGAAATCCCAGATAGGTCAACGGTTCATCGTCCTCAACAGAATGGAGATGTGTGATACCCATTTGTGATAATGGACCATCCCACATATCCCATGTATCCCGACCAGACACTGAAAAGGCTTCCACCTTGGCATTATTGAACTTGGCGTTGGAGGCAGCACAGTAACGAGCCATATGGAGCTGTAACCGAGTCAAATCATTGGAGTCATGGATAAACACCAAAGCGTCATCAGCATAGCACAGGAGTTTTGTTCGTGCAGTACCCATCAAGTAGCCTTGAAATTGGCGATCATGCAGGATTGCAAGCAGAAAAGGTTCAAATGCCAAGTTGTACAGTACAGGAGAGAGAGGATCCCCCTGCTTCAAGCCTCGAAGTTTCGCCACTTCAGTTGACAGATGGCCATTGATGTTGATACGTATGAGGTTGTCACCCATCAACTTGGAGATACACTTGATAATAGGGCGAGGAAACCCAAATTTCCCCAATACCTTCCTCAAATATTCCAAGTTCACCCGATCGTATGCCTTTTCTTGATCCAGAAGAAGACCGATGTCATAATCCAAAGTGTTAAAGGAAGGATCATTTTCCTGTTGTTCAGCGATGGACCATTTCCGTTGAGCATCTTCCATTAGGAGCTGGCAGATCATTCCATTTTCAGCAATGAATCGACCAGGAATAAACCCAAGCTGATGTCGGCTGATCAAGTTGGAAGAGACTTCCATGATTCGACGGTTGATATTGCGAGTGAAGAGCTTGTAGTCTGAATTAGCCAGAGACAGAGGACGGTAGTTCTTCATTTCAGCTGGATCGCCTTTCTTGTAAAGCAGACACATGACGGATTCGTTCCAAGATGGCGGGAACTTACCCTTCTTTAAAGCTTCATTGTAGACTAATTGGATGAGATCATGGAACGGTGGAAATTTCATTACCAAGTACAGGATTTCATAAGGTAATCCATCAGGTCCAGGACTACTCAAACGACGAGTCTGCTTGCTATCGGTCAAGAGTTCCTCCACATCAATCGGCATCATCAATGATTCCTGCTGCTCGCTGTTGAGCTTCAAATGACCTGGGATGTTGCGAATTATAACACTGAGGGAGGTTGAATCCAGAGCCTCCGGTGTGAACAGTGAAGTGTAAAAGTTGGTAGCAATGTTGGAGATACTAGGTTGATCTTGACATAGATCGCCAGTTGTAGGGTTCCTGAGTTCCACAATTGAACGACGATTTTCTCGAGACACCACAGAGCGCTTCAGGAAGCCTGGAGATTTCTCACCATGTTCCCGCCAAAATTTTCCTGCCTTCAAGATCTCTATTTCTGCAAGAGAGTGCTGGAGAGATTGAATCTGTTGATTAACCGTGTCCAAGCCTTGAAACACCAAGCCTCTTGTCTTCTTATGCCGCATCATCTTGTTTCTCTTTGATAGCAGTCGGTGTAGCTGTTGTTTCCGCCAGTTCAAATCCTCCATTTGATACTGTTTGATAAACATCTTTACTTCGGCTTTGATCCAATCCCATTGTTGTTGGGGAGTGGAGAAACGCTTGATTTCTGCCAGACGCGCCTCACTATCAATGAGGAATTCTGCCAATGCCTTCCTAAATGTTTTGTTGCAAGCCAAGAACGGATTTGCCTTCCAGTTACCAGGGCCACGGCCATTCGCATCTTGATATCGAAAAGAGAATCCCAAGAGTTCATGGTCGGTCCAGGCAGGAGACAGATACTGCTGGTTGGTGCTAGTGACTAGATGATGGGCGTTTGAACTACAAAAGATGTAATCCAGAATCCCTGAATTGTTTCCACTATGCCATGTGTTGTGTTTGTCTTCCCCAAAAACGTCAATAAAGTAATCATCGAGTAGATCGGTCCATTCTACTGGTGCACTGGTGAGGGTGCCATCGACTCGACGATCCTTGTACTGGTAGTTGAAGTCTCCCATGATAAAGACGGTGTTTGTTGTAGTAGTAATAGTTTCTTTGACAATTTGTGTGCCAATGAGTTCTGAATAGAACGCTGATCGGTCGGTGTGAGCGGACGCACGGCCGTAAATATTAAGTATTGTTGCTATTGGTGGTGAATTGGGTGAATTTTCCAGGTCTCGAGTAAGATGAAGGGAAGCCAAGATAAATCGACCCCCATCAATGCCTTCTGAGATGTGTTTGAGTGAGTAGTGAGTGTTGAGGGAAATGATGCCGCAATGTTGAGTCCAAAGACTCGACTTGCAAGTAAATTGAGTGTTGAGTATGTCTATAAATGTGTTGTCTGTTGCATGTGTTTCTTGAAGCACTAAGATGTCATATCCTAATGTTCGAAGATATCTAATAAATTGTTGTCTTTTTTTGGTGTTATCTGTTTTTTTTAGGCCACGGCAATTGAGGGTGGCTATTTTCACTGTATTTTGCTGATTAATCATATTAATGTTGGGGAGGTGAAGGAGGGCCTGTCAAGCCGAGTTGGTGTCCAGTCTCTACTTCATTAGATGCAGCTTGTTGTTTGGCAGAACTAACATCATCCGCGCCATTAAATTTACCGATCTTCTTCGCAGGGCGTTCAGGGCGCTCCTCTCGTTCATTAGCAGAATGGGTAGAAGAGTCGTACATGATAATATCATTGGAAGCCCCTTTCCCATCGACTTCTTTAACTTGGAGTTTTGGAAGATCATCCATTTGAACATCTCTATCAACTACCTGCTTTCTAGCACCTGTTTGACTATCAGCGTCACCTTGAGTGCTACCTTGCTGGGTAGCAGCAATTCGATTATCGGAATCACCTTGGGAACCACCAGATGCAACATCCTGGCCTTTTCCTTGGGCATTACCTTTGTTTCCAACTGGAGCACCACCAGGAGTTACTTTGGAGCCACCCTGAGTACCCTTTTTACCCTCTTTGGCCACCTGAGAGCCCTTTCGGGGTTTGGCAGGAGTGTTTTCCACCGCACGGACCTTGTTTGGGCTGTCATTGCGACTGCAGTTCTTCACCACATGTCCAGTTTCATTGCAATGATGGCAGCGGACCCACTTCTTGTAGTCAGGACAATCAGCCCGACAGTGTTCAGAGCTCTGACAATTACGACAGAAAGCCGGCATTTGATCCCATTGGAGTAAAACTTTTCTTTGATCCGAAGCTGTCAAATCCCAGACAATGACACGGCTGAGTTTCTCCAAATGGCGATGGCCAGGGCAAGATTTCCCAACGGGATGTAACTCTTGACATTCATAACCAGGGCTGGAAGGAACCGTTAGATTAAGTGTAGCATAACCTTCTCCTTGATAGATCCCATCAGTTCTCGAGATGCCGTGATCCAAGACATCCCCGAACGCAGAAAGTCGGGCAGCCATTTCCTCCTTCAACTGAAGGGCAGGCAAGAAAGGAAGATTCTCCAGGGTCAGTTTCACAATCGTAGCATCAGCATGGTACGAGGCAAACCCTTTCACAAAGGTGCCATCCTCTAGAGTGATACCTTCTTCAATGAGAGTCTTACGACCTTCGCTGTTGGGCAGCCACATGGTTTCCAAGAAGGCATGGTTGAGGTAGTGTCGAGGTTGTTTCCGGTATCCAAGAAATTCTTCATACATGTCTTCAGCATTAGAGGCTTCGTTGAATTGAAGAAGGGCCTTGTTCAAGAGATTGCGATCCTTGATAGGTGTCAGATCGATGAAGACGGAATCCTGTTCCACGCCTTTGAGGAATGGACGGATAACCGCCTGAGGAGGTGGCGAAGTATCCCCATTGATGGCCTGTTGCGAGGCCTCTGCTTCCGTTACAGGTCGTTTGACGATAGTGGGATTGAAAGAGACGATGGATTGTTGTTGTCTGTTGTTCCCTTTGCGGCGTGAGTTAACCACATGAGTCCACAACAGTGGAGCCGCAGTTTCAGCTTGCGAGGAACGTTGATGTACTTGACTAGTGTCTGACATGCGAAAAAGATGACTTACAAAGTAAATTAACCAAGTCGAAAATAGACAAACTCTGTCCAATCTTGAGCAGATATCAAACGGAGCTTTAATATGGTTTGCACGCAGCCAGCACTGATCAAATGTTGTACATTAATAAGCTTGATGGCCATGAACATGCCAATACTGATAATAGCATTAATGCACATATATAATACAGAGCTGTAATTCTTTGCTTCTTGTTGCTTTTTTTCCATTTGATTCGTCATTTCAATCAGGTCTAAAGTTACAGTGGTGTAAGTCCATGTTACATGTGGATACAAAATTCATGTTGAAAACAAACAGTTGAATGTGTGACATGTTGTGATATGAAAGTATGTATATTTCATACATACATTTGAAAGCAGAGAGTCTTCTATCTATCAACAAGGTTCACATAAATGGCATTTCATTTACTTGCACTGGATGATGATATGGCCAATCAGGAAACTATCAGTGTACTCGGGAGTCACTTTTTTTTTTAGCCAAGTATTACACTCCAATTTGCTTTAATATATTGACCTCTCTCTCTCTCTCTCTTTCGCGTTGACTCTTTTGAAAAATGTATCCAAGTGGAGGCAACAACTACCAATACGCTAATCAATATGGAGCTCCATCCAAATCTCCACCACCTCTCCAACATCCTGTACCTCAACATCCCATTCCAGATTTCGGTACAGCTGTTCGTCAATCCTCTACACCTTCTCCAGGTTTGTCCCATCTTCAAGCACAACAGCAACAACAACACTATCAATATAACCAATCTCAACAACACCAACCCATGATGCAACAATCGCCACCACAGCAATATCAACAGCAAAAGATGCATCAAGCGTATGATCCAAATGCGTATACTCCTCAACCTCAAATGCAATCACCACCACAGCCAAATAGTAATCTTTATTCTCAGTTTGGTTTCAATGATCCTGCTGCTCAAATGGGTATGCAGTTTGCTGGAAGCGCTATGGCGCAAGGTTCTGCCTATGTTGAAAAGAATGTAAGTCGTCTGCTGGCTGGCCTCCATATACGCTTGCCGACTGATGTTATTGCTGCACTAGTTTAATCGATGGGTGAATATGCCTGCACTGAGGCATTACTTTAATGTCAGTAATTCCTATGTCATGAGTAAATTGCGACTCTTGTTGTTTCCTTGGAGAAACTCTGTAAGTGTTGGTGATACGCGTATGATATCCATGTACTCATTTTTGTCCAGTCTTGGAATCGCTTAATAATGAGATCAGAAACGGGTCAAATGGAAGGGTTCAAACCACCCAGAGAGGACATCAATTCACCTGATTTATATATTCCTGGTAATGCATTTATGAGCGATCTTGGGCAGTGGGCATTGGGTTAACATGTAACATGTAGTGATGGCTGTAGTGACATATGTCTTACTCTGTGGATTAACTGCTGGTCTTCATAAAAAGTAAGTGTTGCAAGCACAGGTCTGATGACAAGACATCTCATCGATTTGGATAGCTTCCACCCTGAAATGCTGTATGTTGCTGTGTCTACCTCAGTTGCTGTTGTGTTTTGGGAAATTGCCTACACTAGATTAGGCTGCTATTTCTTGAGCATTCCATTTGAAGCCTCTATGCTCGATCTACTATCTTATTATGGCTACAAGTTTGTTGGCATCATCGTCACTGATATTGTCAGGTTGATTGGTGGAAGTGGGTATATTCCTTGGCTTGTGTTCTTTTACACTGGTTTGTGTGTCAGCTTCTTTTTGGTAAGTTGGATGGAGGTATTCATTTACTTGACCTTTTTTTTATTGATTGATATATATATATATATATATATAGCTTCGTTCGATGAGATATGTTATTTTGCCTGATGCTGCAGCTGGACCTTCCACAATGAATCCTCAGCGTAAGAGACGTTTGTGGTTCTTGCTTACCATCGCAGCTCTTCAAATTGTCTACATGTTCTTCCTTGTAAACTAATTTCATAACCCCCTCATTACAATAAATGAAAAACGAAATACCTCTCCAAAACATCGTTACAATACTCGTTTTATTTTAATCCTCATCTTCTGGTTCCTGCTCTGCGGCAGGCATAAATTCTGCATCCACAGGTTCACATTGAGAGAAGAGGCTCTTGGCTTCTGCAAAAGCAGATCGAAAATCCAGCGAGACATCAGCATCACTGCATAATACGACATTCTTCCATGGTGCTGATAATGATTGTGCGTTGCGAACATACTGATCATAATACACTGTGATGAGTTTTGTGAATTCTCGGTTATCAGTTTCTTCCTCTGTGACATCAGGCTTCTTTTCCATCAATAAATCAACAGCTTTTCTGAGCACTGAATCATCCTTGGATGCAGTCCACAGATAGGTAACGTCTAATCCATGTTAAATACTACATTGCTTGATCTCTGTTACTACTTACATTGACCTCTAAGACATGCCATGCTTTCATCATTCTGCTGGATACCATAAATGGGTTCATCTGTATTGCCAGCTTCGCTTCCAGGAGGGAATACGCAGTAACTCAATGGCTCGGAAAGATACTGCTTGGCATCCTTAGATTCCAATCGAGTGCCTGTAATAAGCATAGCCCTAGAAATCCAAGTGCTGATTCGATTGGGTGAGTTGACGCCTCAAATGTCGATGCATTGCGCTTACCCATGGTGGCCATCCCTTGCAGGTAACGATGAAGCATTCAGATAATCCATGCCAGTGACCAGTTTCTTGCACTTGTATTCTTGTCCTTCTTTTGTAACGATGCCCGTACATTTTTCTGTTTCTTTGTCCACAACAAATCTGTCTAAGGGCTGATTCAAGATGTAGATACCACCGTACACAGCGCACACTCTACAAAATGCTTGAGCAATTTCGCTGGCACCGCCATACAGAGGACACAGATACGCGCCCTTTCCAAATCTACCCATAGATTGAACAAATCGATGTGTACTGTCTAACCCTTCCTTGACAGAAGCTACGTCAAACGATAAGTCTGGTGAGCACATCTGATCCACTCTCCAATGTACCTTTATCATCTACAAGCGCAATGGCGTATACAATCGCTTCTTGCAATTTACCAGTGATCTTGAATTTTTCTTGTAAAAATTGACAGTAAGACATGCTCTCAGTATTTTGGAGTAGTGCATTATCGTCGTTTTGCTCATTCAATTCCATTGCAAAGGTCAAAAACTTCATCAATTTCCTCTTTTCGATCAAACTAACTGTCTTGTTAGTAAATACATCCTCTTTGGAGCTAGGCACCTTCTCCAATGCTCTCAAGGCCTTGTCAAAGATGTATATATCGTCGACATTTTTAAATTCCAAGTAACGGCCAACACCACTACGGATCAATGTTTCGACCAAGTCTTCTCGAGTGCCCAGCAATTTAGGTGTTGTGTCCAAGTTGTAAGAACGAGATTTGTTTAGCAGTTCTACAAAAGTACTGATTTGGGGTAGCTTTTCGCTGATATTCTCGGCTGTCAAGTCGCTAAAGTAGGCATCCACTAATTCTTGATCTTGAGAAAATGATGTTTTAGGTATAAGTTCCTTATAAGATCCTTCCTCGACAGCTAGATCATCCAATTCTGTACTGGCCAGTTGGGTGTCATACACCTGTAGCTCCACATTTCTGAAGTTCGAGCCATAATTGTGTTCGTAGTTGATGCTCAAATCACCCTCTGCAAAGTAGTTATCGTCAGCTTCTATCGCAATACGGGTGAGTCCATAAAATACCTTTGATTTCAGCAATGTTATCTGTAGAGAAAGCCATTAATTTCATGCTGGCACACTGCATACCATGGACTCTACCTTTGTTTCTCTCCAAACACCATTGCACAAGCTCTCGAAAGCCAAAGACGCTCCAATTTCCACCATAGTTTTGATGGCTATCCAAGTGGAGTACCTTTTTGCCGGCTCGTGCAAGTGAGCTATACAAAAGCACATCATCAGAACATGCCAATCTCCACATCAAGCGAGCAAATTATACAGTACCCAGCCAAAATAGACTCTATTAAACCTGTTCCAAGCACGATATAGTCAAAGCTTGTTTCTTCTAAATTATCAGACATTGAGAAAAAAGGGTCGGATTGTGCATCAATCGCACTCGAGATTGTATTTGTAACCATGTGGTTTCAATAGCCGATGGTTGATAACCCACTAAACTGGTTGACTTGAAATCCTTTCCTCTTTCTCGCGGATTGTTGGGTTTTTTTCCAGGTTCATCTTATTTCATTATATATATGGTACAAAAAGTCAGGAAATCAAAAAAGAAGGTTGCGAGCAAGCCCAACACATCAGCTAACGCGGCGAAACCAGCAGCTTCTGAACAACAGCCACCTAAATCGCCAATGCAAGATGCCCAAAATGAGCAGAATTGGACACCTATGCAACTCGAACAAATAGAACTCTCCAAGAAGCTTGATAACTACATTTCAGGATTTCAAAAGAAGCTTCTGCGCCTCAATTTTCAGCCTTCTAACCGCGAGCTTGTCATCTTATTCATCATGAACTTACATCCACGTTGGCGTCGTATGGTCGAACCTGTGGAACTGTCTTGCTCAAGTTGGGTAGAGGCAGCTGCTTTTGCTCGACTGCATTGCGCAAGAGTCTCTGCCATTTTGGGATGTGAGAATAGAGCTGATGCGATATTCAAGACATCGGAGGTAAGGGCGTTGAGAGATTCAGGTTACTTTGCGCCCGATGATGCAGACTTGAAACATCATACGCCAGAATCAATTGCACATTTATTGAATCCGGAGGAAGACAACGATTCTGAAAAGTCAGATGCAGAGAATAAATTAGGATCTTCGTCGCCTCCAGTACCTACTGTTTACATGAATAATACCATGTCAGTGTCACCTGTCATCAATGCTACTTCAGCGTCAACAGCACCGCCGGTAAAGTCAGCATCAGTTGAAGCACCAACAGATCAGATTCGAAATGTCAGTTCGCCCAAAAAGGTTGTTGACGAGAAGGAAGGCAAATCAGCAGGAAGAGAGAAAGAAAAAGTTTCGCCATCTGCATTGCCCTCAGTCTCGCAATCATCTACATCAGAGTCATCACAAACTTTAAAGCCGGACGTCAAAGACTTGACTCCTGCCTCTACTGCTGCTTCCACTGCTGCTACCGCATCTTCATCTTCATCTTCACCGCCACCGACAAAAGCACAAATGCAAGCCAAAGTACAACAAGCCATTAAGAATCGAAAGGAAAAGGAAAAGGAAAAGGAGAAGAAGGCACAAACTCAAATGCAGCAACAGATGAAACAATTGGAGAAAATGAGCACGATTACACCTGACCAGATGGGAACAGTATTGACCAACATACCAAAGCAACATTTAGGCATCAATTTAACCTTTTTAGAGCTGCCAGTCAATGGTAAAAAGGTCAAGGGATTATTAGCAAAACTGTCGTGGGGAAGCTCTGCTATATCTGTCGATTGTGCTCAACGATTAGGTTTAAAGATGAAACCAAGCGACCATTTATGCATCAACACAGATTTTGGTTATGTGGATTCCGTTGGTATTTTGACTCTGCCTATTCATCACCCTGCAGATCCAACTGGAACAAAGTCTGAAATGAATATTCAGGTCTTACCCATGATTTACGGTGGAAAAGTGGATCTTGTGCTTGGCGCAGACTTCTTTTGTTTTTATAATCCCACTTTAAATATCAGAACAAGAGCCATTTGTTTCTTGGAAAAGGAAACCCCCTACATCGTTGAAAAGCTCGTAGAATAGTAACAAAATTAAATTGCATTTGATCTATTTTTAAACCATGAAATCTCACCAGAATTGATATCTTTGCATAGCTGCTTTACAAGCACCGTATGCGTTTTGCTCTATCACAATTCAGTGATCTACTGGGGATCAACATTGTGCTATATGTCTAGGAACACCAGTGCATAAAAATTGGAAAAATCAATATGGTGCCTAGACATTAAGATGCTCGATAATGTGGCTGGACGTTACGTTACTTGCACCTCTAAAATACAGTAACGCATTCAGTCCAAACACTGACTGGAAGTTATGAGAAGAAACGTGTTAGAGCAAAATACAACATAAAGATTGAATTTGCTAAAGAACTTCTCCTCTCAGGATCTACTGTTGATATACAAGGAGATGACCACGCAAGATATATACAGCAGGCTCTGATGGAACTGGCATAACTAAGAAACATTCTGGAGTAGCTCCCAAACTAGACGAAAGGGACCAGAAGGCTCTTTGTCGTCAAATTCACGCTGCACCATTGATTCCATTCACAAACCATTTAGCAGTATGGTGTGACACGAACAAGGTTATTTCAGTGGACACTATTCGCAAGTATATACGCCTGAATGGCTTTGGCTCTTTTAAATCAGCTCATAAACCAGCCTTGAGTGACACACACAAGCTCAGAAGACTCGAATGGTGCTTGGATAAGGTCAAATAATGGACTCCAGAGCAGTGGAGGAAGGTTGTTTGGCAAAAAGTTGAACCTTGATCTGTCCGAGAAGTTAGTTGCCGGTATGCAATAAAGATGTTAAGTGGCCATTAAAGCACGAGGTGGAAATACTCGCTATTAATTTTTTTTAATCTAGATAAAGTATTGTTTGAAGTCTTATATATGCCAATTTCACGCAATTCTGGTGATGTTTTTTTATTAACAATGATTTATCAGAAATAAATTATATATAAAAAGAGTGATGTATCATTTCTAAACCGGATCTCCAAACGCGTAGAAACAAGCAGTTCAAGCACCGGTCACATCAGATCATAAACTTTGACATGAAACAGGATTCAGTTACGATCCATATCATGGCATGTTCAGGATAATAGATTGGATCTATTATCCTATTACCCAAATCAAGCCATCTAATACCTTATCCTCACATCAGATTCCTCAATTCGAATAGTATATAAACCCTCTTATTTTCAATGTAATAGACGATATTCTTTACCTGATTAATTTCATACTCTTTTTTTATAAATAATTTTTTTCTGATAAATCACATGTGTCTTATAGCGTGGATCATAAAGTGCATATCTGAAGCAACAAGCTCATATTGCATTAATCGTGGTGCTTATCTAGATATGGTAAACATCCGTAGTCAATGTCGGAATACAAGTATAAGTCTATAGCGCCATCCATGTTCGTGGTGCCATCTATAGCCTATATCTTATATAGTATAGATCTTATAGTACTAGCGTATCTGAAGTTCATGTCTTATAGTATAAATCAGTATCGAACATCTAACCCAGTGCGCATATAATTTATATCTAAATCAGGTGACTGGATGAACTGTTTGAATGCAGATCATAGTGGATGTATTCCACGGAAGGATTTTAACAGTAATCTATCTGCTCTTCACACCCCTTTTTACTACAACGAAAACGATTGTTTGATGACAGGATAACCAGAATACTACTGTTGTTGTAACAACAACGTAAGCAACACTGTGCTGAAGTGGTATTAACTCCTATATAACGTTCGCATCTGATAACTTCAAAAGACATTTCTCATATACGACTGTTTAACGGATGATGAATTCAATCATAGCACATTATTTTACTATTGAAAAATGAAGGATTTAAATTGTATCAATATTTGGATACATTTTTATTACAAATACAAAATTATAATACATGACAAATCAATAGGAGATTAACTAGTTGTAACCCTTCGTTGTTCCAACCTCTTAGCCAATCAGATTTCTTGAAAACTCCGCTGACCTAAAAAAAAATTTGCGAGGGTTTCCCCCTGTTTTGATGTGAGGCAAAATTTTAAGCGCCGCTAGGTATACCAAATCTAGCAGTGTGCGCTATCATCAAATTTCCCCCAGGTGCTAGAGCATGCCTTACTTACACCACCTAGCTTTAAATTCAGGCATTGAGACCCTCAATCATCACTAAAGTAAGTAGCGATAACCAAGTGGAGGCAGCCTATCCACCTCCTAGCCTCGGATAAGGTCTTGTTGAGCTTCAGGGATAGGCACATCCGCACAACGTAAAAAAGGTATGCTTCAAAGAAACATAATAAGAATAAAAGAAAGAAGAAAAGAACATACTACTATAGGAGTATAGTAGTATGTAGGCAAAAAAAAAGAGGCACTCACACGAAGCGAGTCAAAGAAAAGCGTAACGAATACAACATCAAAGATGTTCAAAAAAGCTCGTTGCTGTTACAAGAAAAATGCATACATGAGCAACGCGCATGGTAGTAATAGTCGGATGTAAAGCAACATGACACAAATACGCACAACTGCAAAGGCAACAGTGGTATTATAAGTTTGTAATACAACATAGTGACTAATGTTGTTTCATGTAAAGCTACAGAGGAAACACCACCAACAAAAGAAAAAGAAGAAGAAAAAAGCGCAACAAGGCAAACATCATGAATGCATTATCACGAGAAAGGAAGCAATAATGTAAGCGTTCAAAGAAGTTTCATATCATTGCAACCAAAAAAAAAGGAAGATACTTACCACTTACTATAGCAACAGATAGACCAGAAGAGTATAGGCAATCACCGGAGATAGACCATAGAACAAGCATACAACAAATACAGTAGACCGGGAGAGACCATTTTAGCAGCAGCAGCAGCAGCAACAACACCAGCACCGTAGACAAACTAAAGAACAGGCGCCATTAGCAGAGACCAGACAAAGACCAAAGAAGCTATTTACCACTTATCTCCATCACAGATAGACCAGAGGATATACAATCACTGAATATAGACCAGAGAACGAGCATGCACCAAAGACAGTAGACCAGGAGAGACCATATTAGCTGCAGCAGCAGCAACACCAGTACCATAGACAAACCGAGAAACGAACGCCACCAGCAGAGACCAGACAAAAGCCAAAGAAGCAATCACCACACATGATAAACCAAAGAAGCAGGCAGCAGAGAAGACAGAGAAGGAATGGCAGCAGCACTCACTCAAACAAGCAAGAAATTATTAAAACCTAATAAACAAACTGAATTAGTGTTAATTCTATGCATTCCAGTGCTCGTTATCGAATGGTACGTAACATATTCCACTTCAAAGAAGCAGTATCCCGTTCTTCCAACAGTACAAAACAGAGTTATCAGAAGCTAGAGTGTTATTATCAACCAAACGGTCTCCAAATCCACCATGGTTTGATACTACTAAAACGCGTTTTGCAAAAAGGAGAAAAAACGAAGGGTATGAAAAAATGAGAGAGCGCCCTATCCAACGTCACGGCCAGTAGATTTAGTCTCAGTCTTGTACCGTAGCAGCAGTAATTGCGGCAATTTAATTTGAAATTGTGCAGTGGTATTTTCATGTTCAAACTTGACTTGATCTCACATCCTTTAAACGTTTTTGCTAAATTTGACTATGGAAACTGTCGTCGTTACACCCAACTATCTAATACTTCTCTAGAGGACTAAAGAAGCCGCATTAAATGGTGCCAATTACTTTTAGCTCTCAGACCAAAAATAATGAGCAATTTTTAAGAATATGAAAATTGATTTTCTGTGAATATGTCAAGATTTAGCATATGAAAGTCTCATAGAAAGAGTATCCAATGTTGCATTTCATCTTTACGGTCAATTTGATTTAATATGTATTATAGGAAAAGTCTTCACTTTTGACGTGAAAACCGCGATCGTTTGATTTTCAAGAATTTTCCCTTGCTAATACTCATTAAAAAAACGGCGATTATCATGAATTTGCAATGACCCAAAAAATTGAGATAAAGCATCAGTAAGTAAAGCGTGGACAAGAGGAGCCGTTTGGTGCTATTCCAAGCGCTCAAAACGCTTTGTGGCATGAGTTATTCGTGCTTGAAAACGACTAAATTTGCACAGAATTCGACCTAAAACGACAGCGTAGTAGGTTGCATTACCAGAAGGGTAAGTAAATTACACTTCTGTCTGATGACCCAGATGCTCTGTATTGTACATTATGAAATCTCTAGTATAAACCCAAGGCGTGGAAAAACTGTCCACCCTTTGTGGTGAGGTGCACATTATGGCTTAAAACCTTTGCCAAACAACCACAATGTTGAATACAAGCATCATGCATTTTAGGTTGCATTCACTTTCTCCTCAAGCCATGTTTACAGTATAGCAACATAGAAAATATTTATCGTATCACATCACATCTATGCTTACAAATCCAGTCCATTGTTTGTGCATGGGTGCTTTAGGAGCTCAATAGATTCAATCTCCATAATGTCAAGATATCGAGATCCACCTACACTATATGAAGCATATCGACTTAGGTGGCCTCTCAACAAGCTACAGTAGTCGCTCTATATAAGGCAACTTTTTTGGCGGGGTTTTTTAGCCTTATTGCCCGCATAGCCTTAACTGATGCGCGTGACTTCTGTCAAAAAAAGTCGTGCCCGTAAAATCTATTACAGTACTATAATAGCTGATCGAATAAATCAATTTGACACATCCCCAGTAACATTCATTTATCTGTTTATTTCACTTCTATTGAACGTAATATCCTATCATGTGTCTTAATCAAAGATCAAGATATCGCCTCACAATCGAGCAAAAGTATCGCATTATTATGCAGAACATGCGCTTTCCTAATCTGACGCAAATGCAACTCGGTCAATGGGCTCAAAAGGAATTCAACCTTCATCACTCAGTCAAGCAAAAAAACTGTATCGAACGTCTTGAATTCACAGGACAAGGTGATCAAAGCTTACGAAGAAGGAAATTTGAAGGGAAAAAGCAGCAGAGCCTTGACGATGCCTCAATTGGGCAGTGACATTTTGGAG